TTTTCCTGACCGTTTTACCGGTGAGGAGGCTGAGGCTTGGAGAGGTTAAGTGACCTGCCCAGGCTCGCAAGAGGCCAGGGCCTGAATTTTGATTTACATCCACTTGACCGGAAAGCCATGGATCATAGCCAGGTTCTCCTGGGTGGATTATCTTTTAAACTTTTTTTTTTTTTTTTTAATTTCTGTTTATTTTTTCCCCCTAAAGCCCCAGTAGATAGTTGTGTGTCACAGCTGCACATCCTTCCAGTTGCTGCCCGTGGGACGCGGCCTCAGCATGGCCGGAGAAGCGGCGCGTCGGTGCGCGCCCGGGATCCGAACCCGGGCTGCCAGCAGTGGAGCGCGCACACTTAACCGCTAAGCCATGGGGCCGGCCCTGGATTATCTTTTAAAAAGCAAAGTAGGAAATAATGCTGGGGAGGGAAGGCATGGCCGGGGTCATTGGTTTGCACAGTAACCCTTGGGTACCTGCTGGGTGAGGATGAAAGGAGTCAAAGGTAAATACAACACGGTCCTGGCACTGAGGTCCCTGCAGGGCAGAGATAGTGACGGGGTAAGAAAATCATTGCAGAGGTGGAGGGCCTGACGGTTTAGGGGATGAGGAGGAGGACTTCTCAAAGGAGGTATCTGAGTTGGGTTTTGAAGGATGAGTAGGAGTTTGTTGTGGCAGGAAGACATTGCAGGGAGAGTGTCTAGCGAGAGGTATCCTAAAGAACCATTCATTTGACAAGCAGCTGCGGAATGCCTTGAAAGCAGGGACCATCGCCTTCCTGAATCTCCAGTGCCTTGAATAATGTGCAACACGTGTTTGATAAATGCTCTTTTGAGTGAATGCCTGAGCAGACACGTTAGGGGACAGGGCAGGAGAAAGCGTAGGAGAAACAGATGGGGCTCGGATGTGGAAGGCCTCATGCACCACAGCAAGGTCTGCTCTCAGAGGTGATAGGGAGCATTGGAGGTCATTACCCAGAGAGAGAGGTCCAGCACACGGGCCCATTTCTTAACACAAGTATTTAAGTCTGCGTTTTCCTCTGAGCAGGAAAACTTAACTGCTTTTAAACACATATGGAAGGATCTTCTGTTTCACTCATCATAAAGAGAAAAGGAAGTTCAGCCACAGTGAGAGATTTTCCAGTATCAGATTGTCAGAGCTCAAAAGCTTGTAATCTTCTGATTTGGGAAGTAGTTGCTTTTGTTCCCTGTTAGGGAGAGTATAAATTGATGGTACCAGTGTGGAGGGCTGTGTCTGTCTAACTTTTTTTTGTGTGAGGAAGATTGGCCCTGAGCTAACATCCATGCCAATCCTCCTCTTTTTTTTTGCTGAGGAAGACGGACCCTGGGCTAACATCTGTGCCCATCTTCCTCCACTTTATATGGGACCCACCACAGCGTGGCCTGACAAGCGGTGCATCGGCGCTTGCCCAGGATCCGAACCCCGGGCCGCCGCAGCAGAGCGTGCGCTCACTTAACTGCTACGCCACCAGGCTGACCCCCTGTCTAACTTGTAAATGCGTGCACCCTTTGATTCACTTTTAGAAAGTTATCTTACAAATGTGCTTGCTTGTGTGTGAATTCAGGCACTTAACAGGTTATTTATTCATTGCCACATATTTTGTTTGTAAGAACAACCCAATGCCCAGTCAGCAGGAGACTGATTAAATGGCCAGGTCCATTCCATTCCAATGAAATACAAGGCAGCCAGCACAAAGAAGGAGGAAACTGTTCATGTGCAGGGCAGGATGATCTTTAAGACCTATTATTAGAGGAAGATACAGAACAGTATGTGGAGTATGCATTTGACAACAGAAAATATATATTTTTATCATGTATGCATAAAATATTTTCTGGAAGGGATACACGAGGAACTGATAACGGTTGCCTCTAGAGAGAGGAAGTGGGGGATTAGGGACTGGGATGGGAGGATGACTTGTCACTTCTACCCTTTGTTCAAAAGCAAACAAATTAAGCTATCAAGAATAAAGCAGATCTTATCTTACTGATAAGATCAGTTTCTAATATAGTTAAGTAAAAAAAGCAAGGTACAGAACAGATATGTAGTATGGTACCTTTTGGGGAAACAAGCTAGGTACACTGTATTTGGAAGGTATCTGGGAGAAGACACAAGACATCAGCAATGGTAGTTTTGCCTGTGGGGTGGGATGGGGGGCTGTAAGTTCAGAGAGGAAGTCTTATTTTTCTCAGGATAACATTTTGTGTAGTTTGAAAAAGTTTTAAGCACATAAATGTATCACCTGTTAAAAAGAATACGCAGAGAGAGACATGGGTGGATGCGTGGGTGGGTGGGTGGATGGATGGATTGATGGATGGGTCGACTAGTGGATGGATGGATGGGTTCCTGGATGGCTGGGTAGATAGCTCTATGGCTGTACATATGGATATGTGGATACGTAAGATAACTTTGCCTGTAGTGGGGAGGACTGAGTGGGGCCAGGAGGGACAGGAATCAGGGAATGGTTAGGAAGCTACTGCAATAGTCCAGGGAAAGAATAATTAGGGCAAGAATCACATTATTGAAATGTGTCACACATGAACCGAGCTTCTTGTCTATGTAACTACATATGTGAAGCCTCAGCATTGTTTTCTTACTAGAAGGGCAAATTCCTTTGAAATGAGCTTTTTCTGGCAACTTCTCAGAAACTTCTGTGTTTAATAACCACCAGAGGCTTAATCCCTTTTTGCACCATCACCTTGAGAATTACGTGTGGTGTGAAGCCAGTGAAAATAATCAGTCTTTGATCTAAATCACTCCTCTCCATGATCAAATTTGCAGGTACAAGGCTGTTTTCCAATTGCCCAAGATCACAGAGATATGACCTTTGTCCTTTTTAGGGTCTCTTTGTGTCTGGAAGTTTCCTAGCTAAATCTCTTTGTGTGTGTTGACCTTTTAAAGTTTACTTTTCAATGATTCCTTGTTCTTGGTTCTGGAAAAATAGCCGTTTATGTCATGGAATAATTATACCTCTGAAGAACCAGTTTAGATGCTTGCTTAAATACCTAGATCTCTCTCTCTCTCTCTTTTTAAGTCAAATTCTTCATTTTTCTAAACCATCTTAACCGTTTTTAAGTGTGCATCCAGTGGTGTTAGTATATTCATGTTATTGTGCATAACTAGGTCTCCTCTTTGAATAGCTTGAAACGTATTTTGGTCAGATTGTGAAATGTTTCTTTAAGTGAAATGCTCTGCTTGTTCCCATCACTTTGTCTTGAACATTCGTCCATGTGGCTTTAAAGCTTGTGTGGAGCTGTAAGATTCCAGGTTCCTTGGAGTTCCTTGGTGGTCTCCTTATCTGATGTGGGAGGGCTGTTGGGATCAGAGATACCTGAGAGCGCATGGTCCAGTGGTAGAGAGAGAAGGCCAGGAGAGAAGTGGGCTGCGTGGGGGCCGTGGCCACCTGGAACACATGGACCTTATCCACAGACTGGCTATGCCCCACCTCTTGCTGATGGTTGGGAATGTGGGCCCAGTGCTGCCAGATTTTCTGATTTTTTTTAAGAGAAGCCAGAAATCCAAATTTTTATATGAAATTTCCTGATTTTAAATGTGAGCAGCTAATGTAAATTTTTTAAAAGCATTCTTAACAACAATAACAACAAACTATCTGTGGGCCAGATTGGCCTGAGAGCTGTCTCTTTCAGACCTCTAAATTGATCTGACCTAATCATGGTAGAGATAGGAAATTGAGCCCCCGCCCCCACCAAAATAGGGTAACAACTTTTCCCAAAGTTGTATAACTGATCAGTGGTCAGATCGGGACTTGGATTAAATTCTCCATTATAGAAATCTAACAGCTGGTTGAAGTTTATTCTTCTGCAGGTAGACCTGATCTGTTTATGTATGTGTCTATCTATCTATCTATTTGGCACATCTGTAACGAAATACAGATGGTTTCTTAAAAAATAAAAGTAATTAAAACAAATCTGTTTCTGAGGCCTAATAGTTTAGTGGTGAAATGCTGGGATGCCAGAACCAAATTGCCTGGGTTTGAGTTTGGCTCCAGATCTTTCCAACTGTGTGATACTGGACAGATCACTGAACTTCTCTGTGCTTTAGTTTTCCCTTCTGGGAAAGGAATGATAAAATACTTACAGAATTAAATGAGATAATACATCCGAAGAACTTAGAATAGGGCCTAGCACATAGAACTGCAATTTGGTGGTGTTGTCCATGCTGTTCCTGCTAATGGTGGTGCTGCTGATGGTGATGGTGATAGTGATGATGGTGCTGCTGCTGATGGTGGTGGTGATAGTGATGATGGTGGTGGTGATAGTGATGATGGTGGTGCTGATGAAAGTGATTGTGGTGATGAAGGTGGTGGTGGTTATGATGATGGCAGTGCTGATGGTGCTGATGAGAGTGATTGTGATGGTGATGATGGTGATTGTGATGGTGATGGCTGTGATGATGGCCATGATGGTGATGCTGATGGTGCTGATGAGAGTGATTGTGATAGGGATGATGGTGATGAAGATGGTGGTGGTTGTGATGGTGGCCATGATGGTGATGCTGGTGGTGCTGATGAGAGTGATTGTGATAGGGATGATGGTGGTGAAGATGGCGATGGTGATGGCTGTGATGATGGCCATGGTGGTGATGATGGCTGTGGATGACGATGATGATGGGGATCATGGTGATGGTGATGAAGAACAATTCTAGAAAGTCTTCAATTCACAAGATAGGAAAGTAGGAATGATTCGTATGACCGAAGGACTCTTCAGTTGCCAGGAGAAAACCCTTCAGGGTTCCTTGCAGTGGCAGTCTGCATCTTGTACTATAATGGAACTTGCCGCGGGTCCCAGGATTTGTCTGTCATGTGGCGAGGCATACCTGTATTCCTCATTCCTTGTTCATAGTCTTCCTGGCTCCTGATCTGTGCGTGTTCTGCCTGAGAGGACCTTGGATGTAGGGGGTCCTGTCTATCTTCTTAAACCCCCAGCAGCTACTTCTGTCCTGAGTTGGTGCGTGCTGTTGACGGCGCCTGTGTTTGTGCCCGCAGGAGTGGAACGTGACATGGAACACCAGCAACCCCGACTTCACCAAGTGCTTTCAGAACACCGTCCTTGTGTGGGTGCCTTGTTCTTACCTCTGGCTCTGCTTCCCCTTCTACTTCCTCCATCTTTCCCGCCATGACCGCGGCTACATTCAGATGACGCATCTCAACAAAGCCAAAACTGTAAGTCACCTGGGCTCTCATCGTGGTGGGGGGGATGTGCCTGGGTGGGGGGTGGCGGTTGCTGGAAACTGACAGGTTTCTTCTACGTAATTGACCCTGAGTCCCTTTTTCCAGAAGAAAAAATAATAACGTGGGAGATAAAGCTGGGGCTCCGGATTCAGACGTGGGCTCCCATGTCGGCTCTGCCGCTCACTAGCTCTGTGACTTTGAGCCATTTCTTACCCTCCCTGAGCCTCAGTTTCCCCGTCATTACAATGGGGATGATGGGATCTATCTCAAGGGATCATCAGGAGATTATCAGGAGGTCTTCCTCCCTGACCAAGGTTATCTCCTCCCACCCTACTTATTTTTTTACTTAAAAAAAAACCGTTTTTATCTTGAAATAATTTCAAACGACAGAGAACTTGCACGAGTGACACTCAGAACTCCCCAGCTGTGTCCCCGTTATTCAGTCGCCAACCTTTAACATTTTGCCACATTTGTTTGATCTTTTGCTCTCTCCATATACACATATTATTATTTATTTTTTCAGAAGCATTTGAGGATAGTCCATTATCCCTTAATTTTTCCGTGTGTCTTTCCTCCAAGCAGGAATAATCTCTTCTGTAACCACATGAAGGAAATTTAATATGCACGCAGTACTTTGTAAAAATCTGTCTGTTCTGATTTTGTCCCTTGTCCCAGTACTGTGCTTTCTAGGATCCCTCCCCTCCCAGTTCAGGATCCGGTCCTCGATCTTGCATTACATTTAACCACATTGTCCCTTTAGCTTTCCTTAATCCGGGAGAACGCGTCCCCTCTCTCTGTGTTTGTGACACTGAGATCTTTGAAGCATGCGGGCCAGTTGTTTTAGAGTGATCCTCCACTCGGGCCTGGGCGATGTTTCCCGGAAAACTACAGAAGAGATGTCGTGTCTTTCCCGGGCCTTTCACCTCGGGTGGCGTGGTGCCCCCCGCCCCTCGTTGGTGGGGTTAATTTTGATCCTCTGACCAGAGAGTCGTGTGGTTTCTCCACTCTGCAGTTGCTGTCTCTCCCCATGCAAGAACAGCCTTCTGAGGGGAAGAGCTGGGAAGAGCGGGTGCATATGCCCCTCGTCCCACCTTCTCCTCTCGACTTAGCGTGCGTCTCAGTTCTTTCTTAAAGCCGCGTTTCCCAGCGCTTAGTTCCATAAACGCTCTGTAAACAGGAGAACTTGAGTGACTTGACTGTAACTGTCCCTTTGTCTATAACACCGCCTTCCAAACCACTGTTCTCTGCTTCCCTGTCCTTGATGAGATCTGATGCCTTAGACCTCGGGAGCACTCTGTACTTTTCTTGGGGAACAACATCTCCCTGTAAAATGTGAATCAGATTTTGTCCTTTCCTTGTTCAAAAACCCTCCGGGAGCTTCTTACCCAGGGAATAAAATCCGGAAGTCCTCACGTGGCCCAGCTTGATCTGGCTCCAGGCTCCCCTTCAGCCAGCTCCTACCGTGGGCGCCCGTTATTCTTTCCACAGCGGGTGCAGACCTGCCCGTGTTCCTCCCTCAGGGCCTTTGCACTTGCCGTTCCCTCTGCCTGAATTATTCTTCCCCTCAAGTATTCACGTTTGGCTCTTTACTCAGATGTCATCTGATGGGAGAGGCCTTCCCTGACTGCCACCCTGTTTTATTTTGCCTCCTGTCACTTATTACTCTCTGGTAGCATATGTATTTTTGAGTTTATTTCTTGCCTCTTTCCGTCCACTAGACTCTCAGCTCCGTGAAAGCACGGACTTGTATCTGTTCTGTTCACTTTTGGACCCTTGGCACCTAGAAGAGTCTGTGGCCCCTAGCAGGCCCCCAGTAAATGTTGGTTGGAGGAATGTTGTTGAAGGAGTGGTTATGGTGTGAGGGGCTTCATGCACGGTGCTGGGGTTGCAGATACAGCCAGTCTGCAGACTGAGCTCTTGAGTTCTCAGGTGCTGGAGGCATAGTGACGGGACAGAGGCAGTCGTGCCTGGGGCGCGGGAGCGGGTAGAACGTTGTTCAGAGCAGTGTGTGGTGGCCCAGATGGTGGCTCCCCCTCCCTGTCACAGAGGACGTGTGCTGTATCCGAGGACCACAGCTGATAGTTTAGGGGTTGGCTGGTCCTCTCGGGCTTTTCCAGAGGTGCTGGGGGATGTCCTGGTGCCGACCGTGGTAAGACGTGTGTGTGCTTCTCTTCTAGGCCTTGGGATTCTTGCTGTGGATCGTCTGCTGGGCAGACCTCTTCTACTCTTTCTGGGAAAGAAGTTGGGGCAAGGTCCTGGCCCCGGTATTACTGGTCAGCCCGACCCTCCTGGGCGTCACCATGGTAAGTGGGAGCTGGCTCTCCGCCAGGCGCTGTGGAGGCCCGTAGTGGCCTGCGTGTAGAAATGAGAAGGTCTCACAGTAGAAATCCAGAAGTCTGGCTTCTCTTGAAAAACGCGAAGATCTGGCAACACCTGACTCATAGTTTTCTGGGGCAGCAGTCGGCTAGAGCTGAGAGTGACTGCAGCCTTTAAACGGGGCATGTGCTATCCAGTTTGCCACAGTCCCCACCATGCCCTATTGCCCTGCCTACCACTGAGGCTGAATGGCAGGTGCCATCTTTTCGTTGTGCTTGCTCTGTTCTGTTCTCATACTGGCTAGCTCAGTCATTTGTGTTAATTGCCTGGGACCTAATGGCCTCTTGAGTTTTCAGCCTCTGGCCTAAGGGGCGGGATGCCAAGCTGAATAGGAAACTGCCCTGCCCCACGGGGGTCCATAGTTTAGTGGGAGGTGCAGACAGGGCAACTACTTTATTACAGCTGACGTGTTTTGAGTACTTACTGTATGCCCGGCGCTGTTCTTGGTGTTGTACGTGTCTTGAAATTAGAAATTAGAATTTATCTAATTCTCAGAACAATCCTGTGAGAGAGGTGCTGCTTTGTCCCCATTTTACAGGTGAAGAGACTAAGGCACAGAGAGGTTATGTGCCCTGTTCAAGGTCACACAGCTAATACGTAGCCAAGGGAGGGCTGGTCACCCCAGAGGCCATAGCTTTAGCCCCTGCGTTCTACAGCAACATGCTGTGAATGAAAGACCTTTCCTACCTGTGCACCACACGCCTCGGGTCCTCTGAGAAGCCTGGAAGGCTCTCGGCCAGCGTAACCGTTGAGCGTTATGGAATGAGGAGGGAGTGCGTTTGGGGTAGGACGTTTGGAGCAGAGAGAATGTGGTGTCCAGGGAAGGGTTGGAGGCCAGAAGGAGTCTCTGAGGGAGGACGAGCCGTTCTGTGAAGCGGGAACGTGGGGGGTTCAGGGGTAGATAGCGGATGCGACAGAAGATGGGTCAGGGAAGGCGGGTTGGCGGCAGGTTGTGAAGGCCCGTGAGTCTTTACAGCGCACGGTAGCAGTGTTTGCTGGGGGCCAGGCACCGTGCTAATCCCTTTACATAGTAACTCATTTAAGTGTGCTTGCTCCTTATCCCCGTTTATAGATCAGCACGTTGAGGCACAGAGAAGTGGAGGAGCTGGCCCAAGGTCACACAGCCTATAAGCAGTGGAACCGGCTTCACGCCCAGGCCGTCTGGCTCCCGTGTCCACTCCACCGTGTGTGTGGGGCTCTTTCCACTACGTGCTCTTCTGCTGGGCTTGGCTCTCCTTGGTGTCCCCAGAGTCCAGCACGTGCCTGGCGTGCACTAAGCGCTCCATAAATGTGTCGAGGGGATGGGTAAATAAAGCGCTTGGCTTTGCGGCCGGAAGGTCGTGGGTCTGCATTTGGGCAGGGGCGTGGCAAGGTGGACTGTTTTGGCTGGAGTAGCTCGTGCTCCCTCAGCTGTCCCTGTTCCTGGTCCTTCAATTCTTTTTTTTTTTTTTTTTTTTTTTTTAAAGATTTTATTTATTCATGTTTTTCCCCCCAAAGCCCCAGTAGATAGTTGTATGTCGTAGGTTCACATCCTTCTAGTTGCTGTACGTGGGACTCGGCCTCGCGTTGGACGGAGAAGTGGTGCCTTGGGGCGCGCCCGGGATCCGAACCCGGGCCGCCAGCATCAGAGCGCACGCACTTAACCGCTAAGCCACGGGGCCGGCCCTGGTCCTTCAATTCTTCATTCGTGCCTGTGTCTGTGACGCTGGGGACGCAGGTGTGAGGGGCTGAGGGTCACCGGGCTTTACGCCTCCTGGGCTCTGGGGTCTGGGCTGGGCTGGCCGAGAGGTGAGCTGGCCTGGGAGAGCCTCGGTCTCTCTCTCCTGCCCAGGACCCCATGATAGGAGGAAGGAGCAGCCCTGCTGTTCACGCAGCCACAGTCTCCCTGCCCCGCTGGGGACGGGAATATACAGGCATTAGGAATCTGGGAGGAGAGGTGGCCACAAGTATTTTTTTATCCCTACTATGTGCCAGGAGTTGGAGATAAGATAGTTCCTGTTCTCATGGAGTGTACAGTCCAGCTGTGCAAACACACATTCAACAAATGAGTCCCAAAAAAGACACGTAGTGTTTATTCTTGTGCACAGTGCTTTGAGAGTGAAGTTAGGTGACCTTGGTTTGGTCTGGGTGTAGGAAGGGGTGATGGAGCTGAGGCGTAAAGGGTGAGCAGGTTATTAAAAAGGTGAAGGCACTGGGGATGGAAGACTATCCAGTTGGAGAAAATAGCACATGCAAAAGTCCTGGGGTCGGAGAGAGAAATTGAGAGTTGGCCTGTGTGGCTGGGCCGGAGAGAGTGAGGAGAGGAGGGAAGCTGGGACTGCAGGGAGGGCAGGGGCCTGACTCTATAGGACCTAGAGCTTCAGGGAAAGTGGGTTTTGTTTTGTTTTTCATTCCCAAAGCTGGGTGCTAAACCTTCTTTGTGTCTAGTCTCCTTCTCAGAATAATGTTCTTAAAAACATAAAATACCCAGGATCACAAAGGAAACCAAGCATACACACATATATATATGAAGATTTTGTACATTTATATTTTACTTGAGGTTTAATTTACGTAGAGTAAAATTCACTCTTTTGTGTGTACAGCTTCATGAGTTTTGGTAAACACATATTGTCACGTAACTGCCACTTCCACAGTCAAGATGTGGAACGGTCCCTCCGTCCCCTCCCCTGACTGCTGGTGTGTTCTCTGTCCCCGTCGCTTTGCCTTTTCCAGAATGTCACGTGGATGGGAACAGGCAGGATGGAGCACTTTGCGTCCGACTCCTCAGCCCTGCGGTTCAGCCGTGTTGTTACCTGTGTCCGAAGGTCTTTTTCTTGTTAATTGCTGAGTGTATTTGATTGTGTGGTTTCACCACCCGTTATTTATCCATTCTTCACTTGCAGGACATTTGGGCTGGGAAACTGATTATATTTAAAAACAGGTATCAAAAGATTAGAAAACAAATTTGAGTGAAAATGTAGGAGCTTTTCTGTTAATGGATCTAGCAGGGGGCGCGACGCCTCTAATTTGCGAACAGCGATGGCTGTTCCTGGTGGTTGAAGACGTCTTCAGCTGTGTGTTTCCTGGTATGATCCTGGTGGTGACAGAGTCCCAGGTGCTGCTGGTGCCCCTGTGATGATTGGCGGTGCTGATGAGGGCAGCCGCAGCTGTAATTGTCTCCCGTCCAAGTTCAGGGACTCTGGGGTTTCTGTCCGTGGCCTGTCCTTGGACCCCGGGTTAAAACCCCTGGTCCTAAAGGGAGAGGGTTTGAGCAAGGGTGTGGCCTGCCTGGCTCTGCGTATTTAAAACCTGATGTGGCCTCTGAGTGGAGACCGGATCATTGGGCGAGGAGGCCAGTGGGGGGCCCTTAGGGTCACCCGGCACAAGGGGACGGAGGCTGGGACCAGGGTGAGCAATGGGTAAACCGAGGACGGGCCTTGGTGGCAGACTCGACACGAGTTGCCGATGGATCAGATGTGGGCAGTGAGGGAGGTGGGGGACTCGAGGAGGACAGACGGACGGACATGTTTCTGGCTCGAGCAGCTGTGGAGTGAGGAGAGGTGGTGTCAGCTGGTGACCACGACCGGCTTTGGGGATCTGCCCCGAGAGGGCGGCTCTGCCCATCTCGGGAATGGCCAGGGCGTTTCCTTCTTTCACGGAAAAGCAGTTGTGTTTATTTTCTATTCCTGATCGTTAAGTCACATGTGAAATGGAATTAATACCCCAGGTGTCAGGAATGAAATAAAAATCCCAGTCCCCACTACTGTTGTTCCAAGGCGGTTCCCTGAAGGCGGGATGCGTGACCATAGCGGCGAGGTAACCCTCATTTCCTCCTCTGCAAGCTGGGGGTCCCCCTCGGGGCCGGGTCGGGTTGTGCTGAGTTGGCGCATGTGAATGCTTGGTACTTGGTGAGCGCTCCCTGAAGGAGAACAGTCACCACTGTTGGCCAAAGGGGATGACGAGTCGTGTCGGGCTGGGATTTGAACTCCGGTCTTTCCAGCTCCAGATCTTGGGAGGGCCACTGCCGGTTTTGTAAATAAAGTTTTGTTGGCACGCAGCCATGCCCCTTCATTCGTGTGTCAGCAAGGGCTGCCTTCACGCTGCAGTAACAGTGAGTAGTTGCAGCAGAAACTCGGGCCCGCAAAGCCTGAAATGTTTACTCTCTGGTCTTGTAAGAGCAAGTGTGCCGATCTCTGTTCTACGCTGGGCTTTCCCCCGACTTTTCCGTCCTCTCCCAGATCTATACCTGCTCTCATTAAGTTCCCACAAGTCTCCAATTAGGTGCTGTTATCATCTCTGTTTTGCAGATGAGGCAGTGGAGGCTTAGAGAGGTTCAGTGACTTGTCTGGGGTCACCCAGCTGGGTGAGAACAGAGCTGGGACTGGAGCTGGGACCCCCCCCAGGCCGTTCTTGCACCACTGGGCTGAGGGCAGCCCTACTCCCTGACGTCTGCAAGGCCCCTGGACCGTGGGGCCCTTTGGGGGCCCTGGGGGCCTGGGCTTCTCCTGACAACTCTGTCGTGTGCTTCTCTCTTCCAGCTGCTTGCTACCTTTTTAATTCAGCTCGAGAGAAGGAAGGGAGTCCAGTCCTCAGGGATCATGCTCACTTTCTGGCTTATAGCCCTACTGTGTGCCCTTGCCATCTTGAGATCCAAAATCATGGCTGCCTTAAAAGAGGTAAGTGGTGGCCTCATTTCCTTATCTTCCTTAGAAGAGATGCTTGTTCCTCCGGCTTGTGAAGAAGTCATGCGTTGCCGTGGGAACCAGGGGCTGGGTACCACATGGGCTGGGCTTCTTCCTTGGGGATTTTCCTATCCCCGCCAGCCTTCGTTCTAGAACCTTCTTTCCTCAGGGCCCCACTTGTCTCTGTAGCTCTCGGGGGCCCATGAGAGTCCCCCAGGGGCAGAGCTAAGGGACAAATGCACACCTGCCTCTGAGCCTCTGTCATCAGTCAACAGCAAGGCAAGTTGGCTCCAGGCAAGGCAAGTCTTTGGTCTGGAACGGAGCTGAGCCGGGAGCGGTGTTCGCAGAGCGGCTGCTCCCCCGGGGCCCTCGGCTTGTCCTCATGTTACCTTGGTGCCACCAGCCGCTGCTCGGGTGGAGGAGTGGTCCCCCTCGGCTGCTATGTGCCGCTCCTGGGAATTCCGGAGAGCGTGCACCTTCAGACCCTGCCCTGGTGGTCCTGCCGTCTTCAGGCTAGTCAGGAACTGGCGTCAGGCAGGAGGAGGAAAAGAAGCTGAGCATTCATTGAGCGCCTGCTGTGTACAGTACAGACTGTCTCGAATAGCCATGGCAGCTGACACTGAGTTCATGTTTTCAGAGTGCTGGGCGAGGGCCTCGGGGTTTTGCGTGGATGGTCTCCCCGCAGTTACTCGGACGGGCTTTCTCAGCCGCAGCACTAATGGACGTTTTGGGCCAGAGACGTCTTTGTTGTGGGGCGCTGTCCTGTGCTTTGTGGGGCGTTTAGGGGCCTCCCTGACCGTCCCTGCCACCCCGTCGGCCGCTGTCACCAGGCAGTGGGGACCCCGGGCTGTGGCCGCCTCCCCCGTGTTATCTTGCGGGGAGCTGGGGCAGGGCGCGGGCAGCCTGAGCGGTGGGCCTGCTGCAGCCCGCTCCCCGCCTCTGCGCGCTCCTTCCAGAAGGTGATCCTCTTCCTCCTTCCTTCCCTCGCCTTTAGGGTGCCGACGTGGACGTGTTTCGCGATGTCACTTTCTACATTTACTTTTCCCTCGTGCTGATTCAGCTCGTACTGTCCTGCTGCTCAGACCGCTCGCCCCTGTTCTCGGAAATCATCAACGACCCCGTAAGTGTGATCACAGAGACACGTGTGCGTGTGTGCGTGCGAGAGATTAGGCGCTTATTCTGAGCCAACATCTTCTGTCTGGATCTCATTCCATCTTCCCAAACGCCTAGAGATAGATAACGTCATCCTCCCTACTTTACAGATGGAAAAACTGAGCCATAGACGTGGCTGGGGGCGGGGCTTAAGGCGAGAATCTGATTGATGGTTGTAAACAGCTGTGTTTTGCAGGCCTGTGAGTTTTCTCATTTGGTTGGGGTACTGATTTTAGAAAATGTGAGCAAACATTTAAAAAATCAGGAAATTTCACATAAATTCTAACTGTCCAGGTTTTCTAGAAAAATGAGTTCTGACAGCATTTGGGCCGTTATCCCACACGGCACCAGTTGGTCAGAGCTGAGGAGTGTGGTCCTAGTTTACCGCAGTCCCCACCACTCCCTAATGCAGTGTTCGGTCTTGCTTCCCTCATTTAGGGATGTACCTGGCCCCTGAGGGGTTTGAGTTTGAGACCGTGGTCTCTTCTGTCAGTTTGAGGGAAATGCCGTGTGTACAGAAGGATTTCAGCAGGGAGGGTGGAGATGGCCACTCTTTCTGCTGGTAGAATAAAAGGGAACACAGTCATTTATCCCCCTTACCTCCATCCTTTCTCCTTCCCAGGACCCAAGTGTATGCAGGTGGTGGTAAGTGCTGAGCAGAAGAAAGCAGGGAGGAGGTGGGGGTGATGGTTGAGGGTCGTGTGCAGTTTTGATGAGAGCCATCAGAGAAGGCCCCTTCCAGGCAACTGCATTGGAGCAGAGACCTAAAGGAGCGAGCTGAGCAAACACACAGGGGCCGAGCCTTCCAGGCAGAGCAGTGGCAAGTGCAAGGCCCTGGGGTAGGAGGTGCCGTGGGATGTCGCGGGAATAGCAAGGGAGGCTGGCATGTGTGGTTGGGGCAGCGAGAGGCAGGAGAGGGCTGAGAGATGGCATCTGAGAGGTGGGGACAGCCCCTGTAGGCCCATGAGCTGTTTGGATTTTATTCTGAGAGGGATGAGAAGCTTTTGGAGCATTTATTCGATGGCTTGTTTGTGGTTAGCCAGCTGTGAGTGGGTGGAATTACAGCAGGAACAGTTTTCAGCTGCCGTGGTTCTGTTGGGTTTGGCCTGAGCCTTAGCGTGAGGCTGAGGCCGCCTCTGGGTGATGAAGGGGCCCATGAGGCATCCGCACGCGGGAGGGGGTGACACTTGCCAACGTGTGTTTTAGAAACCCGTGTCCCGGTGTGTGTCCTGAGAGGCCCTGTTCTTGGATTTCCCTTCTCAAGGAGGAACTGGGTTGGAGAAGTTAGCAAAGCGTGTGCGTGCGTGTATGTGTGTGTACATTTGTTTGTGTGCATCTGTATGTGTGTCTGTGTGTGCATGTGCAGTTATGATGTTCATGTGTTTGTATGTAGAAGTGTGTGAGTGTGTGCGTGTGTGTTCTCGTGCTTGTGTGTTTGTGTGTGTGTAAAGTTCACAAAGGCAGCAGCCACGCCCGTGGCGTCCGTTGGATCCCGGCCCGTGCCTGGCACAGGGGAGACGCTTAAGTATCTGTGGCTGTTATGCCCACTGGTCATCAGTGGGTGTGGATGTGGGCAGTGCAGTGTCCCCCGGGATACGTTTATTACGTCAGGCTGGTGTTAATGTTTAACGTTTGTTAAATGTCACGATCGCACCACACAAGTCACACCTCCCGAGTGGCTCCAGACCTTGGGTTCCTCTGAGGGTGCACTGAGCCTGGGTGGGGCTGACAGGTGGCATTGGGACTGCCCGACCTTTCAGGCTTCCTCTGGGGCCGGAGACGCTGCCCTCTCCAGTGGACCATCCTCGTGCTCTATGGGGGAGGGGGTTTCTGATGTCTGGTCCCCTCTGGGGGTCTGGATAAGGTTCCTTTCGCTTGTTCCTTGGGCGCGTGTGTGTGGAGGTGCCCCCTAGAGCTGGCCTCCTCCTCCTGTGTGTGCCCTGCGTTCCCAGCAGCCTGGGCCTGGGCCTGCTCTGCCACCCTGGGGCGACTGGACGCTCTCGGCTCCAGCAGCTGGAGGCTGGGCTGTGGGGGGGCTGGGACACCCCGGCTCTCCTCCCTGTTCTTTTTCCTTTTTGGGAATTGAGGCTCAGGGGAGTTTGGCTGTTAGACCCTGACTTCTGCCTTAGATCTGCGGGAGGAGGCAGCATGGTGTGCTGGAAGACGAGCTCGTTTTGGAGGTGGGCAGACCCCGGGTCCCTTAATCCCTTCGACAGACAGTTGTTAAGCATCTGTAGCATACGTGCTGAGCTCTGGGCACACAACAGTGTGTGAAATAGACGTGATTCCTACCATGCTGTGGTTCTCTGTTACTGCGTAACAAACCCCCCTGAATTTAGTTGCATGAAACAACAGCAGTGGTTTGTCACTATATTTCACAGTCCTGGGCGTTGACTGGGCTCAGCTGGGTGGTCCTCACTTGGGGTCTCTCCTGCAGTCACAGTCAGGTGGCACTGGAAGGCTTCCTCCCTCACTGTCGGGTGGTTAACGCAGGCCGCCGGCTGGAGCCTCGGCTGGGGTTGACAGCTCCCTGTGGTCTCCCCCGGCGGCCCGGGCTTCCCCACAGCATGGCCGCTGGTCTCTGAGGGCGGAAGCTGTGTCACCTCTTATGACCCAGTCCTGGCAGTCACATAGGGTCACTCCTGCCGTCCTCTCTTTTTTTTTTTTTTTTTTGTGTGTGTGTGAGGAAGATCAGCCCTGAGCTAACATCCATGCTAATCCTCCTCTTTTTGGTGAGGAAGACCGGCCCTGAGCTAACATCTATTGCCAATCCTCCTCCTTTTTTTCCCCCAAAGCCCCAGTAGATAGTTGTATGTCATAGCTGCACATCCTTCTAGTTGCCGTATGTGGGACGCGGCCTCAGCATGGCCGGAGAAGCGGTGCGTCGGTGCGCGCCCGGGATCCGAACCCGGGCCACCAGTAGCGGAGTGCGCGCACTTAGCCGCCAAGCCACAGGGCTGGCCCCTGCCATCCTCTCTTGACTGAGGCAATCACAGAGGTCTTCCTGGGTGCAAGGGTGGGGGACACAGACCCCACCTCTGCATGAGGGAGTGGCCAGGTCTCACTGTAGGAAGACCGTGTGAGATGACAGATAACGTCTGACCATCTTTGGAAAATGCAGTCGGCCACCTGCCCTTGGGAAGCTGATGGTCTCGCTGGGAGACCGCCGTGAAGCAGGGCGGCAGACAGATAACTATGTAACTGCCATGGAGAGCAAGGCCGAGAATCACAGGACGTGACTTTTGGATTTGTGACTTGGGGCAAGTCGCTCCTCCTTCCAGGACCTCAGTGTCCCCGTCTTGAAAATGGGTTGAGGCTCGATTTGGTGCTGCACCCCTCTCCTCGCCCAGATCTGACCTGTGATCTGGGGAGGGGGTCACTGTTACCCGCAGGGCTCGCATCGCAGCAGAGCCTGAAGGATGGGAGAGTCCAGTCCCGCCGCTCTCCTGTCCTTGGAGAGAGCGGTCACCCAAGGCCACGGTGGCCAGGCTCAGGCGGGGCCCGGGTGGGAGCCGGCTGCCTGGGCTCCTCCAGGCTCCTGCTGCTGAGTCACCGAGCCGCCGTCCTCCCCAGCTGGCCCGGTGCCCGTGGCATGACTCAGATGTCAATTCCGGCCTTGGTTTCTTGGCGGGGCTGCTCCCCTCCGCTCTCCAGGCCCTGGGCCGACTGGGAGCCTGGGTGCGGCTGGTCCCCGGCTCCTGCCCCGTCACTGGTCCCTGGGCCTTTATCTTGCTGGCCCTGAGGGTGGGGAGGGCGTCTCCATTGGCAGTTGGGGTATCCAGGCCGAACGTGGTCATGAGCAGACCCTCACTTCTCAAGTGGGGTCCTCAGACCAGCCACACTGGCATCTCCCAGGTCTTGTTAGGGGTGCCTCCTGAGACGTGCTGAGTCAGAATCGCGTGTTAACAAGATCTCCGGGTGGGTCACGGTTGAAAAGGACGGGCTTAGCACGTTCATCAAAAACTGCTGAACTCATTGGGTGTAAGAGGTGTTTTTAGTCCCGTCCATAAATACGGAATGTTTTTTTCCCAACATTACGAACATTTCAAAGCTACAGAGAAGGGGAAAGGATTACGCAGTGATTTCCCGTCTGCCTACCAGCTAGATTCTCCAGTTAACGTTTTGCTAAACTTGCTTTATCACATGTCTATCAACCCAGCCAGCCAGGCGAACCAGCTGACTTTTTAATATCTGAAACTACTTTGAAATACCTTAGTACCCTTCACCCAAACACTTCGCCTTGCAAATCGTTAGTGAGAGTTTAATATCTGTTTACAGTTCTGTTTTTTTTCCTTAAAATTTACGCAGTGAAATTCCTGAATGTTAAGTTACCATTTGATGAGTTTTGATAGATGAATAACTCAGACTCCTGTCAAGGTACAGAACATCGTCAGGACCCCAGAAAGTTCTTTCTTGCCCCTTCACGGTCAGTCTTTACCCCTCACACCCCAGAGGCGACCGCTGAGCTTAGACTGTTTATGAAGGCATCGTAAACTCCGTTTTTAATTTCTTTCTCCTTTATGCTTTCAATCATTTGGGCATTCAGTGTTGTGCCGGGGGCTCAGCTGGGCTCTGAGTACCTAGAATTGAGCAAATGTTGACCACTGCCCTTGAAGAGAGATGGAGGAGGGGGCACCAGACAGATAGACTGACAGCTGCAGGATGGACAGTGGGGCGCCAAGACGGGAAAGTGCTGGGGGCTATGGGGGGCTGAGGAGCAGTCCTTAACTCAGCCTGGGGCTCCAGGGCCAGCATCCAGGGTTGGCATCTCAGGGATGCCTGAGCCAAAGAAATGACAGGCCTCGGCCAGGAGAATAAGGTTGGAGAGTGGACAGAAAGCTGCTCCTGGTAGAGGAACCAGCATGTGCAAAGGTCCAGCGCCGTGATGGGTCTTGGCTGTTTGTGAATTGCATAGAAGTCTGCCTGGCTGGGTTGGAGGGGCCGGGGAGCCGAGCATGAAAGTTAAGGGTACAGTTGTGTGTCACCACAAGGACTTGGAATTTTGACCCAATGGGAGATTTTTTGGCAGGGGCGTGACACGCTCAGGTTGGACATGTTTTGGAGGATTCCCTCGGGCCGAAAGGGGGAGAGTGCGTCAGACACGAGGCTGGTGGCACTTACGAAGCCATTGCAGGAGCCCAGGCGGGTGGAGAGGGAGGCTGAGCTGGATCGTGACCCTGTGTACACTAGAGCATCGAAAACCAGGCAGAGAAAGCAGACAAGTTCATGGGAAAAGGGCAGCGTGCCCGTGGTGCGTGCTGCAGTGGAAGAAGCAGATTCTGAGCAGGGAGGCAATTTGCACAGCTGGTAAGCGGCAGAGCCGACAAAGACCACCAGCGTTTACAAGTTGTTCCGACGAATCTCTTAGGGTTGGATGTTTAGGTTTTCCCAAGCGATAATAATGATAGCGGCTTGGCGCGCTGTGTTTATTTATTAGCTGTGTTTATTTATTAACTTATTTAATCCTTGAGGCAACCTAACGAGGCAGGACTATGAGTCTCCCTCCATTTGACAGATGAAGACACTGCGGGTCAGAGTGGTGGTGAAGAGTCTCGCCTGAGTTCCCGGGGCTGGATCAGGAGCCCTCCACTGGGTCCACACACCGGAGCAGGCATTGGCATCCCCTGGAGGGCTTGTGAAAACCCAGATCATTGGGGCCCACCGCCAGAGCTTCCGAGTCAGGAGGTCTGGGTGGGCCCGAGCATTTCCAGTTCTAACAAATTCCCAGGTGCTGTGGGTGCCCGTGGTGGGGGCACATTTGAGAAACGCTGCTCTAAGCTGTGCTGCTGCCTCAGGCATCCCTTACTGCTGGCACTGAGGCCACGCAGGCTGGGAGTAACCGGCAAAAAACCGAACTAAAAGCAGAATCAAAACCAGAAAAGATGTGGGGAGACCTAGAGAATGTCAACCAAAGGGCCAGAACCCTGAAGGAGCCAGATGAGGTCTCCAGAGTGCCCTGTGCGAGGGAATGAATGACCAGTTCTCCAAGAACCAGTGCCCGGGCCTGTTATACCAAATTGGTTTAAACCCCAGGGTTTTTGGCCAGGTCACCTGGCGCCAGATGCAGACGCCAAGGAATAGCTCTGTTTGCGTAAATCAGACTTTCTCTTCCTCTGCCTTCAGCCAGGGCTTGTGTGAATCATTCTCATTTCTAAATGAATGGGGTTCATAGCCTCCTTTATCCCGAGACAGCAGTTGCTCCATTTCAGTCTCAGAGGCGGGGAGCCCCCAAGCTGGCAGCTCTGCCTGGTCCACTTGGTGGATTATGTCAGAAAGTTCTGGAATGCTGCCTGGATCTTCATCCAGTGCCCCATCCCTCTTTTTCCTTCTTCTTTTATTATCAGTTCTTGACTATTTCAGAACTCCAGTTGTTGGTTACCAAACAAGGCCTTCCACGTCAGATGGGGACTTCTACAAACCGGCTCCCAAACTGATGTATTTCCTTCGCTGTGCTGGTGACGAGGACCCTGTGTTGGCCCGCTGTGACTTCAGATAATCTGAAAATCCGTGTTTGGATGCAGGGGTGGGGGAGTGCAGGGGGGAGAACTTTGACAAATCTCTTGGGGTGTGCAAATTAGAGTCTGTGAAACGTTCATGTTGCTAATCCGACTTTATTGCATTTGCCGGATGAGTTTTCTCACAGTGGCTGGAGTTTTACTAGCCAGAGCGAGGACTGGTCTTCCCCTTCTGGGTGCTCATTTCTTCGTGTCTCAGGATTACGACTCCATTTGTGCACAGTTGGGTATAAAGGGAAGGAGTTCGCCTTCAACTGTGCAGTCGACAGGTTGCTTCCTTCTCGACCCACAGCTGGAGTCGCCTGGTTTTGAAGGAATGCCAGATTTGTGCGGCCCCTGTGTGTGTATGCCTAACGCCCCTACTATTTGCACCGTGCCTCTGTGCCAATTAGAAAAAGGTGTTTCGCCCCGTCGGGGTGGATGAATTTGAGAAATTCCTTCAGTCCTAATAATCACTGTCTGTTTGTAGCTGTGTCCCCAGCTCTGAGCTGCCTCCTGGCATATGAGCAGGTCCTCCCTAAATATTTGCTCAAGGAGTGAGTGAGTCACTGCCAGCTGTGCTCCACCCCTCCCGCTGCTCTGCCATCATCTCAGCTTTTCACAGTGGGTAGGAATTGGGCTACAGTTGAAGGGCATTTGCGGTTTCCTGATAACCCACCCATTTCCACAAGGAAAACCAGCCTACAGAGCAAATACCGCCGCCTCCTCCATGAATAATGTTGCTGCCTTAGGTGGGGAAGATTCCAGCTTACCACACAGTCCCGTGGGCTCATTTCACTTCTCCCTCCTTGCGGTCCTGTGAGGTAGGATGAGCAGTGAGACTAACCGCTTCCATGTCTCAGATGTGAACATCAGAACATCAGACTTGCTGAAGGTCATTCAGCTGGAAAATGGCAGAGCTAGGATTTGAACCCAGGTCTGGCTGGCGCCCACAGTCTGAACTTACTCTGCTTTAGGTTGGCCTGGAATATAGGTCTGTGGGCCAGCTGGATCTGATTTACCTTATTAAAAATAGGCTGATGCCAGGGTTCTGCCCCTAGAGATACTGGTCTAGTTGGTCTGGGGTGGGACCCTGGGCGTTTGTGTTTAACAGGCTCCCTGGGTGATGCTGGGGCAGCCGGGAGCCCACCCACCTCATGACCTCAGAGTGGAGCCTTCTGGTTCTCACTGGGGAAGCTTTTTGCGATAGAAAGTTCCAAATGTGTGCACAAGTAGATGACAGTATAATGAACTGCCATGGACTATTTACCCTGCGTCGCATGTGTGAACATTTCAGTGTATATCTCTGAAAGATAAGGAACTTTTAGTTTTTAATAACTCCTGGTTTTGAAATAACTTGACTCACAAAAAGTTGTGAAAATGGTAGCATTCTGTTCACCTTTCACCCAACTCTCCCCAATGATAATATCTGCAAGATAAAGATTTAAAACCGTACAACTATGATATCCTTATCTGGCCTAAAACATTAATAATAATTCTTGAATATCGTCAAGTATGCCAGTAATTCGTGGTGGTTGCAGAATGGCACACTCTTCTTAGGTTATGTCATTCCTCCTTCATTTATTGGCTGGACTGTTTCTATGCAGTCACTTCCCCTCATCTCTTTGGTCACGCTGTGATGGTATTTATTAGAAAAAGCAGGAAAAAGGCTTATTTCCTGCCCTTTTTCTGTTTTCAAAACAACGACTTGGTTCACTGGTGTCGTTTCATCACTGACACCAAGAGGTGGTTCTTCTTTTCTAGTATCAGTGTGAACTTGTGTGTTTAAACATATGTGATGTGTTCCAGTCCATCGTGTTTATTATCCTGATTGCAGCTCAAATTATCCTTTTCTGGGCTAGTAGGAGCCTCTTCCTTTGGAGGAAGAGCGGTCCGCTGACTGCTCCCTGCCGAGCGCCGGCCTCGATGAGAAGCGTCTTTGTTTCCTCTTCCTCCTCACCCTGTGTTTTCTCTCCGCTAGAATCCTTGCCCGGAATCCGGTGCCTCCTTCCTTTCCAGGATCACCTTCTGGTGGATCACAGGGTAAGGCCCGGCCCCCAGGCCTCAGGCGGGGTGTGGGGGACACGCGTGTGCGACTCGGCCTGCCTTCTCCCTCCCTCCCCCTGTCGGACAGAGGTGTGTCCTGAGTGTGCCTGCCCTGGGCACGGGGTCTCACAGACACCGACCCTGTGGCCCACGTTCATGGACTCGAGTTGCACGAACCGTAAACAGCTTGAGTGTCTGTGGCCAGCTCAGCCTGGGGCTGTCGTAAGCCATGTGCTCTTGGCTGAGCTTCAGATCTGAGTATTTTGTACATTAGGTGTAATTAAATTGGCATCCTTTCAGATTCCTCACCATTAGAAAGGTAATACCCGTGCCCCGTAGGAAATGTGGGTAAGAGAAATAAACATAGATCAACAACCAAAAAACACCAGAACCAACACTGTCATCTGTTGGATACGCTCCTTCTCATCCTCCTTTACTTTGTATATTTTTTTCTTGCCCGTTGTCAGCGTCTTACTGGGGAGTATTTGAATCCTTCCCCCCTTGCTTGTTCCTTGCTCTGGAACAAGCATTGTTCCTTGTCTGTATAAACTTTTTACAAACATTTTTTTTTAAATTAAATATTTTTCACGCTTAATTATGTTTCAAAGTACTCTCGAAGAACCTCGCAGGGACAGTTGGTGTCATTTGAACATGGGCTGCAGGTCATGCCGTCCGTGCTAATATTTCTGATTTTGGTGACTGGACTCGGGTTATATGAGAGCATGTCCTTTTTGTTAGGGGACACACGCTAATAATTAAGGGTAAATAAAGGTGTGTGGAGTCTGCAACCAGCTCTGGAATCGCTCAGAAAAAAATAAATGTTGACATGTGTGTGCGTAGATAGAGCAGATGTGGCCGAATGTTGACCATAGTGAACCAGGCGAAGGGTGGGCAGGAATTTTTTGTATGATTTATGTGATTTTTCTGTAAGTTTGAAATTATTTCAAAATAACATGAGAATATTAGGTTTACCCTTTATTATGACAGTGTTCAAACGTGCAGAAAGGCTAGTCTAATAAACCTCAATAAGCTGATCACCCAGATTTAATGATTGTCAATGCTTTCAACCCTATTAGCCTTAAAATTTTTTTTAAGTAAATTAGAGCCATCCTATTTCCCTCCTAAATATGCTGTATGTTCTCTAAAAACTGAGGGCATGTTTCCTGGGTGACCGAACAGAGTTAGCAGTAATTGTTAACGTGCCCAAATGTATGTCCATATTCGGATTTTCCCAGTCACACGGCGCCCCCGTTGCAGTGGACGGCCGGCGGTGGCCGGTGGGTGCGGTGAGGGCCATGGTCCTCTTCCTCCCGACTCTCACCGCCTCCCCGCTGTGTCTTGCCCAGGTTGATGGTCCGGGGCTACCGCCAGCCCCTGGAGAGCACTGACCTGTGGTCCCTGAACAAGGAGGACACCTCAGAGCAAGTGGTGCCCGTTTTGGTCAAGAATTGGAAGAAGGAATGTGCCAAGGCCAGGAGGTAAGTACAGACCCTCTTGCCGCAGGGGAAGCCAGACACGCTCTAGGGCGACCCGGTCACCTCCATCCTGCCACCGTGGCCGGAATGCTGGCAGTGCCACCTCTCACTAGCTTCCTAGTCCTGGGCAAGTAAGTTGCTTTACTTCTCCGAGCCTCAGTTTGCTTATCTGCAAAATGGGGTTGAGTCTTAGGTGTAGCTGGGGCCACTTGGGTAGGAAAGAGAGAGAAAATGTCCGTTGAGTGGGTGATTGATTCTGTTTGCCACCACCCTCAGCGAGCGTGTGCCCGGGGTGTGCGACCCTGCCCTCCTGAGTGGGTCTCCTTTTCTCTGAGCGTCCGGCATCTGAGTGTTCTTGCTGTTGCAGGTGTTCTAGTTCAACATGCCAAGCCAACCGCTTTGTGAGGGGTTTAGCCAAAGAGGCCCCAGTCAGGTGATTTTGACTGTACTGGATTTTTTTTTTAAATAGACTTTCTTTTTGAGAGCAGTTTTAGGGTCACAGCAATATTGAGCAGAAGGTACAGAGACTTCTCATATGCCTCCTGCCCCCAGCCGTGCACAGCCTCCCCCACTATCAGCATCCCCCACCAGAGCGGGACACCGGTTACTGCCGATGAACCTGCACTGACACACCATAATCACCCTGAGTCCGTAGTTTACGTCAGGTCCACTCCTGGTGTCCTGGATTTTAGCCACTCCTCCCGTGTAAGCTGCGGGCCACCAGGTGACCTCTGTCATCTGGTTACTTTGGGAATCAGGCCAGGACCTCCCCAGCACGTACCTTATTTCATCAAATCTAAGACGTCCTGGAGAATTGTACGCTGCGTCACTGTTTTATGTACCAGGAAGAAAGAAAAACGGCTGCTAATTAAACCAGGACGTGTCTTTGACTTAAGACGCGTCCTGCCTCCAGAGGAGCCAGATGAGAAATCACGAGTGACTTGGGGGCAGCGGATGGTGGCTGTAGGGGCAGAGCAAGGAGTGGCTGTTATTACTGCTGTTCTTGTCATGAACTGGGCGTGTTATTCAACCTTCTAGAGCCGGCTGGCGAGGGGGCCGGCCTGGCGTGCTGGATTCCCCACAGCCCAGCTGGCCTTCCAGGAGAGACCCTGGACTTGAGGTCCGCTTCCTCACCCCATTGCAGGAACGCCCAGGTCTTCAATCCGGCCCGGGCAGGGGATGGGAGCTTGGGATAGCCATGCTGCTGACCGCAGCAATAGCAGCAGAAGGCCTGTGGCTCTGTGCTGGTGGCCCGTTCGGGATGGCCGTGGACGCAGGAGGAGTTTCTTGTGGGAGGCAGACTGGCTTGAGCCTCTGTGGCCGAGCATCCGAGGAGACGGCCCGTGTTCTCTGTGCACACGCCTCTGGCTGAGTCCGGCGTCCGTGACCCAGGGGAGGTTTTCAGGCAGACGCGATGGGGCCCCTGGGTCCTTCAGCCTGGCCGGCCGCATCCTTCTTGATGACAGGCCGCGTTTCAGCTTGGGGTTCACCGTTCCTCGTTACCCAAGCCCCGCCGACTGCGTGGCTCGGCCTCCGTCCCACGGTGGGTGGCGGGTGATGGCCAGCGTTGTGTCCCGGGGCTTCGCAGTGAGCAGGCTGCTGGAGATGCCGTGGGAGAGGCCGGCCGCGAGGCTCTTGGAAGAGAGGACCCGAGTGTGAACAAGAAGCTCTGTCAGCGACCTGGCGCTTAATTGATGCGTTCAGCAGATACGGTCGACGGCTGCTGATGTGCTCAGCACTGCGTAGGCCCTGGGCGTTCAGAGAGGGGAACAGAACAGACAGACTCCTTGTTTGGGGCACTTACACTCCACGGGGGAGACAGACAGGATGTGGAGAGTCAAACACACTGACCAGAAACTTGGGAGAGCGGTAAGTGTTATGACGAGATTAAAATGAGGAAATGAAGGCCAGAGGAACTGAGGAAACAGATAAAGACTCGGTGGTCAGGCATGGCCTCTCTGAGAAAGTGAGGTTTGAGCAGAGGCTCTGTTGATGAGGAAGTGAACCATGTGCATGTGTGGGAGAAGGGCTTTCTGGTGAGTGGGAACAGCTAGTGCAAAGGTCCTGAGGTTGAGGTGCGATTGGTATGCTTATGGAGCAGCAGGGAGGCCAGGGTGGCTTGAGTGGAGTGAGTGAGGGGGATAGCGGGAGAAAACAAAGTGGAAGTATTTGCAGGGTCTCATAGTCTCTGGTAGTGAGTTAGGGTTTGATCCCAAGTGCGTGAGAAGACAGAGGTGGTTTTATGCAGGGCAGTGGCCTGTCCTGAGGTCTGTTTTATAACAACCAGTTGGGCTGCCCTGGGGCAGGTGGATCCCAGGGGCGGGAGTGGACGCAGGGAGACCAGGGTGGGGCCTCCGGGGGCTATGCCTCAAGTCGCTTCATGTGCCTGAGCCTCTGTTTCTACTCAGAGGGCTTTCTGAGATCTTGTGAGATTACCGTCATCTGAGGACCTGGGTCATGGTCCTGGGTACACCCGGGGCAGGTGATGTACAAGCTGTGTTAATTCACCTGGGCGTGGCGCCAGCTTGGGGCTGCCGTCTTGCCTGGGAGGACACGGGGAGAACTGGCTTGCTGGCCTTGAATGGGGGCCACCCGGGGGGCGCTGGCTCTGTTAACACTTTGGTCTTTAGGGGTTCTCAGCCTGCGGGTTTGCTGCCTTGGGGACACTGGCAGGTCACTTGCTCTGTTCCTAGAGGTGTACGCCAGATCTGGCCCCTGTGACCCCTGTGGACCTGAGGGGGGAGTCCTGTTCTGGGCTGGAATTTCTTGGTGTGGCCCCTTGCAGCGAGGCCTCCTCAGTTAGCTAGAGACAGGAACACAGCCTGCGTCACCTCTGCGCTGCCGGGTGTCCCGGGCCTTCTGGGGAACAGGTGATGGAGGCCTGGGCAGGGGGTCTGCCTTGGGTTCTTGGCTTTGGGTCTCGACGCCCCCACCTCCCACCCTCTCTAGCTCTGAGTGACTCCTCTCAAGTCAGGTCTGAGCTGCCCCCCACCCCCCACCTTTGGGTTTTAAAATCCAGTGTTGCGTTGGTTCTTGTCAAGTGATATTGAATTTAACAAAATGGAGTGGACATTTCTCTTCAACTTATGGCCTCCCATAGGTTAGGGCCATTTTGGACTGTGGTTCCTGCTGGCGTGACTACAAAATGGTTCAGTGGCTCTGGAAAAGTTTGGCAGTTTTAAAAAAAAAAACTTAAACGCTTGTTATAGCACCCAGCCATTCTAGTCCTGGGCGTATACCCTAGAGAATGGAAGACATAGTTCGTAAAGGACCCGTATAGGAATGTTCATAGCAGCTTTATCTGAGATGGCCAGAGCTGGAAGCAGCCCAAACGTCCACTGACAAGTGACTAGATGTGCAAATCATGGTGTCCCCACATAAGGGAATACTTTTAAGTAATACAAAGGAATGAACTATTGATACACTCGATGACGTGGAAAAGTCTCAAAATAATTATGCCGAGTGAACAAAGCCAGACGAGTGTACATACTAGGTGAGTCCATTTATATACAGTTCTAGGAAATGGAGACAAATCTGTAGCAACAGAAATCAGATCAGTGGTTTCCTGGTCCGGGAGAGGTAGAGAGGTGGGAGGGAGGGATTACGGAGGGACACGACAGACCTTGTTGGGTGATGGATGTGTTCATTATCGTGATTTCACTGATGGTTTCACAGGTCTGTACATATGTCACAACTCACGAAATCGTAAACTTAAAATACGTGCCGTCGATAGCACATCAGTTACGCCTCAAAGCTATGTATAAAAAAAGCAGTAGCGTTTAAAGAAAGGGTGACCATCTTACGTAACTGTCTATTTCATAAAGGAATGCAAACAACAAATAATAAAAAAAACATCATTCTCAAAAATGCACGTCATAACCTTTCAGGTCCATTGTCCTCTTGAATACAAAGAATTTGTAACACTTCCTTTACTGTACTTTAAGGAAAGATAAAAATAAAAATAACCTACCCATGGGCCGGCCCCGTGGCTTAGCGGTTAAGTGCGCGCGCTCCGCTGCTGGCGGCCCGGGTTCGGATCCCGGGCGTGCACCGACGCACCGCTTCTCCAGCCATGCTGAGGCCGCGTCCCACATACAGCAACTAGAAGGATGTGCAGCTATGACATACAACTATCTACTGGGGCTTTGGGGGGAAAATAAATCAATAAATAAAATCTTAAAAAAAAAAAAATAACCTACCCACGTATCTAATTTTAAAAGTCAACATAATGCTCTCACTAGACTTTAAAGGAAAACTAACAGATGAGGGGTTTATATAATAAAGTGACCTGTATTTCAGTGTATAAATTCTCAGGCGTACGCTAGAAGACAGAATGAATACTCGCTGCTTGTTCTTAAATGAAGAATTCTCTGCAATAGCTACACGTCCCGACTGACCCGGGCTGTGTGGTTCTGGAGACCAGAACTGTCGTCACCGTCAGTGACAAATGACCAACACTTGGCAAAATCCTGAGCAAAATAGAGTCTTCCCTTAATTTGCATTCCTGAAAAAATTTAAGGTATATTTAAACATGCAGAAACGCACACCACACTGTATATGGATTTATCTCTGAAAACGAAGTTAGATTCTAGACTTGGGTCGTTTTAGGCAGACTTTTCACCTACGTGGACGCCTGGTGGGATCTTCTTCCTTTGGGACTGTTCTGCACAGTGACAGAAGGTCTGGTCTCTGGCTCAGTTGTCACGACAATCAGAGAATGCAAATTTGCAAAACAGCCCCTCTTGAGAGCCTCTGTGTTTGAGGAACAAAAAGCACTAAAAAGAAAACAAAAAAACAACCGAAAAAGGGAAGAAGATCTTAAAAGTCAGTGCAACACATTTAAATTCCTGCTCTACTTTTATGGGGGGAGGGAGCTGCCATACCCATCTGTTGTCTCCAAAACTGTGGTCCCGTATATTGTAAGCTCCAAGAAGAGTGAAAATGTGCGTTCGGTTTCTAAAATCCCTTCTCTGCAATTGTAGATCAAATCTGCCCTTCTCTGTTGTGTTGGGTATTATGGGTCAAAGACCATGCTCAGAACAGTATATCCAGAAAATTTAGAATTTTCATCCAGCCAAGACCTTTTTAAATTTGAAATTTGGCCTTGGTCGGAATGTTAAAGATCTTATTTAACTAATGACAAAGCAGTCGGTAGCTCCTCACTGCTCTCTGATTGGTTCGAGCCCCTCCTAGTCTCTCTCCCAACTTGAGATTCTTGTAGTTCTTGGAAGGGCTGCCTTACCTCTTTTCAAAATCCTGAGCTCCAGGCCTTGCTCATCCTGTTCCTTCTGCCTGGAGCATCCTTTCCTTCCCCAACTGGACCTGCTCCCTCATCCTGCAGGTCTCTCCGCGATGTCACCTCCTCCAGAAAGCCCCCCTGATAGCACCCTCACCCAGGCACATGCAGTGGTGTTTGCTGACCTCTTTCTCTCAGGAGGCTCCCTGATGGTGGGGCTCTCCCCAGTGCCTAGCCTGGAGCATGTGTTCGGTTCATTAGTGGATGAGTGACCTGTGGACACTGTTGCCCACATGGAAATCCAGTCGAGTCAGCAAGTCCCTGTTTCTTCCTAGCCTCCAGCTTCCCCATCGCGTTTTGTTCCTCTGTTCTGGGCAGTTTTCTCCTGACTCAGACCTTCCCCTTCCAACTTTCCTTTCCCCTCCCAGCCAGACCGTCCAGATGCCCTGCTCGCTTCCATTCCCCTCCGGGAGCACCTTCCTCCCTTGTGGGCCTCTTGGTCACTGGATGTTTCTCGTTTTCTCGCTCGGCCTTAGCTGATTTCTTCCACTGTTCTCGACCTCTCCCACGCAGGCCTGAGCCCTCCTCCCCTCTGCCTGCCCGACACCCTCTCTCTGGCCCTTTGGCAGCCCATCTCCTGGCCACTGACAGCAGCCCTGAGTCAGCCACGGCCCACGCAGGCCTGGGGCCTGGGCCCGGCTTAGGAAGTGGTGCAGAGAATGAACAGGGGTGGGCCACTCCCTTCCTCTGCCCGGCCTTCTTGTCCTTGCCAAGGAGGCGTGTCTGTCCCAAAAGAAACCCAGCTTCAGGAGAAGTCAGAAAAGAAAGGGAAAGACCTTACGTGGTGACATTGACAACATGAAAAGAGAATTCTCTGTGGTCAGGAGAATAATGCCCCCCCCGCCAGATGTCCACATCCTAATCTCCAGAACCTGTGAATATGTTAGCTTACGTGGCAGAAAGACTTTGCAGATGTGGTTAAGGATTTTGAGATAGGGAGACTATTCCGGGTTACTTGGGTGGGCCTGATGTAATCACCAGGGTCCTTGTAAGAAGAGAGAGACGGGAGGTCAGAGAAGATGCTATGCTACTGGCTTTGAAGATGGAGGAAGGGGCCATGAGCTTAGATTCTAGGCAGCTTCTAGAAGCTGGAAAAGGCAAGAAACAGGTTCTCCCCCAGAGCCTCTACAAGGGAGGCAGCTCTCTGGGCCCACTTTAGATTTCTGACCTCCAGAACTATGAGACAATAAATTTGTTTTGTTTTAACCCACTGAGTGAGTGGTGATTTGTTATAGCAGCAATAGGAAATTATACAACTTCACACAATTTAGATTTTATTCTGGATGCGGTGGGAAGCCAGCAGTGGAGTTGAAGTAGGAGATAGATACGTTTTTAGAAAGATCCCACTGGCTGCTGCCCAGGGAATTGGTTGTCAGGGAACAAGGGTGGAAGGAGATGGGGGAGCAGTGAGGAAGCCCTGCAGTGGTCGCTTGCATGGGTTGGAGTCTTTGGAGATGGGAAGAGTAGTTGAATGGCTCCATGCATCTTGGGAGTAGAACAGACAGGACACACGCCCGATTGGACCTGGAGAGCATGAGGGAGGAGATCAAGGATGATTCCCATGCTTCTGGTCCTTTCCTGGGGTGGGGAGCACAGACGGGAAGGATAAGGACTTGACGGAACCTAGACCAGTGCCCACAGTTGGCAGTGGCCACAGTGGAGAGAGCCAAGGCGGGTTGGAAGGCTGTGGTCTCCAGGAGGGAGTTTCTGGTGGTCCTTGTGGTTAGATGTGGCATTCATGTGACAAGCGAGAGTCCCCTGAAATCGAATGCTCTTCAGTGAACTCTTGCCGTGGAAGAATTCTGTGAATTGTAAATGTTAGGGTTGGGTGGGGATAAAGCTTGGGTGTGTATTTCAGTGGTGGAGCCTGCATTTGGCTATAATGAGGATGTGGCTCTGACTGTATTTGATTGAGCTGGGAGGTGTATCTGTTGCTGCATGACAAATTACCCTCAAACCTAGCAGCTTAAAACAACAATGAACATTTACTATCTCACACACTGTCTCTGGGTCAGGGATCTGGGAGTGGCTTGGCTGGGTGATTCTGGCTCAGAGTGTCTCATGAGATTGCAGTCAAGATGTTGGCTGGGGCTGCTGTCATCTGAAGGCTCGACTAGGGTACAGGCTCTGCTTCCAAGTTGCACATGGTTGGCAAGTTAGTGCTGGCTACTGGCAAGGTCTCACCCTGCGGGCGTCTCTGGAGGGCTCATTGAGTGTCCTCACAACATGGCAGCTGGCTTGGGCCAGAGTGAATGATCCAAGAGAGGGCAAGACGGAAGTCACAGTGTTTTCTATGACCTAATCTTGGAAGTGACAGTCATTCCATCATTTCTGCAGTAATCTATTCCGAGTGGGAGGGGACTCCACAGGGACATGTATGAGAGTTCCGATTTCTTGACATCCTCGCAAACACTTGTTATTATCTGGCTTTTTGATTGTAGCCATCCTAGTGGGTGTGGAGTGGTGTCTCACGGTGGTTTGGGTTTGCATTTCCTGATGAGTCATGCTGTTAAGCAACATTTCATGTGTTTATTGGCCATTTACATGTCTTCTTTGCCTCTTTTGATATTGGGTTGTCTTTTTCTTATTGAGTTGTAAGAGTTCTTTATATGCTCTAGTTACCAGTCCCTTATCAGATTGTTGATTTGCAAATATTTTCTCCCATTCTTTTGAGTTGTCTTTTCACTTCCTTGATGGTGTCTTTTGAAGCGTAAAAGTTTTTGATTTTGATGAAATCTAGTTTATTTTTTCTTTTGTTGCTGTTGCTGTTGGTGTCATATTTAAGTATCCATTGCCAAATCCGAGGTCGTAAAGATTTGCTCCTATGTTCCTGTCTAAGAATTTTATAGTTTTAGCTCTATGTTTAGGTCTTTGATCCATGTTGAGTTAATTTTTGTATCTGGTGTGAAATAAGGGGTCAGCTTCATTCTTTGCGCGTAGCTATTTAGTTTCCTGGCACCATTGATTGAAAAGACTGTTGTTTTCCCATTGAATGGTCTTGACACCCTTGTCAAAAATCATTTGGGCTCATTTCTGGATTCTTAATTTTGTTCCATGATCTGTATATGCCTATCTTGATTATGATTGTTTTAAAGTGAGTTTTGAAATCTCGAAGTATGAATCCTCTGACGGTTTTCTTTTTCAGGATTATTTTGACTATTCTGGATCCCTTGAGTTTCCATACAAATTTTAGAATTAGCTTGTCAGTTTCTACAAAGAAGCCAGCTGGGATTCATAGAATTGGGTCAACTCTGTAGATCCGTTTGGGGCTGGCACTCTTCTACACCCTTCACCTACATTAACTCATTTATTTTCACAGAAGCCTCAAGAGGCTGGTTCTGTTTTTATCCCCATTTTACAGATGAGGAAACTAAGGCCTGGAGAGGTCAAGGAACTTGCCTAAAGTCACATAGCTGGGCAGTGGCCAGGCCAGGATCTTGAGTCCGTGTTCATAACCAGCGTGCTAAGCTGCCTCTCTGCAGTGCCTGGTTTTCTCTGGCCGGGCCTCCTCGGAGGGGTGGGGTTCTCTGGCCTCTCCTGCAGCCGGTGGGCCGAGTCTCTGGCAGACCCTGCAGCTGTTCCCCACTCCTGTGTTCCAGGCGGCCGGTGAAGATCGTGTACTCCTCCAAGGATCCCGCCAAGCTGAAAGGGGGCTCCAAGGTGGATGTGAACGAGGAGGCCGAGGCCTTGATTGTCAAGTCCCCCCAGAAGGAGCGGAACCCGTCGCTGTTTAAGGTGCTCTACAAGACCTTCGGGCCCTACTTCCTCATGAGCTTCTTATTCAAGGCCCTCCACGACCTGTTGTTGTTTGCCGGCCCGGAGATCCTGAAGTAAGACCTCGTCCTGCCCAGCTGGGCCCCTCTGTGTGTCCTTGGTTTACCTTTCACTGTGATACTCCTAACCTTCGGGTGATGTGGCGTGCTCTGGGGGCTCACAGCCGGGTCTCCCGCTCTGCCTGCTTTGCTTTGTGCTTTGCTTTCGTAGCATCTTAGTTAAGGCCACTTTGGTTGCAAGTGACAAACACCTACTAGGCTCCTCTGAAGCCAAAAGGGGGAAGACAGAGGATTATCTTGGGAAAGTGAGAGCCAGAAAACATGCCGGGTGGCATGAAAGTTGCAGCCTGGAACCAGAAAGTCAGAAAGGAGGTCACCTCTCTCCTCTCTGTTTTTCCTCGCTCTCTTTCTCTCTCTGGGGCCACACATTTGTTCTCTTGCGCTCCCTCCCTCTGTCCCTTATGTTCCTATTTTGTCACCTCGGGTGACCCGCAGGTGATGAGACAGAGTGGGCAGTGCGAGAGGCCTAAGGCAGAGGCTGTCCCGCGCGCTCTGGGCAGCCGGCACAGTCAGGGCACCGTGGTGGGCTTGGATCTCCATGAAGTGCCAGCGCCTGCCCCGCCTGGCTCGGGAGAGAGTTGAAACCCCGAAACTGAAGGACTGGCCCTGCACGTGTGTGTCACGGTCACATCGCTCCGGCTCTCCCCCTGCCCCTTCACAGGTTGCTCATCAACTTCGTGAATGACAAGAAGGCCCCGGACTGGCAGGGCTACTTCTTCACGGCACTCCTGTTCCTCAGCTCCTGCCTGCAGACCCTGGTGCTCCACCAGTACTTCCACATCTGCTTCGTCAGCGGCATGCGGGTCAAGACGGCCGTCGTCGGGGCCGTCTATCGGAAGGTGGGCCCGCGTCATGGTCACGACTTCGGCGTCTGCCGCAGCCTCGGGACCTGGGGGACTCAGTCACTCCCAGACCAGTGCGGGGATGTCACGCCCAGCTTCTGGAGCAGTCGGATGAGGTGGCCCGAATGACTGAGGGTGGCAAGGATTGACCCTCGGGCATAGACCTTTTTCTGGCTTCAAGGGTGGGTGTGTCGGCTGTCTGGAGCCCCCGTGGCAGCCGTGGATAACTGAGTTTCTTAGGTGGATTGGTGGTCCTTGATTTGGGGAAATCCAGGTTCCAGTCCTCGCTCTGCTGTTAATATTCAGTGTTCAAGCTTGCTCTCACTCTCCATTTGGACCAAGCAGATGGCGCGCTCCCTGGGTGATAGAGTACATACGTAGCGGGCGTTTATGCTCATCCGGCTTTAAAGGAACTGGATTACCTCCTCGGTCCCTTTGTTTCTTAGTCTCTGGGCCAGGGACGCTGCTTGGGCCCCGTGGGTTGGGAGGAGACTGTCTAGCAGATAGCCGGGAAAGATTTCATTGCTTCTCAGCCCTGTCTGCAAGTGAGACTCACGGGAGAGCCGGGGCCACACCCCAGCCCAAGGAAACCAGGATCCCTGAGGGTGGGACCCGGGCATCTAAAACTGCCCAGGTAAGGGTGTGAAACCATGTTTCAGAACCAGGGTGGACGCGTCCCTCCAGGGGATGTTGGGCCGTGTCTGGAGACATTTGTGTTGTCATAAGTGGGAATGTGGGGGCATCTAGTGGGTAGAGGCCAGGGATGCTGCTAAACATCCTGCCATGCACAGGACGCCCCACAGAGAATTATCCAGCCTCAAATGTAGTAATGCCAAGGTTGAGAAACCCTCGCCCAGACCTCGGTCCTTCCTCGTGGTCTGGGGACCAGCACGTCACATCACGTGGGAGCTTGTTAGAAATGCAGAAGCCCAGGCTCTGCCTCAGACCTGCTGAATCAGAAACTGCATTGTGACAAGCTCCCCAAGAGATGCGTGTGCACGTAAGTGTGCGGAGCCCCGGTCTGGGCGACCTCTGAGGTCCCTCCCGTATTGAAGAGCTCCAGATGGGCAGGCAGTGGGTGCTGTCGATAAGGGGGGGCCTTTGTGATGAGACAGACAAGCTGGGGAGTCAGATAAGCCGGCAGGGGAGGAGAGAAGTCGGTGGCCTTTTCGCTCTTGAGCAGTATCTTCCTCCACACGGGCCTGGAGGGAGAGAGAGCCCAGGGCTCTTCACCACCCACTCACCCTCTTTCCCTCTCCTTCGTCCTGCAGGCCCTGGTGATCACCAATTCAGCCAGGAGATCCTCCACCGTCGGGGAGATCGTCAACCTCATGTCTGTGGACGCACAAAGGTTCATGGACCTGGCCACGTACCTTAACATGGTCTGGTCGGCCCCTCTGCAAGTCATCCTTGCTCTCTACTTCCTGTGGCTGGTGCGTGTTTGATGTCGGTCCCCGCTGTGCTCAGGGAGGGGCCTCCATGAGGGGGCAGTGGGGTCAGGGAGTGGGTGTTGCTGATAAGAACAACTAGCTCACTGGTATTTCTTGCTGTTATTTGCATTTTACTTTCCGGTCTGTTAGCCATTTCCTGGATGTTTTATTCCTTTTCTCAGTTATTCTCTATGGTGACAGGGAATTTGTTTGCGTTTGTCTTTTCTTGATACTGAATGTAATTAACAACCCTACAACATATACACTATATTTCTCCCACTGTATCCTTCCAAATGCTAACCAAACTCATTTATTCACTAGTCCCTAATTACGTTGGTCAAGGTTCTTTTCGTTGCCAGGGATAGAAATCCATCTTAAAATAGTCTAAGCAAATAAAGGGAATTTTGTGGGTGCATGTAATGGAAAGATCCAAGGATCAAGCTTCAGGCTTGGATGCATCCAGGAGTTCAAGCACGGTTGTAAGGCCTCAGGCTCATTCTGTTTCATCATTTCTTGGCCCTGTTTTCCTCTGAGTTGACTTCATTCTCAATGGGACTTCCCCAAATGGCTTTCATAGCTTTGGGTTTATATCATCTTTATGGATCATGTTGCCAGAGAAAAGAGGATATACTGCGTTCCTCTTTGCCTCAGCCACAGTCCCAGGGAGCATTCTCATTGGCCTGACACAGTCCTGAACCAATCACTGTGAAGCAGGAGGCAGGGTGCTCTGATTGGCCAGCCTGGGTCACATGCCCTCTCCCACTGGGGAAGAGGTGGTGTGATTGACAGCCTCTCCACGTGGGGAAGGGCAGTTCCCAAAATAAAAAGATGATGAGCAGAGATGCTCATCGCCTAACACATGCCTTATTCTTTCCCACCTCTTGAGCCTTTGCGTGTGCTTTTCCTCCCACCAGAAATTCCCTTCCTTCCCTCCTCCCTGCTGATGAAAACCCCACCCATTCTTCAAGGCTGTGACAAATGACACTCCCACTGATCCCCCCCCATTAGATAGACTTCCTCCTTTTTTGAATCCCAATAACTTTAGTGTAAAAACGCCTCTGACTTTATCTTCTAGAATAGTTTTTGCACACTCAGTGTGCCACTCCCTCCTCACTTGTAGCGAGCGTGTTAGCAATTCGTGGACTCTCAGCATCTTGTCGCCTTCCCCTGTGGGTGCCATCCCAGCAGGGCTGATGCATAATAGGTACACAACAAATTATCTGTTGATTTGACTGTAGTTTGCATATCTTGCATATTTGCAGAGCAGAAGGTGAATGATTATAAAGCGTTCCCAATAATGAAACTTAGAAAAAAACCCTCAGAATTCAAATATCAAAATAAGTGTCTTTTCAGGCAGGCATCTTGGGGTATCCATGTCCCCAGAAAGTGCTGCTGTGGGTAAAATATTTTTGGAACGCTTCTTTTAGAATTGCCTTCAGGATTGGTTTCTGAACCATTAAGCAAATGCTTTGTTTTAAATGAGCATTGCTCAACTTCGGCTCTATTGACATTTGGGGTGGATCATTCTTTGTTGTGGGGGCTGTCCCTGCATTGTAGGATATTCAGCAGCATCCCCGGCCTCTACTCACCAGATGCCCGTAGCATAACACCTCCCTGACCCCGCCCCCAGTTGTGACAACCTAAATGTCTCTAGACATTGCCAGATGTCCCCAGGGGGAAGTTCCTCTCTGGTTGGGAACCGCTGGTTTAGACCCGAAACAGGATTTCTCTAGTCCAGCATCAAAAACGTGGTACACAGGATAGTGGGTGACGGGGCGGGCTCTGGAACCAGACTAGCTGGGTTCAACTCTTGCCTCCTCCATTACCAGCCCTGTGACCTTGTTACTTAACCTCTCTAAGCCTCGCTTCCTCATCTATAAATTGGACCATTTGGTGCATCAGCAGCATTTTTCTGGAACTAGGACGGGAGCCTTCGAGGGTGACGTGGAAGGGACTGACTGCTGTTTTTCTGAATGCCTAAGGGGAAAACATCATGTTACCCTATAGTTCCATGTGTATGTTTCAGCTAAGTAAAGGTGCAGGGGCCGACTTCTCTCTCAGTATAACTTGGAAATTGAAAGGTGTAGATCCGTATCTTGTCTCGGCCACTTCACCTCTCGGAGCTCTAGTTTCCTTATCTGCAAATAGGATAATAGAACCAGCCTACAGCCTCTTATCTACAAATCCCCAAAGCAAAAAGCTCTGAAAAGCAACAGTTTTTCTTAATGCGTTTGATGGTAAAACCTGACCTGAACTGATGCGAATCTTAGAATCTTGATTCTCCCTCAGTGTGAATATTTCTATTTTGCTGCTGAAAAATCAGAGCACTTGATCCTGGAGTGCTGTGCCAGGCCCCGCTGGGGCTATAACACAGTATACGGCATATACACCCGTTCAGGGGTCCCCAGGACCACGCCAGGTTCAGGATTCGCTAGGAGTACTCATGGCTGTAATTCGTCACAGCAGGATTAGCAAAGAGTAAAGGTGCAGGGGGCAGAGTTTGGGGGAGACCAGGTACCAGCTCCCAAGAGTCCTTTCCCAGTGGAGTCCCACAGAATGCACTTAATTCCCCAGCAACACGTGACAACACGTGTGAAGTGTTGCCAGCCAGGGAAGCGCTGTCGAGACCCCGCACCCAGGGTTTTTATTGGGGGTGGTCCCATGGGCAGCCTCTCCCTGGCACACACCAAGCTTCCAGACTCCCAGAAGGAAAGGAAATTCTGCATAAACCGTATTGTTTGTACAAACAGCTGAGGCACAGGAAGCCACTCTTCTCACTTCTGAGAATGGTGGGAGCCCTCCCAAAATCCGAGCTCCCAGACACCAGCCAAGGGCCAGAGTTGTAAGCAGGCCTTCAAACCAGATAAACAGCCATCCCGGCTGTGTCCATGATTTTCTGCTCAGTACCTTATTACCTTTCTGAAATTCTAAAGTTCTAGTTTGCAACACTCACCTGGTTCCAAGGTTTTTGAATATGGGATTGTGGACTTGATGTTCTTAAAGGGGTTCTGGGACCCTGAGAGATGCTCAGGAATAAATCTGGAAATTCTTAACAGCCCGTGGCTGGGTAGAAGTCATGTAGCTGCCCAGAACACGCTCAGCGGAGTGGGTGTGGGGTGGCTCGGCCTGTGGAAGCCCTGTGTTGAGGCCTTTGTTCTCTTTCCTTCTAGAACCTGGGCCCTTCTGTCCTGGCCGGGGTGGCCGTGATGATCCTCATGGTTCCCATCAATGCTGTGATGGCCATGAAGACCAAGACCTACCAGGTAGGGTGTTATCTCCACAGGGCTGCAGGCTGGGCCCTTGCCTGAGGCCTTTCCACTTGGATTTCAGCCGAGTTCCTTCTGCTCAGCCCACGGGCTTCCCAGCCTGGCCCACCTGTTGGAACCATCTGGGGAGCTTTGCCAAATGCTGACGCCCAGGCCCCGTTCCTGGGATTCTGATTCACTTAGTGTGGGAGGGGCCTGGGCACCGAGATGTTTCAAAGCTTCCTTCCTACGTGATGACAATGGGTGGCCAAGGTTGAGAGCTCCTGAAATAGTCAGACCTGGTGGGCCAGCTACTAAAATCACTGCTGTGAGCCTCTGAGAGATTCCTTATTTCCCATGGAATTTATTTATTTATGTGTGTATGTGTTCAAGAGCTGAGGAAAAATTAGCCCTTATTTTTTTTTCTTTTAAGCTCTTGCCTTACATTAGGCGCAGTGTTAAACTCTTTATTTTCAGAGTTACCTTGTATTTTCTAAGTTTTTAAATACCCACGTAACAGAGTGAATGCCTTCTCATTATAAAAAAGCTCAAATAATACAGAATTGTGTAGATTAAAAGGGGATGTCCCCTTCCCTATCCTTTCAACCACAGTGAACACATTGAGGCAAATCCTTCTAGAACTTTCTATGTGTTTATATAGAGATCTGATTCACTGTATATTTAGGTTTGGTGTGTATATGTGTGTTTTTGTGGTATTATCACCATATATATTTTTATTCAAATGGGCCTGTTGGCAGCATGATGTTATCATCTGACATCATGCCTAGGGGATTTTTCTGTGGTGTGCCGTATAGTCTGACTTCATTCTCTTGAACTGATGCCTAATGGTCCATAACAGAGATGGGCCAGCGTTTATTTCTCTGCTCCCTTGTTGATGCTATTTATGAGGAGCCTGTGGAGTTTCAAATGAGAGCGCTTGGCAGCACGGAGGATGCCGGAGGAGAGATGAGATCCAGGATGGGGGCCTGTTGGGGTGAGAGGAGGACAGGGAAGGAAGGGGGCTTGGGGCCATCACCTTTCATCCTCTTGATGTGTAGGCGTCCGTGAGCAGCCTGCCTCTGAAACAGCGTCAGTCTCTGGCTTCCACCTGTGTTGCTTAGAGTGTCCTCATCTGTGACCCAGGAGTGACCACAGCACTTAATGATAGGGTTCTCGTGAACAATAAATGACTAAATGCAAGTAAAATGCTTAGAAAAGTGCTTGGCATGTGGAAAATGCTGGAAGGTATTGACAATGCTTAACGACTGTGTGGCATGGGCACCCAGGGGTGGGAACCAGTGCCGGCTGGTGCAGAAACCTTCCAGTATTTTAACAACCACGTACTGGCTGAAAATCAATGAAGAAAATAAGAAAACGCAGAGAAAACCCGAATATCATCTCTCTTATGTTTGGATCAGCAGAGTAGGGCCCATACCTCTTCTTTTCTGGACGCCTGAAAGGTTTTTCTTGCCTTGGGGCCAGCCCCGTGGCTTAGTGGTTAAGTGCGCGCTCTGCTGCTGGCGACCCGGGTTCGGATCCCGGGCTCGCACCGATGCGCCGCTTCTCCGGCCATGCTGGGGCCGCGTCCCACATACAGCAATTAGAAGGCTGTGCAGGGCCGGCCCCGTGGCTTAGCGGTTAGGTGTGCGCGCTCCGCTACTGGCAGCCCGGGTTCAGATCCCGGGCGTGCACCGACACACTGCTTCTCTGGCCATGCTGAGGCCGAGTCCCACATACAGCAACTAGGAGGATGTGCAGCTATGACCTACAACTGTCTACTGGGGCTTTGGGGGAACAATAAATAAACAAAATAAAAATTAAAAAAAAAAAAAAAAAGAAGGCTGTGCAACTATGACATACAACTATCTACTGGGGCTTTGGGGGAAAAAAATAAAAAAAAAAAAAATTAAAAAAAAAAAAGATTTTTCTTGCCTCGATTCCTTGATTCTAAATTTAATAGGATTCTTAATGTCTAATTTAACAAGATTTGAAGCACTTTTTTTGCCTTGATAGGAGGGCCCTTTGGAGTGGTCTCAGGGTTGAGAGTAGGGTTCATGGGGTTGCAGGGGCTGTTTAATGGGTGGGGAGTTGAATGATGCTCTGCTGCCAGGGCCGGAAGGGAGCAGCCAGCCCCCGGCGCCGTGCTGAGTCCTCTTCTCTTTGCAGGTGGCCCACATGAAGAGCAAGGATAATCGGATTAAGCTGATGAACGAAATCCTCAACGGGATCAAAGTGCTGAAGCTGTATGCCTGGGAGCTGGCCTTCACGGACAAGGTGCTGGCCGTCAGGCAGGAGGAGCTGAGAGTGCTGAAGAAGTCCGCCTACCTGGCAGCCGTGGGGACCTTCACCTGGGTGTGCACGCCTTTCCTGGTGAGTGAAGCCGGATGGATCCCGGCCCACACCGCTCTACGCTTTACGCTCTGTTTTCATACCTACATGTTTTTAAGAGGTCACTGTTGCAGCAGGGCCCTCTCCGACCACTCTTTTTAAAAATTGCCACCCCTCCCTCCTTTATTGTATTCACGGCACTGAGTGGCTGCCAGCCCCCGTTTGTTCCAGGTTTACTGTGAGATGATGAGTTTGCTCCTAATGTCAACTGTCTCTGCTTCCTTCGTTGAGAAAGTCGCGCTAAGAAAACAAAGTCGGCGGAACTAAACTGCGTGCGTGGGGCCATCGTTGAACCCCATTGTGGTGTCAGCTCCTTATCTGTTGCCAGCTGGTCATCAGCTGGGTTGGCGTGAACCACGCTTGGAGTAGCAGTGCCACACACACTCGAAATTTACTTATTTCATTTACTGCCTGTCTGTCTCTCTCCACTAGAAGGTCAGCCTCAGAAAGGCAGAGATTTTTTCTTTTCTGTCCACTGCTGTATCCTCAGTGCCTAAAACAGTACACAGTAAGTGCTCAACTAATACTTGTCGTTCACTGTAAAAAAAAAAAAAAATTCAAACCATACAGAAAGGTATAAAACAAAAAGTGGATTTTCCTCCTTTCCATCTGTCTCTCTCCTCCAAAGTGACAGTTTTGTGTAGCTTTTCAGAAAAAAAAATGTTTATGTGTATAGATATTTCTGAAAATATTTTAAAATATTCAAATGGAGTCATACTATATGTAGTGTTTGAGGCTGGTTTTTTTTTTTTTTACTTAATAATGTAACCTCTCAGTTCATTCGTTCAGATCTGCTTCGTGTGTTTTAACGAAGGGTGCTTGTCTGGAGTGTGGAGGTGCCAGAGTGGACAACTGATCTCCCACTGCTGGCTTTTTAGGATGGGCCCTGTTCTTTGCTATTAGGATCCACGCTGCACTGAGTGTTCCAGTGCGCATGTCTCAGGGTACATTAGTGGGTCTGCCCTGGTTGGCCAACTTGGAAATGTTCAAAGACCACAGTGGAAGTTACTGTTTTACAAAGGTGGTCCCAAACCAGAAGACCATATCGAGGTGGACTTTAGAAACCCTTTATGCAGGGCCAGCCCCGTGGCGTGGCGGTTGAGTGCGTGCGCTCCGCTGCTGGCGGCCCGGGTTCGGATCCCGGGCGCGCACCGACGCACTGCTTCCCCGGCCATGCTGAGGCGGTGTCCCACGTGCAGCAGCTGGAAGGATGTGCAGCTGTGACATACAACTATCTACTGGGGCTTTGGGGGAAAATAAATAAAATTATTAAAAAAAAAAAAAGAAACCCTTTACGCACAGTTGACAGTTTAGAATGGTTAAGGTTGACTTCAGACCATGCCCTTGAGTTTGTTCGTTCTTTCTGTTTTTGTCTTATTAACTATGTCGTTCTTTTTTTTTAATGTTGTGCTAATAATGACTATGACTTTTTAGTTAGGTTGGCAAATATATATTCTTATGGAAAGTTTCTGTGAACGAAAACCACACATTTTCAAAATATGAAACTTTTCTATTAGGCTACCATTCCCTTCGTCACAGCAGAGCTGCAGGTGGAATGTTTAAGGGAACTCCTGCCTTTTCAGGGTTTGTCGAAGTGTGTTCATTCTGACACTGGATTTTATTAGGCTCTGCTTCATGTCTCCCCGAGTCTGGACCTCCACGCAGGGCAATATGGTGGGAAGCAGTGATGTTCAGACTTGAGTGCACATCAGAATCACCTGGAGGGCTTGTTAAACTCAGCTCACTGGGCCCCACCAGAGGTTCAGATCCAGTAGGTCCGGCTGGAGCCTGGGTATTTGGATTTCAGACACGTTCCTGGGTGCTGCTGCAGCGGTTGGTTCCGGGTCCACACTTTGGGAACTATTGGAGTAAGTCCTCACTACTCAGCGTGTGGCCCATGGACCATTGGCATCGGCATCACCTGGTTGCTTGTTAGAAACGCAGACTCTCAGGCCCCACCCCAGACTAGCTGAAAGAGAATCTGAATTTTAGCAGTCGCCCCCTAGGTGGTTCGTATGCACATTGAAGTTTGAGAAACACTGGCAAAAAGTAGGAGTAAACAAACTTTTTCTGTAAAGGACCAACTAGGAAATCTTGTAAGTGTTCTGAGCCATATGGCCTCTGTCGTAACTGCTCACCTGTGCTGGTAGCCATAGATAATACATAAATGAATGGGTGTGGCTGTGGTCCTGTAAAAATTTATTTCTAGACACTGAAATTTGAATTTCACGTAATCTGCGTGGTCATAAAATATTATTTTGCCCTTTTTTCAATCATTTAAAAATGTAAAATCCATTCTAAGCTCATGGGCTAGGCATAAACAGGTGTGGACTGTGGGTCACAGTGTGCTGACCTCTGGCTTAGAGGAATGGAATGTTCTTCTGAGAGTCAGCACACCTGCTGAATTCTGCTGCCAGCTCAGGGTGACCTGAAGCTGGGCGTTCCGCCTCCCTGCCTCTGGGTTTCCGCAGATGAGACATGAAGGTGTTCGGCCGCAGGGGTGTCACATACGAGCCCCTGCCCTCCCCCAGCTCCCATGGCCACACCAGCCATCCACCAGTCATGATGTTCTCTCCCAGTGAGTTATGTTCAAAACAGCCCTCCAGGTGACCACTGTCACTTGATGGGAGTTGGCACAGAAGTGACATTTCTTCACTGTTCGGGGACTCCATGTTCCCTAAGATCCCTTCCGGCTCGAACGCACCAGCGTTCCGGGCTGGAAGGTTCTGCCGTCTCATTCTTTTCACACTCCATCCTTGCCGACTTTCCCCAGGTCTTTGACGACTCTTTCGGTTTTTGTAAGAAAAGTAATCTAAGACTGGATGGTGGTTATATAGGCTGTTCATTTATTATTATTCTTTAAAATGTTAAATTGTCTCTGCATGTTTATAACTGTTAAAATCTCTTTTGTACATGTGATCCATTTTATTTTAAAAATAGGAAGTAATGCATTCCCATGGTAAAAATAGTTAAAGCTACCAAAGGGCCTGCAACAGGACTTTTCAGCCTCAGCACTCCTGACGTTGGGGACCCGATAATTCTTTGTTTCTTTCTTTTTTTTTTTGGTGAGGAAGATTTGCCCTGAGCTAACATCCATTGCCAGTCCTCTTTTTTTTTTTTTTTGCTTGAGGAATATTGGCCCTGAGCTAACGTCTGTGCCAGTCTTCCTCTACTTTGTACGTGGGTCACCACCACAGCATGGCTGATGAGTGGAGTAGGTCCATGTGCAGGCTGATGAGTGGAGTAGGTCCATGTGCAGGGTCTGAACCCGTGAACTTGGGCTGCCAAAGCAGAGCATGCGGAACTTGAATCATCTGGCCATGGGGCCGGCCCCTCTTTGTTTCTTTATTGGGGGGCTGAGCTGTGCATTGTAGGCTGTTTAGGAGCATCCCTGGCCTCCGCCCACTACATGCCAAGTGGTACCTCTCCCCCCACCTCCCTACATGTGACAATCAGCAATATTTCCAGACAGTGCCATATGTCCCCTAGTTGAGAACCACTGGTCTGCAGTGAGAGGCACAGCTCTGTTCCCCCTCGGACCCCAGGCACCTAGCTCTCCTCCCCACACCAGTTTCTTAGGTGTATTTCCAGAGAGAGTCTATGTATACCAGCATAACAGTGACTATATGTAACACATATAATTAAACTTCTATATCTCTTTTATTTACTTTTACACAAGTGATGGCAAATCATACAGAAATCCGAGGCATTTTGAATGGCCTTTTTTTAATAGGAAAAGATCTGCAGCCAGCGGGGCAGGTGACAGGGTTTAGCCCGTCGGCCGTACTCCACTTAGGATGTGGGGCTCTTTTCCCATAACCAGTTGCTGTGCCCCTTGGATCCTCCGACCAAACCTGCAGCTCCCAGCTTGTCACCCGAATGTGCTGACCCTTCACTTCTCGTCTCCTGCCCTGGTCTCCGTGAAGAAGACCAAGAGACGCTTCAGAGCAAGACAGGCTCTTCTTGACCCTGAGTTTGCCGCTGAGTTTCGGGGTGGGTGATGGGCTTCCAGAGGCGGAGTTTATTGAGCTGTTTGGCATGAAACAGATGAGCTGGGTGTCGGTGGGGGACCTTGGCCCTGGCTGGGACACCGAAGCCTCTGACTACATTAGGATAAAGTATGTGGCCTGCAGTTCCCTTGGAAGGTATTTCATGTTCTTTCCACTGGCAGATTCCTGCCCTTCAAGGGTGATGAGGTGTTTACCCACCGGTAGGTGTGATGGAAGACAGAGGCCTGGGAGGTCAGACAAGAGCGGGGGTACCATTTGGTGGGATTGATGGCACTGTTTTTCTAGAATACAGAGTCTGGCATTTATCATGTCCACTTAATGCACTTTCCTAAAATAGCATCCCCAGGCAGCCATCAGTATTTAGCATTTTCTGTCTTGGATGATTTACGAGCTTCTTGGATGATTTGCGAGCTTCTTGCCTCCTACTTACTTGTATCTCCTTGCAGTAGGATGTTTATCATTCCATATGGTAATTTCTGTTGTGTAGTTCTCTGCTGACCAGATCATCCATGGACCTTGTCTTTTTGCTTGTAGCCCTAGAACATAGGGGACTTGGCAAATGGTGCCCACTCAGTAAGTGTATGCAGAGGAATGACTGAGTAAATGAATGAGCAAAAAGTTTGAATAAACTGTCAGGAACTATCTTGCAAGTGGCAGAAACCTAACTCAGATCTACTAAAGTCAAAAAAGAAAGGGGGATTTTTGAGTCCCAAAATGGAAAAGTCTAGAAAAGTGCTGATTTTAAGTACAGCTGGGGTTTCAGGCATGGCTGGATCTGGGTGCTCCAAAGATCATGTTGGGAATAACTCCTTTATCTCTCAGCTCTGCTTTCTCCATGGTGGTTTCTTTGTCAGACGGGTGCTCATGATGCGGTTACAGTTCATCCTGTCATCTCAGTAACCCCTGGGAGAAGAGAGCCCCCCCTTTCCCAGTAGTTCTTGCAGAGCTGTGGGATTCAGTCTCATTGGTTGTGGTTGGCCACATGCGTATCCCTGAATCACTGCAGGGCTTGGATTGGCCAGGTCTGGGTCATGTAACTTCTCTTGGAGCTTGGGGTAAGGTGTGGGTGGTTCATCTGTGGCTGAAGCTCGTAGACTGAGATTGAGAGAGGTTCCGTTCCCCAAAGGAAAATTGGGGTGTTGTTACCATAAAAGGGGCGAAGGATGCTAGGCAGACAGGAAGAACAGCTGTCCACACAGAAAGACGTCGGGGGTTGGTCTGGAGTAGACGGTTCAGTTATCTGCCACATTTCTCAGAGGAGACACTGTTAGCACTTAGAGTGGGACTAGTGTCCCTCATTGTTTGCGGAGGACTTTTTATGTCCTTGACCCTCACCCATTACAAGGTCATGGCAAACCCCAGCCTGCCACCGCCCACAGCCCCACTCACCTCCACACACTCCCCAGCACCCCCTGCCAGAGAGAACCTGGGTTATACCTGTTTCCCACTAGACTGTGAGTCTCAGAGTCACCAAGCTGGCCTCACTCCCCAGCACACAGTAGGTGTTCAGTTAATAAGTGATGGAGAATGAATCACCTTCACTTCCTGGAGAAGCCGGGGCTGTGGATCTGACGGGGGCCATATGATGTTGCTTGCTCTCTAAATGCTCTCTTTGTTGCCGGCAGCCACCCGTCAGCAGGGCCAAGGGAGCTGGTCTGTTCTGGTGCTGAGATGACTGAGGCCTCGTTTTCCCCACTGCTGAAGAGACACCTCTGAGTGTATGCTCTCTTGCCCTCGGGCAAATTCATTCATTCATCCACACTAAGCTACCCGTCTACCTGTCCATCCATCCATCCGTCCATCCACCCACCCACCCACCCATCCATTTACCCATCCACCTATCCATCCATCCCTCCATCCACCCACCCACCCACCCATACCTCCATCCACCCAGCCACCGACCCACCCATCCATCCACCCACCCACCCATCTGTTCATCCACTTGTCTGTCCATCAGTCCGTCTGTCCACCCACCCACCTACCCATCCACCTACCCATCCACCCATCCATCTATCCATCCATCCACCCACCCACCCACCTACCCATCTATTCATCCGCCTGTCCATCCATCCATCCACAAACATTTACCGAGCATCTGCCATGATCAGGTACTGCCCTAGGCACTGACGATAGAGCAATGAAGACTGCAAACAAAAATCCCCACCCTCATGGAGTATTCATTCATTCTAATTGGGAAAGACAGACAATGAATAATAGGTCTAATAAATACATCATATAGTATGCTGAACTGTCATAAGTGCTATAGAAAGAAAAGATTCAGGTCAGAGTGACAGGGAGGGCTTCCAGTTTTAAATAGGATGATCGAAAGCCTCACTGAGGAGGTGACACTTGAGTAAAAGGAGAGGGAAGAGTCAGTGCAAAGGCCCTGAGGTAGGACTGTGCCACCCCGTAGAAGGAATAGCCATGGAGGCCAGCAGGGCTGGAATAGAGGGAGCAAGGGGGAGAAGCGCAGGAGAGGAGGTCAGACAAGTTATAGAGAAGGGATGTTTACAAGTCAGGCGGGCCCTGGGTCCTGAGTCAAGACTTTGGCTTCTATACAGTAGAATAGACTGACTTAAGAGAGTTGTTTTTTTTTTAATTTGTTATTTTTATTGAGATATAATTCATCATTTAAAAATGTATAGTCCAGTGGTATTTAATATATTCACAAGGTTGTGCAACCATCACCGCTATCTAATTCCAGAATGTTTTCATCACCCCAAAAGGAAACCCTATACTCATTGGCAGTCGCTCCCATTCTCCTCATTCCTCCCGTTCTCCCAGCCCCAGCACCCACTCATCTACTTTCTGTTTCTGTAGATTTGCCTGTTCTGGACGTTTCATATAAATGGAACCATATAATATGTGGTTTTTTGTGTTTGTTCTCTTTCACTTAGCACGGTGTTTTCAGAGTTCATCCATTTTGTAGCGTGTCAGTGCTTTATTCCTTTTTATGGCTGAGTACTATTTCTTTGTGTGGATATATGTGGAGAGTTTTGAGTGAAGAGTACCTTTGGATAAAAGGCTCGTGCGTCGTCGCTGCCTGGAAGAGGGGCGCCAGAGGGTGCAGACACCCCAGGGGTCCTGTGCCAGTGGCTTCTTGAGCACCTCACCTCCGTCTTGGCCGAGGAGCCTGGAACATTCCTGTGCCTTGCTTCGGGGTCGTCTAGCTTGTTAATGTCAGAGCGAGAACAGGAACCAGCCCTGCTTCCCAGTGCCTCATTCTCGGGACGCGGTTAATAGATTCTTTGAAGAATGGACCAGGGTGTTTGGCCTGAGTCCTGTAACAGGAGCTGAAAACAGTTGCCATATATTGCATTTCACTGTGCCCCGGGTGCTGTGCGAAGCACTCTACATCAAGTGCCTGATTCCTTGCTGCCAGCAGCCCTGTGAAGGTGTATCACGATGCCCGTTTTGTAGATGGGAAAACGGGGGCTCTCTCGGAGAGGTGAGGGGACACACCCAGGACCACACAGCTGAGACGTGGCAGAGCTGATGGTTTTAATTTTTAAGCTATACGACCTTCCAGTGGGTGACAAAGAAATGAGGCAGCGAGACCCTGCGAATGCGCTGGACCAGGGCCACCCCAGAGGCCCGGCTCAGACTCGATCTCCTGACTTCCTGGCTGGCTGCCCTGAGCTCAAAAAGGCAGGGCCCTGGCCGACTGTTTCCCCAGGGAAAACCTTTAATGGCTCTGGGAGCCTGGGGCTAGCATGAGGGCGGGGACTTTTGTCCATTTGCAGGGTCCTAGGTTTTCCAAATTGCTTCTGATAGCGTGTACGGATGTCTTGTGGGCTGCCTATTATTAGCCGCCCCTGGTGACACCTGGCACTGCTCTGTCCCCAGCAGTGAGGGAGGGACGGAAGTCCACTATCGATCTTTCACCTCCCTCCCAAGCCCAGCAGCCCGGCCCTGGATCATTCAGCGCTTTCTCCTTTCTCCTGGCGAGGGAGGTGAGGTGCTCCTGTCTCAAACAGCTGAACCCGACTTCTGGACGCCAGGGAGCTGGCTCGTGACATCCCAGGAACCAGGCGTGACTCTGGGGAAGGGAGTGGCCTCCGGAGAACCATTGCTTGTTTGTTTTCCTCTCCTTTTTTTGTGTGTGCCTTTCCTGGGGGTATAAAACCATATACTCAGTGAGCTGGCAGGAGCTGTAAACAGTGGCATTGAGTCTCCACCTCCATTCCCATTTCCCAGATGAGGTGACTGAGGCATGGGGAGAGGAGGTGACTTAACCGGGGTCTTATTCGGGGCTCCTGTGCGCTAGGGATTGTCCTGGGCATGGAAAGATACAGTCATGTACAAAACGAAGTCTCCCCCTTTGTGGAGTTTACATTGCAGTGCGGGAGACAGACGGTAAATACACCTGACTTGACAATGTAAGGTAGCGACAGGTGCGGTGAAGAAAAATAAACCAGGACGAAAGGAGAGGCTGCACGAAAAGAGGCTGTTTTGGGTGGAGTGGTGGGGCAGCCTTTCTGAAGGCTGGGGCCCAGGAACCAGGCCGCTGTCTGGACGAGAAGGTTGTTTGAGGCAGAGGAAACAGCAGGGTTCAAGGCCTGGAGGTGAGATTGTGTCGAGGAATCCTGAGCGTCCGGTGTGCCTCGAAGAAATCGGTGGGCCTGGTCATTCGTTTATCCAGTTCATTCTGAGTGGTCGGGCTTACCCACGGGGGGCGAGACACTGCCTCCGGCCCTTTCCACTGCTCTAGTGGCCGGCCGTGGGCCGCTGCAGCTCGCGCCGGGCGGGCCCGCACCCGCTGGGGGGCTGTAGCTGCCCCCCTGGTTGTGGCTGCCTTGGGGACACAGTGCCGGGCCTTCTGCTTGCAGGTGGCCCTGTCCACGTTCGCCGTCTACGTGACCGTCGACGAGAACAACATCCTGGATGCCCAGAAAGCCTTTGTGTCGTTGGCCCTGTTCAACATTCTCCGCTTCCCCCTGAACATCCTGCCCATGGTCATCAGCAGCATTGTGCAGGTAGGGGCGAGGCTGGGGGCCTTCAGGGGGGCGGGGGTCTCTGGGGAAACAAAGCCTGAAAACCCCCCTCCATCAGCTCCCTCTGCGTTACCCGTCCCACTGCGCCCGGTGGGCTTGGTGAGGCCCAGACTGGTGGCTCTCGTGCGCTTTTGGTCCTGCCCCAAAGAAAGGAAGACGTTTTACTTCTTGACAAGATGCTTACGCTTGAGTATATGAAACAAAAGTTTAACGCACCCGGGCTTTCCCTTGCTCTGTAAGATTCTTTCTAGAATATTCTATCGTATTCTGTTCTGGTCTGGTTTCTTCTACCCTGTCTTATCCTGTTTTTTCAAAAATACATCTCTTGACACGCTAAATTGATTTTACAACCCACTAATAGGCCTTGACCCACCATTAGAAAAACCCCAACCTAGACCCCCTAGAATCCCTCGCATTCGTGCGGTGACTCAGTAAGGAGAGGAGGCTGCACTTTTACTATTTGAAGCTCTTGCCATTTTCCTGCCAACAGTCTTCTTCACACTCATCGCTCTGGCGTTGCGCACGTTCACGTTGAAAACCCCATTTTCAGCCACACAGACAAATCGGCCTTGAGGTTTGGTCGTATAAAGCCATCTCTGGTGGTAGGCTTTATTAAAAAAACTAAGCCAACAAAACCCCCTTTTATTGTGAAGAATTGCAGATGTACACAGAAGTAGAGAGAGAACGGTATAGTGAATGCCGTGTACCCATCACTCAGATGCAACATTTGGGCACACGTGCTCCATGCATTCCTTTTTCTACTGTCCTCCCTCCCTCGTCCCTCCCTCCCTTCATCCCTTTCTTTGCGGAAGAACTTTACAGCACATCCCAGACCTCCGGACATTCCCCCGTGAAGACTTCAGCATGTATTTCTTCGTATTTCATTACAGACTGTTACCATACCTAACAAAATAACAGTAATTTCTTAAAATAATACCAATCCATATTAAAATTTTCTGGATCATCTCAGATGTGTCTTACAGTTGGGCTGTTTGAATCAGGACCATTGCATTTTTTCTAATTTGTTTTTATTGAGATATAATTGACATCAAACTTTGTGTAAGTTCAGGGTGTACCTGATGATGTGAGACCTTGACACATGGCAATACGATTACCACTGTAGCGTCAGCTCACGCCTCGATTGTGTCACATGATCTTTTTTTTTTTGTGTGGTGGGAGCCAGTAAGATCTAGTCTCTTAGCAACTTTGAAGTTTATAATACAGCACTGTTGACTGTAATCACCATGCCGGGCATTAGGTCTCTAGAACTTATCTCCTGGCTGCAAGTTTGTGCCCTTAAATGGGATCATTGCCTTTGGTTATTATGTTTGTGAAGGCCCTTTGCATCTAGAACATTCCCCCCACCCTCCTTTTGAATACCAGTGGTGGGCTTTTAAAGGAAAACAAACAAGAACCAAAACCTGTTTTATTTTTTAATTCTAAGGTGTGTGCTCGTGGTAGGAAATGCAGAGCCTTCAGAAATGAGGGAGGATGTGGGCCCCTCCGCTCCCAGGGGAAGCCACCGAAACTTAGCCCCGGCCTGTTTTGCAAAAACGCTTTTAAAAATAACCGCGCCCTGTAATTACCTTCTGTGTAGGCGAGTGTCTCCCTCAAGCGCCTCAGGATCTTTCTGTCCCACGAGGAGCTGGACCCCGACAGCATCGAGCGGCGGCCTGTCAAAGACGGTGTGTGGCGGGTGTCCCGTCCCTCTGTGCTGGGAGCGCGGTGGACCGCCGGGCCTTCTCTTGCACGTCCCAGGAGGGTGAACTGGCACTTCTGTTTTCCTGCTGAGAGGCAGCCTCCGGGCGAGGCCTCCCCCTGCGGGTCAGGCTCCAGGGCCCGGCCCTGGATTCTATTCTGCGCAGGTAGACAGGCAAAACAGGACGTTGGAGACTGACCGTCCTACCATGCGTACTGGCTGTGTATTTTTGGGCAGGTCACTTCACTGCCCTGAGCCTCAGTTTACCCATCTGGATAATGGGAAGGAAGGTGCCTTTCTTTGGCGGGGTGTTGTATGGATTTTTATGGGCAGGTTTGTTTATTTTGTAGCTTATCCTTTCCCAGTCAACCCCCCGTGAGCAGGGATCTAATTCGTGGCTGTGTCTCCAGGCACTTAATAATCAGTATTAATAGCACTAACAGCAGTGACCACTTTTGCTTAAATGACACGCCCGCCGTGCACATTCTGTTCTAAGGACGGCAGTTACCTATCCACTGCTCACTGCGGCACACGGAGAGGGGCAGTGGAGACCCCCATTTTGCAGATGTGGAAACTGGCCCAAGTAACTTGCTCAGTGTTGCACAGCTAATAGGTAGAGTCAGGAATTCACCCTACAGTCAGTCAGCAGAATCTGTGCTCTTACCACTGTGCTGTCTGGCCGCGCTGAGATTAATCGAGCACCTACTGTGTGCCACACATTGTTCTGACTACTCTGTGTGTCTGGTCTCAGTTACTCCTCATCACAGCCCCATGGGGGGCGATCCCCTTATCATCAGTCCTATTTTACAGACGAGGACAGTGTGGCACAGAGAAGTTAAGTAACTTGCCTATGGCCGTCCAGCTAGGAAGTGGTGACATGGGGATTCGAACCCACACAGTCAGGCTCCAGAGCCCAGTAAATATGGTCAGAGCAGTGAACATGTACATAACGTTGGCTGTGTGAGCAGTGCCTGGCACTTAATGGCGTGTGAAATACTGCCACAGTACCTGCCAGACAAATGACAGTCATGGTTACTTCCTGAGGGAGAATAGGAGTGGTCTGGGGCTATTTGAACTCAACCTACTAGGGCCGGGTTTCTCAGTGGCACCGCTGCCGTTTGAGGCCAGGTCGTTCTTTGCTGTGGGGCTGTCCTGTGCATGTAGGAGGCTGAGCAGCATCCCCGGCCTCGACCCATTAGATGCCCCCAGCACCCACCCCGATTTTGACAACCAAAAATGTCTCCAGACATGATGTCTGTTGGGGGGCAGTCTCGTCTAGTTGAGAACCACTGGTCACTGGATGCTGGAATCTTCCTCCCGACAGGCCTGGCTTGTCGTCAGTTTCTGCTGTCCTGAGGACCAAGTCCGTCCCTTCTCCATGATGCGGGAACAGTGCCATCTACTCCGGGGTCACATTTCTCTGCATAACACAGGGCTGAAAATCGAGGCAACCAGGGGAGGTTTCGAGCTCCTGAGGTTGCTCACGGCCAGTATTCCGGTTGGGAAACCCGCTGGCCTCCCGGTGCTGCCAGGCCTCGACACCCCCTCCCGCCCTGACGGCGGTCCCCTATGCGTTCTGACTTTCCGAGAAGTTTCCCCACGCTCTCGGGTGCCGGGCGGTCCGCCCTTGGCAGCTCCCCACCAGGTCTTAGGTTCTCTGTAGCTTGTCTGATTCAAGTGGCTTTTCTTAAATTCCTTAAATAGCACCTTCTAGGTTCCGTCTTGTTCTCTGTTCCAGAAGGCCCGGGGAGAAGGTTAAGTTAGGTTAACCAGTAACTTCCTCCCGCACAGGTTGTTGTTTCTTTGATGCCCTGGGGGTTTATTTCTTCACTCGATAACTTCAGAACACTCTCATCTTACCTCTGGATGGTTTTAAGGTGGCTCATAATTAGGAGTCAAAAATTGTTTTGTTTTTAAGTGAGGGATTTGAAATAAAAGGAAAGTAAGGGGACGGAAAGTAAATGAAGAGGGAGGTGCCTTGGAGTTACAGGGAGCCGTCTGGATAATGCAGGCTTTGTCTGAAACGCTCTCCCCTCCCCCGTGCCAGAAACCCGCTTCCCCTTCCCCGGGCGGCTCGTTCACAGCTGACCGTGGCTGGTGTTTTAGACAGATTGACCTGCGGGGGTGTGGACAGGGTGGCTGGCTGGAGGGGGAGAGAGAGGATGCAGAGAGATGCGTAAGGAGGCCACCCCGGAACCCAGGAGTTGCAGGGCAAAGGACCCCACTTTGAACATAAGGGAGAAGGGCCCCGGGGGATGAGTTGAGGGCTAAGGGCCAGCGCAACCTGTTGGAGGGGACGTGTGCGTGAGGGCGCTGCTTCTTCCCTGCTGACCTGGGCGTCTGCTCAGCCCTCCCAGCAGAGCCGCCCCGACCTCCCGAGACAGGTTGAGGGAGGCCCCAGAGCCTTGAGTCACCCCCGCGGGTCCCCTGCCTCTGCGACATGGGTGCCCGGGTGGCGCAACCTCTTGCGGTTTCCTTATGCTTTCTGGGTCTGAGGCCGCCCCCGGCGCTGCTGGTTGGGGTTGTTCTTCAGAAACCGTAGCTGACGTAACCAGATAGTGCCTGGTGCGAGTGTCAGGCTGCTGGGGTTGAACTACGTGATAAGGGAAAAAAAGAAAGAGCCTCGTGCTCATGCTCAGTCCTGTGACTTCACCTACGCCTGACGTGTTTTGTCGTGCTTTCCAGGTGGCAGCACGAACAGCATCACCGTGAAGAATGCCACGTTCACGTGGGCCAGGGGCGCGCCTCCCACGCTGAATGGGTAAGCCGGGGCGTGGAGAGAGTCATGGGGCTCTGGTCAAACGTGTGTTTGAATTCCAGCCACGCTCCAGCTCTGTAACCTGAATAGGTCACTTTGCCTTTCTGAGCCTCAGTTTACCCATGTGGGAAAGGTCCAGTCACACCTGCTTGGGCTGCATTGAGGAGCCTATGAGAGTATGCCTGGCACAGAGGGTTCCCTTGGGTTGGAAGTGACAGAAACCTTGCACGGATAGGTTACAAAGGGAAGTGTTTGGCTTACATAACAGGGAAGGTCCACTTTCAGGTACGGTGTGATCCAGGGACTCAGACAGTGTCATTAGGACTCTCTTCATCTTGTCTTTGTTCCGTTTCCCTCTGTGCTGCTTCCTTCTCAGGCTGCCTCTTTCCTCATGATGGCAAATGGCCCCCATCAACTTCAAGTGTCCCTCCTGTCTCATCAGTAGACCCGTCTGCTTCTTATTGGCCCGGATTGGGTCATGTGCCCCTCCCTGAGCCAATCGCTATTCTGGGAGAGACCGAGCATGCTGATTGGCCAGGCTGGGATGCTGCTGCTGGTGGCAGGCAGGTGGGTCGGCTGAAAGGAATTCTTGTCCACTTGGATTTGCTGTTGGGAAGGAATTGTTCTCATCCTCTGCAAGGTCCCCCGGCTGCCTGGCTCACCCTTTGTCACCACCTCCCCATCTGGTACCCTCCCCACCCCAGGCCTTGTCTTTCCAAAGCACATGGTGTCCAGGAAATTGACCTGGTTCCCCGGGCAACTTGTCAAGTGCCTCTTGTTTCTTTCTGACTGGAGGTCTTGCTCAGTGGCTCTTGGAGGCCTCCTGAAGGAGTCCCCAAAACACAGGGCCAGAGGGACCTTTTTAGGGGCCAGATTATCCCCCATGCCCCTAAACAATGACCCCCTTACTGATAGCCAAATTACATCTGTGTTTTATCTGGGGAGGGGCGAGGGACAAACTCTCCAGAGTAGAGAATCTGCGTAACACCTCCCTTGAAAATTCACGGTGGGATCGTGTGCTTAGGAAGTTCTTCCGTATGTCTAACTTAACTCCTGCCTGCTTCAAGTTTAGCTGTTCTCTCTGTCCTGCTTCACAACTGAAGAACCTGTACGTGTGCCCCCATCCTTCCCTCCAACCTTCCAGTCTCAAAGGCTTTGAGACTTCCCTCCAGTCTCAAAGGCCTTCTTGTTCCAGTCACCACACCTCCCCCCTTGAACCCGCCAGAACTTTCTCCATCCCAGCCTTCTGTCCTCAGTCCCTACAAATATTCCAGTCTCACCTGGACAGTCGAGGAGCTTCCTCACTGGGCTTCCTGTCCTGTTCTGGCCCCATAATCCCTCCCCTCACAGCACAGGAACAGAAGAATAATCAGTGTGACCGTGCAGCGGGGTCCCAAGAATTAAGCAGTCGGTGACAGCAGAATCTACCAGCATTTCTGCTAATATGTAGACGTCTTAATAGCAGCAGCTGCAAAGCACAGCCGGTGAGAGGGAGCGAGGCCCTGGCGGTGCCCGCCGTCCCTGCGTGGATGTAGTCACGGCGCTGACTTTGCGGTCAGCGGTGGGGGCGGCCAGCGGTTGTCCCATGTCGTGTGACAGCCAGTCTTGCTGGCAGGACGTTGAGCTTATTTTATCCTACTTTGCTTACTGTTTGTTAAAGGACGATTTCAATAGAGACGTGTTTCTGGAACTCACATCCACCCGTGTCAGGCCCCCCTTCACCCCCTTTGTGGCTCCCAGCTGGTGAGCGTGAGCATCTTAGCACGGCGTCCTTGGAGGTCTTCCCGCGCAGGGCCGCCGCCCGCCCACCTCCTCAGGACCGGCCGCGCCCCTCCCCGCCTCGTCTGGCGTCATCGACGTGTCGATCCCGGCTCACACTTGTTCCACAGCCTTGGCCTTGCCTTCCGCTGTCCCCGGGTTCTGTGTCTGGTGCAGCTTGTGCGTCTTGCAGAGTTCACTTTGGGGCGTCCTCTCAGGGCGCCTGCGTTGTGCTCCCAGGCAAAGTTAACCCCCCTCCCCACTCGGCTCCCTTGTCGGGACACCATCCCTCAGTCTCTCCTGCCGCCCTGCTTGCACCCTGGCACCTGTCCTGAGACCCTCTGCCACTGCTCACTGAGCTAGAGTCAGCAGTGGGAAGGGCGGGAGAAACTTCCAGAGCTTAAAGGCTCATGACCGCCCGGCCTTCCGCCTCTCTCGCCGCTCAGGGTCCATCCGGCTTTGTTGCCGGCTTTGTTCAGGCGAGAGCGAGGCTGAGGCAGGGTGTGGTGTGTCGTTTCAGCATCACCTTCTCCGTTCCGGAAGGTTCCTTGGTGGCCGTGGTGGGCCAGGTGGGCTGCGGAAAGTCGTCTCTGCTCTCAGCGCTCCTGGCCGAGATGGACAAGGTGGAGGGGCACGTGGCTGTCAAGGTAGGAGGAGGACTGGGTGGGCAGGGGCCTGGGGGGCTGACGGCCTGAGAGGAAGGTCAAGGGCGATGCTGTCTTTTCTTGTATGACCATCCGTGTACGTGAAGCGAGAGCAGCGAGGTCTCCCTGTCCTCTTTCTGTCTTTCTCTCTCATGCTTTCTGCTCCTGTCTGTGCCATCCCAGAAGGCAAGACTTTGGCGTCGTTTATTTCCTCCTGTGTCACCCCCGGAACAGTGCCCGGCAGGTAGTTGGCACTCAGTCATCATTTAGGAAACACACGAATGCTCCCAGGTCTGCTTGCTGTCTCTCATTCCTTGTGCATCTCATGGTCTCTTTCTAGCATGAGTCTTTCTGGCTCGTTCCGTCCCTATACGGATCTCTCTGTGTATCTCTTTTCATAAATGTAACAAAACTTAAAACTTTTGATTTATGTTGTTGGAATATTTTCTAGAGAATTCTTTGTAAGGGACTGTTTAAATTCTGAGTGTTCGTTGAATTCTTAATATGGGGCTAAGAGAAGACTGCGGTTTTATTGCTTGTAAATAGAGGACTTTGAGCTAAGCTGGCGTATTCCTCAAGGGAGAGTTTACGAGGCTGCCTTAGTGAACAAATGGGTCCCATTGGAAATCAAGACCCTTGTTTTGCGTTGAGCCTATTCCCCCATGAATAAGCCTTTCCCTGGTGTATGAATACTTCTCTCGAGAAGTTTCCTTGACACCAGCGTTTCCTGGAGCGTGGTCTGCAGCAGACTCATCTTGCAGGATGTTTTGGGAATAAAGAATCCTGGGCTCAAACGAGCTTGGGAAAGACTGTGTACTCTGATTCTCCCCCACTCGGAGACTTATAATAAACATTGGTAAAGTCAAGGCCCTGAGAAGTCCTGCAAGGAGGAAAAACCTATTTAACTTTGGTTAACCTAGCGTGTCCCCAACATATTTGCCTGCACCTCTTTATTGTCTAGGCAACAACTATTTACATCCCCAGGATTAGTGTCTTTTGGAGTCTGCTTTTGGGGATGCTCGTTTATGCCACTGTTTTTATTTCAGAGCAAAATCCTTCCTTTGCTGATTGTATGGTGCCCTCTAGCCTGGTAGGCACTAGCAGGAAGTGTATATTACAAGAGTTGGGTTCAAACTAATGACGTGTAGCTGTTTTAAGAATTGTTCTGTTATTACTTTCAAGTGCATGTTATAAAGTCAGCTTAGTGGGGAACGTGAGCTGGGGTAATGGAAGAAAATTCCAGATGACGGTAGGATTCACAGTGCGTTCTGTTTCGTTAACCCCAGGTCTCCAGGTGCAGCACTGTTGACATGTGGGGCTGGATCATTCTCTGCTGTGAGGACTGTCCTGTGCTCTGCAGGGCATTTAGCAGCATGCCCGACCTCTACCCACTAGATGCCAATAGCGTCTCCCGTTGTGACAACCGAAAGTGTCTCTAGACATTGTCACATGTCCCCTGGAGGGTGAAATTACCCCAAATTTAAAACCACTCTTTTAAAGTGAAAAACCTTTAAATACAAGAATAGTGCATCTAGAAGTTGAGGGGCGCTGAGTATTTAGTTGGACGAGGTCAAAGATTTATTTGTGACGGGTTATTTTGTCCTAGTAAGGGGAGTGCTAGAAACGTGTTTATAGTACTTATTTTTTCCAAATTTTTAGTTGGTAGGGCTTGTGCATACCGTGTCTGAATTATCTGTGTGTTTTATGGTGAGGCTTTGTGATATTCTAGCCTCTTGTAGGTTAGGATGTTCGAGTCAGCAGTTTAGTTCTTTATCTGAGAATGAAGATTAAGAGTTGGGTCACCTGGGTTCACTCCCAACCTTGTTCTCATAGAATTCCCTTAACTAGGAATCCTCAGTGGCTCCCCTTTGCCCTTCCAGTGAAGCCCACACTCCTCCCCAGGACCACTGGCCTGGTGTGAGCCGGCCCCTGCTGCCTGCCAGCTGGTTCTTGCCTCTCTTCCCCTCACACGATGTCCCACTCACGCCGGCCTTCCCGTCGCTTGACCGTGCCGCGTTCTTCTCACCTCCACGCCTTTGCACATGCTGTTCCCTCTGACTGGCATGCTCTCTCCCTTTCTCTTTGTCAGACCAACTTATCCTCACCGGTCGGTCCTGTTTAAAATTTTTTTATTACTGAAATACATGAAACAAATCCCCTCACCCTAGCCCTCATCCTCGTGTCTTTTTTGACACCTTACGTCGCGTGGAGATAAACACAAAACAACTTCTGAAATGGACGATTTTGATACAGAAGTCTTTGCTTAAATTTCCTTAAGGAATCCTTCCCTGATGGCCCAAACGAGGTCTCCCTTTTTGTAGGTCTTGTATTTTCCTCTCTTAGCGTTTACCACAACTGTGATCAGATCTTTTTTTTTTATGGCGTCAGGGACTTCCCAGTCTCGGGAGGCAGGAGCGTGTTGGCCGCTGGAGGCACTTGGTGAATATTTACTAAGTGCATAGCATAATCTCACAGTGACGGTTTCAGCTCTTGAACTCCCGATGCCGGAGTCAGTGGTTGACCTGGTGTGGGTGCTGATCCCAGCTCTGGCGTCTGTAGTCCTTTGTGACTCAGTTTCCCTCTTGCTGAAACATTAGGTGTGAAGAAAGTGTCTTGAGAAGTAGGGCCCTCCTGGCAGGTGGTTGTGCTGGCTGCTGTCTTATTAACCAAGTCCGTCTGTCTGTCTTGCCGCCCTCTTCACTTGCCACCCAGGGCTCAGTGGCCTACGTGCCCCAGCAGGCGTGGATTCAGAACAATTCTCTCCGAGAAAACGTCCTCTTCGGACGTCCGCTGCAGGAACGGTATTATAAGGCTGTGGTAGAAGCCTGTGCCCTCCCCCCGGATCTGGAAATCCTGCCCAGCGGGGACCTGACAGAGATTGGTGAGAAGGTCAGTACGGCTTCAGCGTGGCCCCTTATCAGTCAGCTGTTGCTGTGTAACAACCAACCACAAAATCTCAGTGCCTGCGATGCTAAACCCTTGCTCTCCTGTTTGTAGGTGTGTGAGTCAACTGCGATTGGCTGATGCAGACTGGCCCAGCCGGTGGCTCTGCTCCACGCTGTAGGCCAGCTGCACTGGGCTCCGGGCTGTGGGTTTGGCTCAGGTCTGGCCCACATGGCTTCTTGCCGGGGCCTCAGCTGAGGGGACAGCAGCTCCCCAGGGGGAGGCTCTTCTCTTGGTGACAGCAGAAGCCCGAGAGAAAAGACATGTGATGTCCCTTAAAGCACACTGTCCTTTCCACCCACAAAGCATATCATGTGGTTGATCCCAAAGACAAGGGACCAGGAAGGACATGCTACCTTTGCGGTCATGTGACTGCAGAGTCACATGACAGAGGCGCTGTACAGGGAGGAGGGGTGTCAGTGATTCAGATGTTCACAGTCCCTTTCAAAACAGTGATAATATAAAATAATACAATAGCTAATACTTACTGAGCATTTACTATGTGCCAGACACTATGCTAAACATTCTGTACATATTTCATCCTCACAGCACGTCCATGAGATGGGATTTGTTGTTATCCCTTTAATGGTTGAGGAAAGGGAGGCACAGAGAGGCTGAGTGACTTGCCCCAGGAGCCCCTTCCCACCTCGGGACCTTTGCACGTGCCTTTCCTCTGCTTGGTGGCTGTTCCAGCGCCCCCTGGCGGTTATGTGGTGTGTGCTGTCCCATCTCCCAAAGGGCTTTCCCATCTGTTTGTAGTTACAAGCCAGTGGCTCCACCGCATTCTTAGTTAGCAAATGATTTCTTTTATTTGAGGGAAATCTGCAGCTCCTTGGAAAGAAACCAAATTATTAGCAGGGCTCTTTGGGTTTGCAAGTAGCAAAGGAGCCTGAGCTAGTGTAAGCAGAAAATGAGAACTGAGTTTAAGGATGCAAACGCATCGCGGGGAATCCGAGGGCTGGGATGTGGGGGCTCACGGAGGGTCTGGGACCCGCAACCTCATCCCTCCCTCCTCCTGTCTTTTGTCTCTCCTTTTCTGCACATCAGCTTTGTCCTTTTTTTTTTTTTTTTTTTTTTTCAACTAGTGTCTGTTTCTGCCACTCGGAAACTCCTACCTCTCCCTGTCTGGGTCCCAGTACCAAAAGCTGCAGGGAGGGAAGCCGACTGGCTCAGCTCGGGTCTGGTGTTTGCCTCTGGGCCAGAGGGACCGTCAGAAAGAACCCAGCTGCTGGGACCCCACCTTGGTGCCTGGGGAGGGTGGCGTCTCTCAAAGGAGGCTGGGCAGTTAACCCAGTGGAGGTGACTCTGTTCCCCAGCCAGATACGGAAGTGACGTTGGGTTATCTGTGGTGGGAGGGCCGGGCCTGTTGCTGTGTGGTCCACGTAGTGCCCCGGTGTGAATGAGAAAAGGGTGCCCTTCCTAGTGGGGCCTGGGGCTGGATTTCGGCACCCCCGGGGTACAGCCTGCCTCGACTCTGGCTTCACCAGTGATGGATCCAGAGTAAGCTCACAGAAGATCTTAGCTATGAATAAGAGTAACAGCAGTGGCAATAATAATAATATCGTTATTGCCTTGCACCTGACTCAGCGATCAGGAGCCTTCCCTGGAGCCAGGATTATTCGGTGCCACCAGCCCCGCTTGGTGATGGCCCACCGTGTGCTAGTTGCTCTGCTCAGCAGCCCCCAGAGGCTCAGATCCTCCCCTTCTCCTGTTGTTCAGTTGAGGCTGAGCCCCGTGCCGGGACTTGACCCCACGTTCACGCGGGCTCAGTCACATGCCTTTGGCGCCTGCTGACGGCAGGCGGCGGGTGCAGCCCTGCAGGGCCCCCGGCCTGGGTCTGCGCGTCCTTGGTGGGTGCCCCTCTGCCTGTCTCCAGGCTCCCCAGGAAACCCCCCTTCTGCCGCCCCTCTCCCAGGGCGTGAACCTGTCCGGGGGCCAGAAGCAGCGTGTGAGCCTGGCGCGGGCCGTGTACTGCGACTCCGACATCTACCTCCTGGACGACCCCCTCTCGGCGGTGGACGCCCACGTGGGCAGACACATCTTTGAGAATGTGATTGGCCCCAAGGGGCTGCTGAAGAACAAGGTACGTGCTGAGGGGCCGGGCTCAGGGCTGGCGCTCTCTCCCTCTGGTTCAGTGTGGTCCCCTTTGGGAATCCTTCACCTCCTGGGCTTTTCTTTATAGATTGGACTTCAGAACGCATTTCTAATGCTTCCCTTGGAAGCCTTCCCGGGACAGCCTCCTCGCTCTTGTCCTTACAGGGGAGCCCTCGGCACTGACTCGAAGTCATGGCTCCACTTGGCCAAAAGAGGCCCCCTTTCCTGATTTAATAATGGGGGTGGCTTCGCACAGGGACAGCCCACCCCAGGACCCCCTGTGACCCAGCAGGCAGCTCTCCCTTCCCTGCTGAGGTGGCCGAGGGACAGAGCTGTGGAGCAGGAGCACTGCCGCAGCACCTTAGCACGACAGGAAGTGGTTCCTTTTCTCTTTGATGATTTTTTTTTTAGGGGAATTACGGGGGAAGAGGTGTTGTGGTTCTTTTTGTTTTCTGGTTGGAAAAGTAACACTTGGGGGGCTGGCCCGGTGGCACAGTGTTTAAGTTCACACACTTTGCTTCAGTAGTCCAGGGTTCGTGAGGTCGGATCCCGGGTGCAGACCTACACACTGCTCATCAAGCCATGCCGTGGCAGGCGTCCCACATACAAAATAGAGGAAGATGGGCACAGATGTTAGCTCAGCAACGATCTTCCTCAAGCAAAAAGAGGAGGATTGGCAACAGATGTTAGCTGAGGGCCAATCTTCCTCACCAAAAAAAAAAAAAAAAAAAGTAACGCAATGCCCATGGGGAAAATATATGAGATTTCAGAAAAACAAAAGCGATCGTGTATAATCCCACCACGTAGAGATTTTTGCATTTCTTTCCAATCCTTTTGCTGTGTGTACAATTTTAATAGGGTTATCACGTTGTGCACATATAGTAAGTGGTGAGCCACGTCACTTATTGTAAGCATTTTCTTACACACCACAGAAATTCCGTATAAACATAATTTTCAAATATCAAAAATTTTTTTTGTTATCAAGTAATACATGCCCACGGTAACAAGATCAAAGAGAATAAGAAGTAATAAGTATAAGTAAAAAAAAAGGAAAACCAGGTCCTCTCTCATCCTGCACTCCTAGCTCCTTGAGAGCAGGGGCCAGCCATCGGGCCTGCTGCCTGTTTTTTCTAAGAATGGTCTTGACATGTTTCAGTGATTGGAAAAAAACCTAAAGAAAAATAACATTTTGTGACATAGGAAAATTGCGTTAAATTTAAATACCAGCATCCACAGATAAAGCTTTATTGGGTGCCTTCACATCACAAGGATAGAGCCGAGTGGTTGCCACGGCGACTGGAGGGTCCCTAAACCTGAAAATATTTACCATTTGGCCTTGAAGAGTTGGCCAACTTGTGTAAATAGTTTGATGACTGTCCTCTCAAACTTTAGATAATTAGATAAAATATATACGTGCAAATTTTGTAGTGTTTGTGGGTTGGGAGTTTACTTAAAAAAAAAAAAATAGGGGCTGGACTGTGGCCTAGTGGTTAAGTTTGGCACGCTCTGCTTCGGCGGCCCAGGTTCGTGAGTGTGGATCGTGGGCCTAGACCAACACCACTCATCAGCCATGCTGTGGCGGTGACACACGTACAAAATAGAGGAAGATTGGCCGCAGATGTTAGCTCAGGGCGAATCTTCCTCAGCAAAAAAAAAAAACAGAAAGAAAAAAAATATTAACCTGTCTTGTGCAAATTGTTTTGTAGCAGCGTCGTTCTTATTCAGATCCACACCCGCATGGTTCCCTTCCTCTCTCTGCTTCAGTTTTGTTCAGTAATAGCCTTCCCTGTCACCCTTGTTAAAATTGCAGCCACCACCCTCAGTGTCCCATCTGCTCGTCTGCTCTCTGCTCACCTGTCCAGCACGCACTGTGTTTACTTAGACTGGTCATTTCTCTCCTGGCCCGGGGGTCTCGGGAGGGATCTTGCTTTCCTTCCCTGCTGCCCCCCAGCTCCTGCACCCGTGTCTGGAATGGAAACACCCACAGACTGAGACGTGTCTGCGTGCTCCTGGGCGGACCTGGGCTCCCCATCCAGGTGTGGGTCCTTCCCTCCCACACTCTTGTGCTGACGCGGCCCCGTCTCCACTCTGCCCGCAGACGCGGCTCCTGGTCACGCACGGGATCAGCTACCTGCCGCAGGTGGACATCATCATCGTCATGAGTGGTGGCAAGATCTCCGAGATGGGCTCCTACCAGGAGCTGCTGGCCCGGGATGGGGCCTTCGCCGAGTTCCTGCGCACGTACGCCAGCGCCGAGCAGGAGCAGGCCGAGCAGGAGGACGGTAGGGTGGCGGGTGCCCCCGGGGCGGGCGGTGCCTTGCGGGGCCCCACTTGTCTCCTGGAGGTTCCCACCAGGTGGCTCATCCGGCTGGGCCAGGTCCTCTCAGGAACCATCTGCAAGGACCATCTTAACTGTTTCAGGGCTGAATTGAGAGGGGGTCCCTGTGCTTTGTGGCCAGGTCAGCAGACCTGGGCGCAAGTCCCCATACTTCCTGTGACGTGGCTTCAGGGTCTCCTGGCAAAAATGGGGGCAGTGATAATTATAGTCCTCCTGGCTCTCAGGAGGCTGTGAGAAGCTGGTGACATAGGTGGCATCACCCAGAACAGATGTGAGGGTCATGGAGTGAAACGTGGCTGAGCGCAGAGGCTGGGAGTTGGTGAGTCCAGGGTTCGAATCCTAGCCGCGCCTCTTATCCACGTGTGACCTTGGGCCCCTTCTGAGCCTCAGTTTCTTCTCGGATGAAGCAGTGTAATGACCGAAGTGACCTGCTGGCCCTGGTGTAGATTTAATGTGCTACATTATCTAGAGCCTCTGGCATGTGCCCGGCACGCAGTGCTCAGTGAGTGACAGCTGCCGTTACTATTCCCCCTGGAAGAGAGCCCCACCTTCACCCCCATGCACTTGGCACCTGCCAGCTCAGTGTAGACCTGCCCCCTTGCCAGCTGCTGCACCTGCTCCGTCCTGTCCGGCCAGGACTCTGCGAGCGGGGACGGTCTTGGAGTCACCCTGTGAATCCTGGGCTGGGACCTCCCCCTGTCCTTAGTTGAAGCAGATGGGGCGAAACTTCTAAGAATCCTGTTCTCTCTCATCAGTTGGTTGAGAATTCAGCGGGTTGGTTTGTAGCCTTTTCAGACGGCCCTACGTCTCATCGGTCAGACTGGCCTCTCGAAGGGTCCTCCACTCCCCTCCCTTCTAGGAGCTCTGACTGCGTTAACGTGGGGAGGGAAGAGTCATCCGATGCCTTTTCTGCTTTGGTTTCGGCTGTTGCTAAAGAGTGAAACTAAAGAAAGGTCGCCTGTCCTGCGCTGGTCTCCCATTTCCAGGAACTCATCACAGACGCCCTGGGCCCTGGGGCGTGTCTCTTACACGCTCAGTCCCCCACAGGTCTCAGACTGTCTTCAGGGTGGGGCTGCAGGGTGGCCCCACCACACGACTCCTGTGGGCACGGTTGTCCCTGAAGTGTGCGTGACGAGAAGGCGCACAGCTAAGACCCTGTGAACAGTTACCCAGGACCCCCTGGGGCTTCTGTTGCAGATAGGAGTCAGCTCACTGAATCCTCCTGACCGCTCAGGAGGGAGGTAGAATTATTGTTCCCAGTTCACTGGTGAGGAAACTGAGGCTTAATGCAACATGTCGCTTCCATGCCAGGGATGGGCGGGTCCCTATCTGTGAATGGGGCCGATCGCTAAGGAAGAGCTATTTACTGTTGGTGGGTTTAGTCCTTCAGCAGATATTGATGGAGCATTTGGTGTGTGGTGCGGACTGAGTTAGTTTTCAGGACTGCTGTAACAAAGGACCACAAACTGACTTCAACAACAGAAATGTTTTGTCTCTGGAGGCTGGAAGTCTGAGATCAGGGTGTCGACAGGGTGGTTCCTTCTGAGGCTATGCGGTAGGTCTGTTCCCGGCCTCTCCCCAGCTCCTGGTGGTTGCTGGTGTCTCTGGCGTTCCTTGGCTTGTGGAAGCATCCGCCCGATCTGCCTTCATCGTCACACTGCGTTCTCCTTGTGCGTCTGTCTCCAAATTCCCCCCTTTTATAAGGACACCAGTTATATAGGGTTAGGGCCCACCCTAATGACCTCATCTTAACTAATGACAGCTGCAAAGATCCTGTCTCCAAGTACAGTCACATTCTGAGGTCCTGGGGGTTAGGGCGTCGACCTGTGAACTGGGGGCACGATTCAGCCCATAATGTTCTAGGTTCTGGGGAGACAGAAGTGAACAAGATATAGGCAACTCCTTGCCCTCGTGGAGCTGAGAATCTAGTGGGAGAGAGGGGCAGTAAACAGATCAACGAATAAAGATGGCTTCCTACAGTGTTCAGTGCTATGAAGAAAAAAATGCAGAAGGATGAGCTGGGGAGTGGTGGAGTGGCACGTGGCAACTCAAGCAATGTGTTCAGAGAAGCCCTGTCTTGGGAGGTTACATAGGCGTGAGAAGGAGCCAGCAAGGAGATGATGTGGGGAGCAGTGTTCTGACGCCGGAAACAGCAGGTGCAAAGGCCTCAGGCCCAGTGTGAGCCCCGTTTGTTTAAGGAACAGAAAGGAGCCCAGTGTGGCCAGACTGGTGGGCAGTGACGGGGGTGGGAGATGAGGTCGAGAAGGGGGGCCACCCTTCAGGGTCTTTATGGAGAGGAGTTTGGGGTTTGGTCTCAATGCGGTGGGAAGCCACTGAAGGTCAGAGAGAGGAAGCAACTTGTCCGGGGACACACAGCAGCTGCTGGCGGGGTTGGAACCTCAGGTCTGGTCTCTAAATTTCCGGTCCTCTGCGCCTTCCGGGGTCGGGGGCTGCCTGGGGTGGGGAGCTCATTCATTGCTCTGACTTAGTCGGCTACAGGGGTCCTAGTGGTTTTTAATAAGTGCTTTTATTGAGATATAATTCACATACCACGCAATTCACCCATTTCAGGCGTACAACCCAGTGATGTTTAGTATTTTCAGAGTTGTGCAACCAGCACCACAGTCGATTCCAGAACATTTTCATCCCCCCTGAAGAAAACCTCATACCCATTAGCAGTCACCCCGCATTTTCCCCCAGCCCCCCAGTCCTAGGCAACCACTGATGTACTTTCTGTCTCTGTAGATTTGTCTGTTCTGGACGTGTCGTGTGAATGGCATTCTATAACGTGGTGTCTCGTGACTGGCTGCTTTCACTTAGCGTGACGTTTTCAGGTTCATCCGTGTGGTGGCGTGAATCACACTTCATTTCTTTGTGTTGTTGAATCATGTTCCGTTGTGTGGACATGCCACATTTTCTTTATCCATTCATCAGGGGATGACAATTTGGGTAGTTTCCAGTTTTTGGCAGTTATGACTATAAATCCTAGTGGTTTTAAAAGAAAAGTGTTTTCTTTTGCCAGTCTGAGACAGCTGACACTCCCTTCAGCTTTTAAACCCCCTGATGGGAATGAGTTTCTACACGTTCGTGCTCTTGTGTTTGGAAAGTCCTACCTCAAGTCTAGCCTGCTTTCTTCTTGCTTCAGTCTCCTTCCCCTGAACCTCAGCCCATCAAGCCAAGGGCACGTGATGGGTGGCAGCCGCCTGCTTGGTGGGCTACAGTTAGGCAAAAATAATCCTCTGTGCTTTCTCAAGTGACGCGTACGGGTTTAACTGACTCTCTTTCCCAGAATGAAGTCTCCCTCCCCTTTCTGTCCAGGTGAGTAGGGAGCGTCCTGGCTGCAGATGGGTTTTTTCCCTTCCCTTCCTCCCCGGCCACTGGCAGATCCAGAGCAGTTTATGCAGAACGTGGAATGCTGCCAGTTTCTCTCCTCTTTTTTTCCTGAACGTCAGCATTGAATTTGGTGATGAAAATACCATCCACCACCGTAGCCCCACTGGGGCTTCACTTCCCTAAGACACAGAAGCCCTCAGCCTGAGGGTCTGAGATGAAACTGGGCGTCCCCCTCTTTCCACCTCTCTGGAGGGGCCCCCGAGATAAGGCCTGGCATCAGGGTCTCGCCTGGCTCGGCCGTAACCAGCTCCAAGCTGTGGCCCCAGGCGCCAGTGACCTTGGATTTGTTTGAGCCGCATTCTTGGCTCCTCCTAAAGGAAACTTTTTTTTCCGTGTTAGACCCATCAGGTCTTTTTTAGGACACCCAGGCCGAAGGCGGAGGGTGTTTGGTTTGGGGGAATTCTTTCTCGTCGGGATGAGGAAGGGGAGATGTCCCAGCAGCCAGGCTCAGGATGGGGAGATACGCCTCCCGGGGATAGTCATTACACGGATTTCTAGGAAACTTTTTTTTTTTTTTTTTTTTCTTGGTAGCAAAGAGACTTACAGATTGTTTCCTTCACCTTTCTACCTGGAAAGTGAAGAACATTTTTATTTATTCTGCTTTCTTTATTAGGAACCTAAAACCTAGAGTGGTTTTTAGCAGGGAACATTTGTACTTCCTGGAGACACTTGGCCACGTCTGGAGACATTTTTGGTTTTCACCACTGGTGCAGGGGTATGGGGGGGAGTAGTACTGGCGTCTAGTAGGTAGAGACCAGACCAGAGATGCTGCTGAACGTCTACAGTGCTCAGGACGCCTCCCCTGTCCCTGCAACAACAGAATCACCGGCCCACTATGTGCGCCGTGCCGAGGAGAGAAACCCGTTCTGCTCTGACCTCGCACTGCCCCGTTCTTCCCTTGTCATCTTGGGAGAAGGATCTTGATTCCAACAACGCGTCCACTTTGCAGAACCTTGTTTGAGCCATCTCTCAGGCTCGTGACTAATTTTTTCCCTTTTTCAGATTTTTGCTGAATTTTTTTTCACTGGTTATAAAATCAGTATGTGCTCATTGTAGACAATGGCAAACTGCAGAAAAACACCAATAACCAGGAAAAAGAACATCCTTCCACTCTCCCACCGCCTGGGGGGGGAGCTGTGTTCGCATTTGGCCTCTTTCTCTGCTGTCTGTCTTTCTAGGCCTTTTCGCTGACGAGATCAGATCTAAGTGTACAGTTTTGTCGTCTCGTCTCCTGCCCCCTTTGGTCCGACCGTCGGGTCATAGGTGCCTCCCCGTGTTACAGAAATCTCTCGTAAACACCAACCAGCTGCTGGAGAGCCTATCGCCCAGACGGCGCGTTCCTTTCGGCCGTCTCGGTGGCCCTGTTTCTTCCGCTTTTGAAGATGGAGAACTTTCAGGGCCCGGGAAGGAGGGGAGGGGAGGGTCGGGTGATGCGGCCGGTCACTTCCGTTTTTGGTCAAAAACGAGGTGTTGGCTGGAAAGCCGTGACTCGGATTCTTCCCTCAGGGGAGGCTTGCCTGCTGGCCTTTGCCCAAGCGGAGTTCCAGAACCTTCTTGAGTAAAGGCAACATTGCTGGAATAAACAGCGAGCCTCTGAGGTGCCGACTTGGAGGGCTGGCCTCTGGCTGAACACAGCCCAGGAGCGCATATGTGGTCCAGGGGCAGGGACGATGCCTGACTTACCAGCATCAGAGCCGCATCCCTGATCCTTAGAGGCACTCAAGGAACATTTATTAAATTACAAGTTCCATGTGTTTGCTTAAAAAAAAAGAATCTTATTATTTTATAGGCCCCCCCATCGTTGATTTTCCCTTACTTTGCTTTTATTTTTCTTTCTAGTGCTTATCACAGCCTGACATTAAATTCTGGATCTGCTAGTTTGTTGATTGTCTCTCTCTCACTCTTAGAATTTGAGCTTCTCGAGGGCTTTTTGGTCACCTCAGTATCCCCAGGGCTGGGAACAGGAGCTGGCACGTAGTAGACACTCAGTAAATGTGTCCAATAAGAGAATACGTGAATTACGCTTGATTGTTGAAGCCATGCCCTTCGTACGCAGTCTGTAGGTCTCTGGGCTCTGGATAACACAGCCGCCGCGTAAATATCCCAGGTTAGAAGAAAATAGGAGCTGATTTTATCCGTTTCTGTCAGGGCTGGTTTAGAAACCAGCTTTGTGGGTACCAGCTGTGAGATGGGACCACGGTGGCCCACATGGTGCCCCTTCTGGCACTAGAAGGTCAGCTCTGCTTGTTCGCTTGGCCGTTCATTGGTTGATCTCCCATCTGCCCATCAGGGGTGTGCAGAGCGCTGAGGTTTGCCACAGGGAGTCCTGGTACTTGAGCTGCTGTGTGGAACGGTGCCCCTTGAATTGTGCAGTGCGCATCCTGTATAACCCCACATGGCCATCTGATGGCCTCCAGCCTGGGAGGGTCCAAGATGATGTCTGAGCCAGGTCCCCTTCTCTTCCTGTTTTCTCGGCTCCATGGGTGGCTGGCTTAGAGTAAGGTGCGTGGGGCCAGGCCCCTCTCGTGAGCAACGTCTGTCCTCGAAGAACTAAACGTTGTGGCTGGAGCTGAGGCCTCTGCTGCCTCCCGGCTGTCGTGCCTGCCCTGTCCCGCTGTAGTACTTTCTCTCTTTCCCTCTGCTACCGTGAAAACAGGCGTAAAGATGGAAGGCTGGTCTGCCTGTTTCTAGCTCTCTTTGTGTTTAAACACGTATAGTTAATAACTCAGAGAAGGGGGCTGGCCTCGAGTAGTGTGCTTGTGAGGGATCCACCAGAACACGAGGGATGGGGAAACTGAGGCACAAATGCAGCCAGTCCCTCAGCCGCCCTTGCCCCTCCCCCTTAAGAGAAGACGTGCATCCATCCCCTCTGGGCGTTTGCAGGTGCATCCATCCCCTCTGGGCGTTTGCAGGAAGGGCGCAGGGAGGGAGTTGGGCCGTGCTTCTTAACCCTGTCTTGGATCTTGTGACTTCCCAGGCGGCAGAGGGATGGACGAGGAGGAGGAAGGTCAGTGACCCGGGTCAGGGTTGGCCGTGCTTGTCCTGTTGCTGCATGCCTGCGGAGGGCCCTTGGCTGTCTGCTCTCCACCCCCTTCCATTGTTCAGCCAGCAAGCATTTATTGGGCACCTACTGTATGCCAGGCTTTGTGGTCCGCACTTGGGGATACACTTCGAATCTCCAGATCTGTCGCTCATCAGCTGGGTGACCTTGGCTAAGCTTTACCCTCTCTTGGGTCAAGTGACCGTGACCGGCATGCCTTGACGGAAATCCTGGTTGCGAAATGCCTGGCACACAGTGGGTGGGCCACGAATGGCAGCAGTTTGGTTGTGACGAGACCCCCTGTACCTCCTGGGCGTGGTCAAGCCCTCGGCAGGCCGAGACGGCACAGGGTGGTCAGCCTGATGGGGTAGCTGCGGTGGCTGTGGGTGCCCAGAGGAGGGGTGTTGTTCAGCAGGATCTCAGCAGGAAAGGCTGCCCTGTCTCCCTCTGGGAATGTGAAGGCAGGAACCGGCCGTCGGGGCGGACCCATCCCTCCTGCCGTCCGTAACCAGCAGTGTGTGGCGGAGGGTCCAGACAGAGGGCTCTTTTTGCAAGCGACAGGAGCAGCTCCGGCCACTTAAACAACAAGGGTGTTTACTGGAAGGATACCAGTAAAGGTATCTTAGATCAGCTGGAACTGTCTTTGGTCCTCGCTGGTCAAAGTCCAGGGGGAGGGGTTCTGAAGAACTGACCTGGGCAGGGCCCCCCTCGGCTGGGGGTGATGTCCACCAGGTGCCCCAGGTGGACAGGCCTGCCAAGACCGTCAGAAGAGGGGGCGGCTAGTCCCGTGCAAAGAAGGCTGACGGATGGTGACTGACACGTTTATGTTGCTCTCCGAGGACTCGCAGTCTCTCCCCTTGCAGAGGAGAATTTCCCAGCTGCCCCAGTGGGTACATCGTGGGCTAATTGGATTGAGAAGGGCAGGCAGCCCAGGAGGCCACTGTGTGGACCTGGCGGCTCACACTGCGTGAGGAGCAGGAGGGAAGGGAGGGCTGGGCTTGCAGAGTGCGGCCAGGGCAGCCAGGTGGGACAGCGGTTCTCTGAAGCACCGCCCGCGGGACAGGTGTCTCTGGGAGTGTTTCAAAGTATCCCCATCCCTGCAACAGAGGAAGATGGTCAAAGCCAGGCCTGGGCCCCGATCCTGTGCGTGTGTGTGAGCGCTGGCTGCGTGGAAAGTCCTGCTTGTTATTGCTCTCCTTTTTTGTTTGCTTTAGTGTTTTTTTAATTAAAAATCAAAAGAGGCTGATGTTAAAGGAAATGTTTAAAGCGGTGATCCTCGATCCTGGCTGTGCCCCAGAGTTATCTGTGGAGCACGTTTGAAAATGCAGATGATGATAAGCACACCTCGGTGTCTTTTACTTACTGAGCACCGTGCACGACCTATTCATCCTCCCACCTGTGAGGGTGGGTGCTCTCGTCACTCCCATTTTGCAGACGTGGAAGTTGAGGCTCAGAGAGGTCTGTCGCTTCCCAAGTACCCAGAACTAGGAAGTTCGAGAACACTGCATTCCTGACTGTGCTTTAACTCAGCACGGGGTCGGCCTCGGCCCTGGGGCTGGACGTGGGCATCCCGGGTGGTTCGTTCAGCCGGGATTGAGCATCACCGGCTCAGAGCTCCTCCCCCAACCCAGGAGTGACCCCCAGCCCTGTCCCCTCTCTGTCTTCTGTGCCTTCCCGTGGCCGTCATCTGCGAGCCTGCCTTTTTGGACTCTGCTGTTGTTCATGTCACATCAGCGTGTTCCCAGGTCACTGCTGGCTGCATGTGTATCCCCACTTGCATCTTCTCTCCTGCATCCCCTCCCCTCCTCTTCCGGGGTCCCTGGAGCCCTACGTTGTGCTTCTCTCTCATGCTCTTTCTCTTCTGGCACCAAAGAGTGAGGAGATCATGCGGGGGGTGGGGGGTAGGGGGGGCTGATAAATGTACCGCTGGGCTGTTGGGAAGATTAAGGGAGATCGCATATTTCAGCGCAGCAGCCAGCACTCACTCCATAAATGTGAGCGCCCGTCGCCGAGGTTACGGTGATGAGCGCTGATGCCGGGTGGGTGCTTCCTGTGGCTGGGGCAGATATCCAGCTGGTGTGCCCGGGGTGGCCGCACCAGTTACTAAAATACTTCCTTGTTACTGGGAAACAGCCAGTGCCCCAGGACCCCCTACCCTGGACCTTCTGGACTCGCTGTGATCCAGCAACTGGAAGGTTAACTCCTGGCCCTGCAGGGGGCCTCTGGGACTCTGCTGGCTGGGGCCCTAGTCAGAGCTGGTGGTCATTTATACCCGGGGGCCGTGCTCTGCCCTGTCCCCCGTGTGGTTCTGCAGGCCCAGTGCCCTCGGCTGATGGGGCCCTCGAGATGGTTGTAAAGCACCTTTTCTGCCCCAAGGGAGCGAGCTCCACGCATCTCCTGCACCCCGGCTAGGAGCCCGTCTGTGGCCTCAGCAAAGCAGGTCTTGCTTTCTGAGCTTCCTGGCGGCCAGGTCATCTGCGGTCTCCGCCCGATTGAGAGAGTTTCTTAAATGTCTCTGATTTTAGGTCTGGCTCTCAAAGCCACTGTTCCCTCGTTCTTTCTCTCCTGCCAGGGTTAGCAGGTGTCGGCGGTCCGGGGAAGGAGGTGAAGCAGATGGAGAACGGCGTGCTGATGATGGATGCCACGGGGAGGCAGATGCAGAGGTGAGGGCAAGGAGGGGCCGTCTACGGCCTTGCCTGCGGGGAGAGAGGAGGGACAGGGTGCCAGTGGCACGGCTCGACCTACCAAAAAAGTCCTTCAGCTCCCCAGGGCCATGGGAGGTGTGGGCTTCCTGCCTCCCCTCCCGAATCCTTGGGGACCTCCCTTGCCAGAGCGCAGAGGCCCTAGGGGGTAGCCTGGCGCTGAGCTGCCGGGTGGCCCGACTCTCGCAGGCCCCATGATGCAACCATCTGTCTGCACTCCTGACACTCCAGTTCCCTACATGGTGTGGATCTCTGCTCCAGTCACTCGGGGGCCTGGAACGTTCAGGCTTCGGGAACCAGCATCCGATGCAAAATAGTTACGGTAATTGTGGCCGCTGTGTTTTATGGGCTGTTAGGAGCCGGGCACAGTGCCAACCCTGTAGAGTCTGTCGAACCTGGTGGTAGTTACTGTCATCCTCCCATCTTACAGGTGAGCAGACTGAGGGCTCCCTGCCCGTCAGGCAGCCTGAGAAATCAAACCTGGACTTGAACCCCAGTTGGGCCTCTGAGCCTGTGCTCCTCAGTTCCACACTTTGCTGCTGTGAGGTTACTTTCAGCTAGATCGTCGGGTATTTGGAGGAGCCGCTTTCCGTGGGCTTTGTTGCTTAACCTCTCTGCCTCGGTTTCCCTATCTGTCACTTAGGGTCTGTGGTGTACATGCCACAGAGGGTCACTGTCAGACTCACACACTGTGGTGCATGTGGAGCACTCAGAACCATGCCCTGTGCCATCAGCACTCAGTAAACAGCACCTAGTTATTACCAGGCAAGCCGGGGCTGCTGGAGTTCCTTCTTTTTTTGGGGGGCAGATTTCACAGAAGTGGGGCTGGGGGGGAAGTCGGTATGAGTGGCTCTGTCCATCAGAGCATTGCTATGGTGCCCTCCTGGACCCAGATTCTTATCATACGGGACAGGTGGACTAGTTCCTTCTGTGTGGGCACACCTGTCGGGGTGGTGAGCGAGGCGTATTGTGTGTAAAACACCTAGAACAGTGCCTCAGCCAGAGTCAGGGGGTGTGGGGGCACCCCAGGGTTCAGGGGGTGGCCAGACTCATCTGTCACGGTGGCTGCCATCCAAGAATTGCAGAGACAGCCGAGATGAGGCAGTGCCTGCAGGCAGCCTGGGACGTAGGGGCCAGTGGTGGTGGGAAGAGAGCCGTGGGTGGACTGAGCAGAAACATCCGGAACACTGGGTGTGTCAGTTTTCTGCTCTGTAACACATTACCACGAACTTAGTGGTTTGTCATCTCAGGTCTCGCTCACACATTACCACGAACTTAGTGGTTTGTCATCTCACGTCTCGCTCTGGGAGCCTGGGCACGGCTTAGGGGGCTCCTCTGCTCAGGGTCCCTCAGAAGTTGCAGCCAAGGTGTCGGCCAGGCCGGGGTCTCATCCGAAGGCTCGGCTGGGGAAGGATCCGCTTCCAGGCTTCACGTGGCTGTTGGCAGGATTCAGCTCCTAACCGGCCACAGGCTGCAGGTGCCCTCAGTTCCCTGCTCCCAGGCCTCCCCAGCCTGTGTGCGTGCTTCATCAAGGCATGCAAACCAAGAAGGCAGCAGAGAGTCGATGACCAAGACAAAAGTCGCACTCCATCACCTTTGCTCCTGTGGACCTGAGCCGTGGCTGAGAGAGGGGATGTTCCTGTGTGCTCACGCAAGCTCGTGAACACACACACCCTGTGTCATTCCCCAAGCTTACAAGACCCCAGAGAGAGGGACTGCCTTAGGGAGAAAAGACAGCTCTGGGCCACACAGTCTGTGATAACCTGTTGTGGTCTGCATAAAGCTGATGACCACTGGTGGGCAAGAAATGCTTTTTGAGTGATGCCTGCATAAAGGAACGGTTCTTCGACGGGGTCCTGGGGCACGGCCCTTCCTCTCTCTGGGTCGCTCTGTAAAATCAGAAGATTGAACTAGTTTGGTGCTTTGTCAGGGCCGCCGACCCTGCCCGAGGCGTCCGTTTGGTTGACAGCTGTGTGCCTTGCTTTCCCCAGACAGCTTAGCACCTCCTCCTCCTACAGCGGGGACGTCAGCCGGCCCCGCAGCAGCACCGCCGAGCTGCAGAAGGCCGGAGCCAGGAAGGAAGACGCCTGGAGGCTGGTGGAGGCGGACAAGGCTCAGACGGGGCAGGTGAGGGCTGGCTCCCTGAACGGTGACGGCTGTCACTTACAGCGCGTCCCTGTGTGCTTCCTCACAGCGAGCCTGTAAAGGTGCTGTTCCAAGTGCTGGAAACCGAGGCCGCAGAGCTTAGGTGACTTGCCCTGAGTGGCAGAGCTGGGACTCGAAGCCCGGTGGCTGGACTCCAGGGCTGGCGTTTCAGTCTCTGCTGTGTTGACTGCCACCGCATTTCAGCATCTGGGGACTCTCGTTAGCTGTAGGCGACCTGGTCATTTCAAATCAGGGCTCCCACAACACGGGGTGCACTTGTACATGAGATGGTTTCAGCTCGTCCCAGCTACAGCACTAAAGAACATTAAATTACATAGTCAGAAAAATATTCTTTTTTCATTTCTCTTTTAGCCCTTGTGATGACATCAGCCAGAAAGTATCACTTGGGTGCTAGTTTGTTTTTAACATCTGTGCTGGCCCGTTCGGGCTGCCAGAGCAGAGTGCCGTAGGCTGGGTGGCCTAGAGATGAGCATTTGTTGCTCACAGGAGCTCTGGAGCTGGCAGGACCGAGATCAAGGTGCCGGCACATCCGGAGTCTGGTGAGAGCTTCCTGGTACATAAACAGCTGTCTTCTCGCTGTGTCCTCACATGGCAGAAGGGGCGAGGGAGCTCTGGGGTCCCTTTTATCAGGGCACTGATGCCATTCATGAGGGCTCCACCCTTGTGACCTAATCCCCTCCTGTAACACCATCACGTCAGGGGTTAGGATTTCAACTTAGACATTTTGGGGGGACACAGACACTCAGTCTATAGCACTAACAGTCGCTAGCTTCTCTTATAACAAGGGGCGCAGATTTCAAGCTCTTGTTTTATTGTGTTTTTTATGGTCATCTGTTTTGGGCAAGTGTCAGTAATTTTCCGTTTATGGTAACGATCGGAAGTTTACTTTTAAAAAGTGTGGTTCTGTTTTAAAAACAATAGAGAGTGGAGTTTTTAAAATAAGTAAAGAATAAGTGCACAGATGAAGGAAAACAGCCGGCCCACGAAGGGTGGGACAGGAGTGGGTGGGGCTGGGGGAGTGTTCTCTCAGATCTGCCTGGACCAGTCTCCCGGGACCCTCTGTTCTCGGCTTGACCCCTCATCTTGCCGTCACACCCATCGCCGGGGGGCAGAGGCGGCTGTAGTGTCCTCCCCCCTTGCTCCCGCTGGCCCTCCAGGGAGCCGGAGAAATGACCCCCAATCAAGGGCTTGAGAAGGAAGGGCCAGAGAGGCCAGGCCATCTGATCCTCATTTAACCCCCACACCACCCAGGGGAGATGGCTCCCACGACTCCCTGCACTTGATAGACACGGAAAATGGACGCTGAGAGCTTGTAGGTCGCCAGCGTTGGACCAGGAGCAGAGCTGGGCTCAGCACGCCCAGTCACCTCTGACCCCAAGCCCGTCACGTTCTGCTGCTCCTGAGGAAGGAGTCCCCAAGGCTGCAGAGATGCGGCAGGGCCAGCAGGCAGCTCGGCTGCATGAGGAAGCCAGATGGTGAAATAAACATGTTCTCAATTCTGGAACCTCCCTCCCCACTATTTTAGTGTGAAAAACAGAGACTTGAAAAAGAAAATCAAAAGGCAGCGCTCACTTATAGATCAGCCCTCTGACCTTTCACCTGTTACCTTTAACCAAACTGTAATTCAGACACAGGAAGTGGGGTGGAGCTGACACTTGGTCTTGGTTGCTAGGCAACACATCACACCTTCCCATTTGCTTCAAACCCTTGGATGACTTCCTGATGGTCCTGGAGTAAAGCTCGGAATGCTGAGCAGGATCTCCCGGGCCCCGTGTGGTCTTGCCACTACCTGTTCTGCGCCCTCATCTTGCTCCAGCCACCTTTGCTTCCTTTGAGTTCCCCAAAGGTGCTGCATTCCCTCCAACCTCAGGGCCTTTGCACATGCTGTTCCTCTGCCCAGAGAGCCTTTTTTTATTTTCATCTGGTTAGTTAACTCTTTGCGGTCACTTCCTTGGGGAAAACCTCCTCTGCTACCCCTGCACCCTGGGTTAGGTCAGGATGCCCAACTTTATGCTCTCTTGGAATCATGCACTTGCAGCCCTTCTCTGTAATTATGTATTTGTCTTGGCTATAAATTGATCAAAGCCTGTCTCGCCACTCGGCTGAAGCTCCGTGAGGTCAGAGACCTTGACTTTGTCTGCTGCTGACTTTCTCTGCCAAGTAACTAAGGAGGAGGGTAGCCTGGGTGTGAGCACAGGTGTGAGCACAGGTGGGGGCTGGACTGCGCAGGTGCTGTCGGAGCTCCTGACCCTGGGGGGGTGTGGGGGCCGCTTTCTGTAAAATGCCTCCTCTCCCGTGGCCTCCAGGTCAAGCTGTCCGTGTACTGGGACTACATGAAGGCCATCGGACTTGTCCTCTCCTTTCTGAGCATCTTCCTGTTCGTGTGTAACCACGTTGCCTCCCTGGTCTCCAACTACTGGCTCAGTCTCTGGACCGATGACCCCATCGTCAACGGGACCCAGGAGCACACCCAGGTCCGGCTGGGTGTCTATGGAGCCCTGGGCATTTTGCAAGGTGAGGCCGCCCCCCCGCACCCTCCCCAGGCCCACCTGGTTTTGGCACTTGGAACTGCTTCCATGTCCTATTATGGAATTGGGTCCCCCCACTTGTCAGGGTTTTATGGACCCCCTAAACTCAGCCAAACTCACACGAACAGTAGCTGTCACGTAATAGACACTCAGATGTTTGTAGAAGGAATGTTTCTTGAATGCTTTGTTTTATGGCCTGAGGAGATACAGGGGAGCTACATTGTGCCCATTTTACAGATGAGGGAAGTTGAGGAACAGAGGGCACCTAGAGCAGTGGTGACAAGGGCCACTCCCCTTGCTGCTCTGCCAGGGTGATGGGGCTTCTGTAAAGTCTCACGTGTGGGCTTCTACCTGCTGCCTGAGGACGGGAATTCATTTGCACTCGATGCTGGCAGTGTTGTCACCCAGGGGACATTGAGCAGTGTCTGGAGATCCTTCTGGTTGTCACAACTTCAGAGTGGGGGTGGGTACTTCCGGCATCTAGAGGCCAGAGAGGTTGCTAAACATCCTGCAATGCACAGCACGGCCCCCCCAACAGAGAAGTATCCAGCCCCAAGTGTCAACAGTGACGAAGTTGGGAAACCCTGCTACAGACCCTTCTTCACGGTCTCGTGAGGGTCCCCAAACGGCATTGCTGGTAATAGCTAATGTTTACTGAGCGCTGACTTGGTGCCTGGTTCTGTTTTAAACACTTTTAGGTATTTTAACTAGTTTTACCCTTGCAGCAATCCCATGAGGCAGGAGCTAACATTTTCCCCAATTTAGAGAGGCAGAAACTGAGGCCCAGAGAGGTTAAGTAAGTTGCCCAAAGTCACACAGCAAATACATGGCAAGGCTGGCATTCAACGAGGCTATCTGGCTCAGAGCCCGTGGTCTTAACCACCATGCTACACGGTCCATGAGCTTGTGTTGATTTGCTCACAAAACTGCGTGGGTCTCTCCACCTGTGTGTACATTCGATACATGTGATACATATGCATATACACTAAATGTGTGCATTTGACGTTTTGAGCACTTCTGTGCACCAAGCACCTGGGCAGGGGGACCCTTTACATTCTGCAGTGCTGCCGGGTAAGTACGCTTGTCCCCGCATTACAGTTGAGGAAACTGAGGTACAGAGAGGTTAAGTGACATGTGGAAGGTCGCATGGCTGGTGTGTGGCGGAGAGGGGATTTGGCGGTGTTGGCTCTGGAGCCCGACATTTTAGCACCTGCCTCTTGGGTTTCTTCCTCCATCGCTGTCAAACCGCCTCTCTGCCCAGACCCAGCGCCCTCCTGTGGGTCATTGGGAGGAGCGACACGTCTCATGCTCTCCAGGAGATGGCTTTGAAAACAACCAGAAGAGCAGACCTGGATTTCTTAAATTTCTCAATCCCTAAACCCCCTCTTAGGGCCAGGGCCTGTGGCCTCCAAATTATCATTGAGGGACGGTGGAGCACAGAGAGGGTGTGATGTTGACCTGGGCTCACACAGCAGCAGTGTCCGTCTAGAGCTGTGCTGTCCAGTATGGCTGCCACTGGTCACATATGGCCATTTGAATCTCAATTCCTTAAAATGAAATAAAATTAAAGTATCAGTTACTCAGTTGCACTAGCCAGATTCCAGATGCTCAGTGGCCACCTGTAGCTAGTGCTACCATCTTGGACAGCACCCATCTGGAACGTTTCCATTACCATGGAAAGTTCTCTTGCACAGCGCCGGTCTAGAGGAACACGGCATACGGATTGAGAGCATGGCCCTGGGGCAGGCGGCCTGGATTGGAACCCCAGCTCTGCTTCTGACTGGCTGAGTGCATTGAGGGCAAAGGAGTTGCTCTCTCTGGGCTTCGGTTTCCTCGTCTGTAAGATGGGTCCTAACTGAACTTATATGGAGCCACCGTGAGGATGAGAGACGTGTAGAACTCGAGCGCAGTGGTTAGCATACAGTGAGTGCTCAATAAGTAACAGCCACTGTGATGATTCTGATGAGAAGCTGGGGTCCCAGGCCTGCTTCATCGACACGGCCGCATAGCCCCTCGTCCTGCCCACAGCTGGACCCCCTCCCGTGGCGGAGTTTAACGCGCGCGTGTCTGTAGGTGTCTCGGTGTTCGGCTACTCCATGGCGGTGTCCATCGGGGGGATCCTGGCCTCCCGCCGCCTGCACTTGGATCTGCTGCATAACGTCCTGCGGTCGCCCATGAGCTTCTTCGAGCGGACCCCCAGCGGGAACCTGGTGAACCGCTTCTCCAAGGAGCTGGACACGGTGGACTCGATGATCCCGCAGGTCATCAAGATGTTCATGGGCTCCCTGTTCAACGTCGTCGGCGCCTGCGTCATCATCCTGGTGGCCACCCCCATTGCCGCCGTCATCATCCCGCCCCTGGGTCTCATCTATTTCTTCGTCCAGGTGAGAGGTGGGGTCTCGGCGTCCAGGAGGAGCCCCACGGTGTATTGGGCTCCCATGCGAGCTAGGGGCTCACTCCATCTTACCATTTCCTGGTGGGGAGCTGTGGAGGGTTTGCGGGAGGAGGGTTAGATTTGCTTTTGTCAGTTCCGAATATCTAAGTTGATTGTTTTTAGCTTGCGAGAAGCAAATGTCCTTTTTGTCTAATAATAAGGGTTTTTTTGGTAGCTGTGAGTTACAAAAGGAAAAAAAAAGCCATAACCATAAAGACACCTTTATTATTCAAATTTCTTTAAGTATGAAATTCTTTAGGTGCTAAGCCTGCTGCAGATAATGGAGATGTGAATAACAGCTGCTTAAACAAGATAGATGTTGATTTTTCCCTCTCATAATAGAAATTTAGAGGTATGCCATTCAGGGCTGGTGTGGCAGCTCCGTGAGTGTGTTAACATCCCATACTCCTCCATTGTTTTTTTCTTCTACCGTCTTTGCACAGGCCTTCCATTCTTAAGTTGGTCTCATGGTCCAGTATGGCTGCTGGAGCTCCAGCCATCACATCTGTATTTCAGAAAATAAGACTGAGGAAGGGGAACAGGGCAAGGGAAGCATATGATAGCCGAGTCAGCATCAGCTGTGGCGTCTTAGGTTATTGCAGCATATAGATTGTGTTTCCAGTTGACAGATGAGCACGTGGAAGCCTGAGTGGCAGAGCTGGGAGTGTGAGCTCACGTCTATCTGATTCCAGAGCTTGTGCTGGTGACTGCAGTGCTGCACTGCCCGTTCTTGCCCCTAAAAGGTTACTGCAGCACACTCGCCCGGGGCGGTGGAGGGGGGCGGTGGTTTACATGGGAGCGTAGGGACTGCAGCTCGAGAGGAGAGCGAGGAACCACAAACCCTCCGTCCCTCAAAGTGCCTGCTCCTGTGGGGTCCCAGAGGCCTCGTTCCCATTGGCCGACCCTCGGACCCCGCCACACCGTGGCCCAGTGAGTGGTGGGCCTGAGCAGAGACGCAGTCAGCGAGAGCAGGTCCAGTTCCCGGACCCCACTGCATTCTCTTTCAATTGGTGCCAGCCTTTTTGGGAAAATCATTCAGCTGCATTTACCAAAAATATTATTCATACCCTGGCTGAGAATTTTCCTGAAGGACCCAGTGCAAAAGAACAAAATGGGCCCAATGCGGCGCTGGAGGCAGCTAGATGTCTGCCAGTAGCAGGACCTTGAGTGCCCAGGAGTGATTCCGTGATGGGATCTCATGTCCCTCTGACGGGAAGAATCAGGAAGACACTGTTGCAACACCGACAGTTTTATTTTTAAACAACAAAGGAAGTGAATTGAGCAAAGGAGCACGTTGTCTACACCCTGTCATTATAACGAAGACGAAACGCATCATGTGCGTGGGCAAGACTGGAAGGGGAGGCAGAAAAATGCAGACATTGCCTTTCTGTGGGTTGGGATTATGGGAGAGTTTATTTTTTTTAATGGCTTTTAGCTAAATACACCTTACCCTAGATATCATCTAGCAGTCTTTCTCAGTGAATATGCAAAAGAAAGGAAAGAATGTACCTGGCAAAAAAAAAAAAAAAGGGCTAGAATGTTCTTAACATCTTGATTCATAATAGCCCCAAACTAAGAATAGCTCGAGTGTCCATTACAGGAGAATGCATAAATACATTGTGGTATTTTTATACAATGGAAACGACTCGGTAATAAAGAGGAGTGAACTGGTGCAATGTGGATGAATCTCGCAGACACTATATTGATCAAAAGAAGCCAGACACAAGAGTGTGTGCTTCCGTCTCTGTGAAGTTCAGTGACAGGCAAGAGTGGTGTGGCGATCGAAGTCAGAATAGTGGCTGTAGGGGTATTGACTGTGAGAGGACACGAGAATTTTCTGGGTGCTGAGAATGTTCTAGAATTTGATCAGGTCATCGGTATGCAGGTGTAGGTAAATGTAAAAATTCATCAAGCTGTAAGGATTTAATGCATTTTCCAGTGAATCTATGTTATATCTCAATTAAAAAGTGGCTTTCAGCTGTATGCACGTGTGGGTGTGTATACACACACACTCTCTTGCTCTCTTGGGAAAAGATCTTAAAGGTTATACGCTGAAATTTGAATAGTGCTTGTCTCAGGATAGTGGACTTAATGTAATGTTTATTTAATCTTAACTGTATCACCCCCAAAATTTTTAAACGGATATGCATTACTGTTTTAATTTAAAAGCAAGTCACTTGTATAAAAAGGCAAAGGGAGAGGTAGGGTAATGTGGGGTTCTGTTGGGGCTTCCGTGTTGCTGGAATAAGGCATTTCTACCTTATGGGATTGCTTGGCGTCCATGAAAACCCCCCGGCCACCTTAGCTCTCCGCCCGCTCCTGGCACACGGCAGGCGCTTGTCGAGTGGTTATTTTCATTCATGAGCACCGGGCCCTGCCTCGGTCTCTGGAAGAGTAAGGTAAGTCCAGGGGGGTGGATTAAATCTCCTGAAAAGAGTTTAAAAGGGATGCTAAATAATTATTTTAAAAAAGTCATGTCATTCCCTAACAAAAATTTGTCCCGGGTTAGAATTTTACAGTAAACAAAATTCTGAGGACCTGACAAGTGGAATGAGTTGAGCGGGTAAAACACTATGATTTCCCTCCAGGATGTTTAGAAAGAAAGGGAGAGGAGGGGATCGCTGAGGGTAACGAGGGCGGATCCCGTGGGGCCCTGAGCTCTGCCAAGGAGTCTGCATTTTGTTTGAGGCACAGGGAGCTGCTGGAGGAGGGCTGTCCTCTGACCGTGTTCAGGGGTGGGCAGAACGGCCGTTCTGAGACTGCCCGGGTTGGTGTGGTCCCGGTTGGCTTACAGAGTTTCTGGGCCCCCAGAAGGCTGCCCAACTGTGGGTTCAGATGACCGCGTGATCTGCCGTCCGGAAAGCAGCCCCCGACCTCAGAGGCCCCCTGCCTGTGCTCTCCGTGGAAGGTCTCTGCCCCAGCGTGGCCCAGGGCACCTGTCGCAGGGCGGGAGGCAAGGAGGCTGTGTCCCGACCACCCTTCGTTCATTCGTCCAGTAGGGAGCGTGGGCCTCACTGTTCCATGTGTACAGACCAGGAAACTAAGGCCAAGAGAACAGAAGTGTCCTCAGATGACCAGTCCAGCGTCTGGTCACAGCTCCTCGGAGCTTCCAGCGGGCCATTTGCGTCTGTTCCGTCTCTAGCAGGAGCTCGTCGAGCGCCTCCCTGTGCTGGCCCTGGCCGCGTGCCCAGGGTGGGCAGGAGTGGAGCAGGTGTGCTCGCTGCGCACGGGGACGGGCTGAGTCAGGATTTGAACTGAGGCTGCTTGTCCTCAAAACCTGTGCCTGCAGCCATACTCCCAGGTCCATAAACCCCAGAGGTCAGTGGCTGCTGAGGGGCAGTGCAGTGCAGGGGTTAGCACTCTGCCGCCGGACCGTCTGGGTTCGAGTCCCAGCTCTGCCACTTCCTAGCCGCTTTAGAGAAACGGTCAACCTGCATCTTTGTGGCTTAGTTTACTCGTCGTGAAATGGGAATGAGCACCTCGTAAGGTTTTGGTGAGGTTTAAATTAGCTGATGTGAAAGGACTTAAAACGATGCCTAGGATGGTGGGCTCTCCATAAGCGTTAGCTGTTTTTACTGTCATCACTGCTGTCGTCGTTATTGTTGGCCCCTGTGCCTGCAGTTCACCAGGTGAGTGGAGACACCTGTTAAGGCAGCCCAGCTCCAGCGTTTTGCCTCCTGGAGGTATTTATGTCCAGACCTTCTCCCGCACAGCCGCGGGAGGATGGGGTGAGGGGAGCTCCGCCAACTCTGCCGTGCATTCTCTCCCCCTAGAGGTTCTACGTGGCCTCGTCCCGGCAGCTGAAGCGCCTCGAATCGGTCAGCCGCTCCCCGGTTTATTCCCACTTCAACGAGACCTTGCTGGGGGTCAGCGTCATCCGGGCCTTCGAGGAACAGGAGCGCTTCATCCGCCAGAGCGACCTGAAGGTGGACGAGAACCAGAAGGCCTATTACCCCAGCATCGTGGCCAACAGGTGGGCGCCCTGGCCTGTGGGAGGGGGCAGAGGAGGAGGGTGAAGCCACACTCAGACCCTCACAGCAAGGGTGGTTAGACGTGGCAATAGGAAGGACGGGAGGACCATTACCAGCAGACAGGAAGGAGTACTGTAAGCACACAGCACACCAGGGGCATGTAAGCGCAGGGACAGAAGTCTTCTGGAGTCAGGGGATACTGCAGGAATGTCCTTGAGCTGTCGTCCTGGTGATACAAGAGCATCGGTGACAGGCAGGCTCAGCAATGGGGTATTTTTGTGCCCTGTTTCTCAGCTGAGGGGTGATCACCCACCACCCTTCATGGGGTGAGGACTGGAAGCAGTTTATTAATATTAGGTTGAACCAGGTGACCCTGCCATTTGGGGGGTCAAGAATGGCTGAGGAGCATCAATCGAAAAAATGACGCGGGTCAGCCCCGTGGCTTAGCGGTTAAGTGTGTGCACTCCGCTACTGGCGGCCCAGGTTCGGATCCCGGGCGCGCACTGACGCACCACTTGTCCAGCCATGCTGAGGCCACGTCCCACATACAGCAACTAGAAGGATGTGCAACTATGACATACAACTATCTACTGGGGCTTTGGGGGAAAAAGAAAAAGGAGGAGGATTGGCAATAGATGTTAGCTCAGCGCTGATCTTCCTCACAAAAAAATGATAAATAAAACTGTTAAAAAAAAAATGACACAAGTTTGCTAATTATTGACTGAATTTGGAACAAGGTCTGGTTTATCCCCAGAAGAGTATCCTCCTCACTCACTTGCATCCTGATGTATTTTTTGAGATGTGGGATAGAAAACTCTGGGGAGGGGCTGACAGCCCCCTGGAAGTGACCCCTTGTTACCAACCATCAGCTCATCATAATAGGATAACCCTACAGTGTGAGGCTGGGTGGGGAGACCATGAATTACTGGCGACCTTGCAGAGTTTTTAGGGAGTTTGTCCAAATCTGGGTGTGTCTGTGGGAGCAGCTCACACCCGTGGGATCTTAAGGGCTGTAGTGGGAAAAAGGTCGACAGTACCATCTCCCCGGGTAGCTTTCTATTTTAAAAACTTAAAATAATATTCCTATTATTATTCCTATTACCAAAGTTAGCTTTAAGCCAAGAAAATATCTGTTTATGTTTTAAATGGTAAAATAGTACATTTTAATGTTTCTGAAGTGAGGATGACCTGGGTGTGGGAACCTTACAGCTACATGGAAAATGGTACTTTATTTCTCTCTCCCCCCCTCTCTTCTGCCAAGTGAAGGTTATTTTAAATCAGTGGTGCCTCTTACAGTTGATGACTTCTTACTTATTATTTAGGAGTTTTCCAGGACATCTTTTTTAAAAAAATGCATATAGGGGTATATTCTACAGATTTCAGTGAGAAAAAGTCGGTTCTTAAAAGGGCAGCCTTCAGCTTCCTGGGAAGATTGCTTCTGGAGACCTTGGTTTTAATCTCTGGGGTTGGCAGATGAATGAGGATTACTGAAATCGTGTCCCTTTGGCCCTCCTTCCCCGAGTCCTTGGAGCAGGCAGAGCAGGCTCTCTCGGGAAGGACTGGGAGTTATTTCAGTTAGCAGAGTGCCCCCCTTTGAACTGGAAACCAAGTCTCTGAAAAGCTGACTCGGCGCGTCTGTCCATCTCTCTGCCTGTGTGTCCCCGCACAGGTGGCTGGCTGTGAGGCTGGAGTACGTGGGCAACTGCATCGTCCTGTTCGCCGCCCTGTTCGCTGTGATCTCCCGGCACAGCCTCAGTGCTGGCCTGGTGGGCCTCTCGGTGTCCTACTCTCTGCAGGTGAGAAGGGACACGCTTGGCTGGATTTCCCATTTCTCTTAATGGGGGAGCCGGTTGTCAGGTTCTTGGGCCTTTGCCTTGGATCCTCGCAGGAGTCCGGGGGGAAGGGGGCTGAGTGGAGTTGGAGGGGCAGGTCTAGAGCTCAGTGCCCGACTGGAACCAGAGAGAAATTAGACGAGTGGCCGAGATTCCTCCATCAGTCAAGGAAAGCCCTTGATGGCCTGAGAGGATGCCTCCAGCTACAACACAAATGCTTCTGACGCTATGAATTTCCCTCAAAGCACTGCTTTAGCTGCATCCCCCAAATTTCGACACGTTGAGTTTTCCTATTATTATCTAGTTCAAAATACTTTCTAGTTTTTGTGGTGCTTGCTTAAGAGATGCAGTGTGGCACATCTGGGTGATGGCTGTAGGTGGGGTTGCTGTTTTCTGTATCTTTCTTACCTGAAATATTTAATAATTCATAATGACTTCATTAAAACAAACCAACTCACGCTCACTCCAGAGGCTCCACGTCACTCTTCCCCTCGCAGGTCACCACCTACTTGAACTGGCTCGTTCGGATGTCATGCGAGATGGAGACGAATATTGTGGCCGTGGAGAGACTCAAGGAGTATTCAGAAATTGAGAAGGAGGTAAGCCCCTGGCCTGACCCCTTGGCCTCGATCTTCAGTGTGGCTTTACCCCAAAGAACCCTCTGAGCCATACTGTGTGTGTGCGAACAGTCAGCCTCTACCTGAGAAAGATAGTCTTCTGTTATTTGTTATGTATTTTTATGGGGGCTTCTATTATAGAAAATGAGACTAGTTTCCTCTTTAAATAAGTTTAAAAATTAAATACAGATGAGTTGATTAGAAGTATTGAAAGTCACGGGGGCCGGCCTGGTAGCGTAGTGGTTAAGCTTGCATGCTCCACTTCAGCGGTCTGGGGTTCACAGGTTCGGATCCCAGGTGTGCACCTATGCACTGCTTGTCAAGCCATGCTGTGGTGGTCCCATATAAAGTGGAGGAAGATGGGCATGGATGTTAGCCCAGGGCCAGTCTTCCTCAGCAAAAAGAGGAGGATTGGCAGATGTTAGCTCAGGGCTGATCTTCCTCACACACACACAAAAGTATTGAAAGTCAGTAACAGGACAATCAGTATATAGATATTGTAAAAATCATGAATCTGGTAAGGAGTTGACCAAAGTTTGGGGGAAACTCTGCAGTTTAACCCAAGTCGCCGTTTTATAGATGGAGGCAGAGGGTGCCTAGGCAGGGACGATGGCCACTCCAGGGGCGCACGTGGTCAGTAGAAGACCTTGGGAGTAGGACCCAAATCTCCAGACTCCTATGCCACATAGCCCCTAATTGCTGCCTCATTCTGCCTGCACACTGCCACCTAGTGGCAGTAGTGGTGATAATAATGATAATAACAGTAATGCCTGGAGATAGCACCATTCCCATCACCACCAGTAATAATAATAATAATAATAATAATAATAATAATAATAATAATAATAATAGGGATACATAGTGTGCTCTTGTGGGGTGTCAGGCCCTGTCCTAAACATTTTACATGGAGTAGTTCATGTAATTGTTACGCAGACTTATAACTCACATTCTGTTGTTATCCCCATTTTACAAATCAGGAAACTGAGACACAGAGAGATTCAGTTACTTGCCTGAGATCACATGGCTGATAAATGGCCCACCCAGGATTTGGGTCTGTGCCATTGTGCCACACTGCCTCCCAAGAAGATGCCCCTTGGGAATGAGACCAAGGCCCTGGTTAACTTGGTCTCAGGGGATTTACGGAGGTGACCTATGCTTGGTCCTTGAATGCTCTGACACGATGGACCAGGTCCCACTTCATAAGAGAGCATTATTCAGAATGGTGTGAGCGCCCCCTATGGAAATAAGGGTGCATTACACCAGGAGTTTCCCACTCCACATTGAGTTTATTTTTATAACAGCTTTTGAGATATAAGTTACATTCCATGCAGTTCACCAGTTTAAATGATGAAGTTGAATTTATTTTTTTAAATATTTTACTTGTTTTAATGATTTATTTATGTATTTTTAGAATAAGGGCATATTTGAAAAATATGAGAAAGTCAAGATTGCCAGAGTCCTACCACTATTAAAAAATATATTTGTGTGTTTATATATAATCTATAGTTATAGTTAGAAAGTGCCACCCACTTCTCTCCAGTCCCCTCTGAAGCATGTCCCCTTCGTTTATATAATAAATTATAAAAGGGAAATCCGCTTGTTGTAAAAAAAAAAAAAAAAAATTAATACAGGAAGTTTACGGAGCAGAAAGAATAAAAGTTCTCTTTTACTGTCCCCTCCATTCCTCTCCTTCCCCAGAGGTAGCCCCCAGCCTGGCCCCGAGCACATCCAGCTGTAGCCCTCAGGAGGTGCTGAACTGAACTAAGAAGCTTTTCAGATAGGGGCTGTGTGGCCCCGGGCAAGTTACTTTCCCTCTCTCTGCTTCAGTTTCCTTGTGTGTAAACTGGGGCTCCGCTCGTGGGATTGTAGTGAGGATTCAGTGATGTAATGTTGTAGAGTGATCTTAAGCGTTAGCTGCTGTTTTTACTGTTGTGCTCCAGACCCAGAAGGCAGTCACCCTGTGTCTGTCCGGAGAATCCCACTCATTCATTGATTCAGTCTGTAAATATTTATTGAGCACCTGCTGTGTGCCCTGGGCCCTGGGGTGTAGCAGTGGACAGACGATAAAGGAGCCTGTCCTCCTGGAGTGGATATTCCAGCGGGCAGGGGTGACAGAATAAACAAGTAAATACAGACTGAAGATGCTCGGAGGCGCTAAGTGCTCTGAAGGAGAAGGAGGCCGGGGAGAGGATGGGGCACAGGCTGGGAGGGTGGTCCGAGCTGACCTGAGATCTGCAGCATGTGAGGGAGCAGGCCAAGAGGCTCCTTTGTTGAAGAGCACGCCAGGCAGAGGGAGCCGGAAGTGCAGGGGCCCAGAAGCAAGACACGTGGGTGTGTGTTCCAGGAAGAGCTGGGAGTCAGTGTGGGGAGCAGAGTGAGGTGAGGGCAGAGGGGTGGTAGAGGCGGGCTCACACAGAGCCTGGGGGCACGTGGGCTGGGCTTCAGATGCCTTACTCCCGGCCCCCCCACCCGCTGTGATCGCAGGCTCCCTGGCGCATCCAGGAGATGACTCCACCCAGCACCTGGCCCCAGGTGGGCCGAGTGGAATTCCGGGACTACGGCCTGCGTTACCGGGAGGACCTGGACTTGGTTCTGAAGCACATCAACGTCACCATCAATGGAGGGGAAAAGGTGGGTGCACGCTGTCCCTCCCAGCCCCCTGCCCACTCACAATCGGGCGTAGGCTGCACCTAGGCAGATGAAACCAGCTGCATCATTTCCCCGGTTCGCCATGGCCCCATACCACAGGGTGGAGTGGCTTATTTTTTTTTTTAACTAAAGTATAGTTGACATCCAATAACATATTAATTTCAGGTGTAGGACATGGTGATTTGACATTTATGCATTATGCGCTGCTCACCACGACAAGTCTAGTTACCATCTGTCACCATACAAAGTTATTACACTATTATTGACTATATTCCTTAAGCTGTGTATTACATCTCTGTGACTTATTTTATAACTGGAAGTTTGTCCCTCTTAATCTCCTTCACTTATTTTGCCCATCCCCTCACACCCCTCCCCTCTGGCAACCACCAGTTTGTTCTTTGTATCTATGAGTCTGTTTGTTGTTTTTTGTTCATTTTGTTTTGCTTTTTAGTGAAGTTTCAGTCGTTTAGTGAAAAAGTTTCACTAAAAAGTAGAAAAGAACCTTAGTGAAGTTCAGAAGTTTCCACATTTAAGTGAAATCATACAGTATTTGTCTTTCTCCGTTTGCTTTATTTCACTTAGCATAATACTCTCTAGGTCCATCTATGTTGTTGCAAATGGCAAGATTTCATTCTTTTTGATGGCTGAGTTGTATTCCCTTGCATGCATATACCACATCTTTATCCATTCCTCTATCGATGGGCACTTGGGTTGCTTCCATGTCTTGGCTATTGTGAATAATGCTGCAGTGAACCTGGGGGTGCATATATCTTTTCGAATTATGTATTTGTTTTCTTTGGGTAAATACCCAGAAGTGGAATTGCTGGATCATATGTAGTTCTATTTTTAATTTTTTGAGGATCCATACTGTGTTCCATAGTGGCTGCACCAGTTTACATTCCCATCAACAGTGCACCGGGATTCCCTTTTCTCCGCATCCTCTCCAACTTGTCATCTCTTGTCTTTTTTTAATAGCCACTCTGACAGGTGTGAGGTGACAGCTCGTTGTGGTTTGATTTGCATTTCCCTGGGGATTAGTGATGTTTTGCATCTTCTCATGTGTCTGTTGGCCATCTGTATGTCTTTGGAAGAATGTCTGTTCAGGTCCTCTGCCCATTTGTTTAATCAGATTGTTTATTTTTTGATATCAAGTTGCACGAGATCTTTATATATTCTAGATGTTAACCCCTTATCGGATATATCATTGCAGATATCTTCTCCCATTCAGTAGGTTGCCTTTTCGTTTTATTGATGGTTTCCTTTGCTGTGCAAAAGCTTTTTAATTTGATGTGGTCCCATCTGTTTATTTTTGCTTTTGTTACCCTTGTTTAAAGAGACATATCCAAAAAAATATTGCTAAGACCAGTGTTGAAGAGCATACTGCCTATGTTTTATTCTAGGAGTTTTATGTTTCAGATCTTACATTTAACTCTTTAATCCATTTTGAGTTTATTTTTGTATAAAAATAAGAAAGTGGTCCAGTTTCATCTTCTGCACGTAGCTGTCTGGAGTGGCCTTTTTTTGGAGGGGCTTGTGGAAGCAAAGGCTGCTCAGAGAATGTCCCAGCAGGGTTGCAGACGGGTAGCCTGAGGGCCAAAGGAGGCCCACAGATATGTTTTGAAAAAAATGTGAATAATTTGCAAATATTGAAAAATCGAGAACGTTTTGTATAAAAATCCATTTCCTGGGGGCCGGGCCCAGTGGCGTAGCAGTCAAGTTTGCGTGCTCTGCTTTGGCGGCCCGGGGTTTGCAGGTTCGGATCCTGGGCGCACACGGACGCACCACTTGTCAGGCCATGCTGTGGCAGTGTCCCACATATAAAGTAGAGGCAGATGGGCACGGATGTTAGCCCAGGGCCAATCTTCCGCGCCAAAAAAAAAGAATCCATTTCCTGCTTTTCTTGGACGATCAGAACATCTAGCAACATTGGGCCCATACTCCCTGCCTGGCTCTTTCTAGACAAGACTTGAGCCTCCCAGGTTGCCCGGTCCCAGCTTGCCCCGTCATGTGCCTCCTCAGCCCCCGTAGGCATTTGAGTTTGCGATCTCTAGAATAGAAAGATGTCATCATTACTGCTAGGGATGGCTCAAGGGACACGTGAAGTTGTCGGAATTTTGGAACCTACCCCTGGTCCCAAGCTGTTCCTGGAAGAGGTCCTTGCCCTGAGACCTTCTGCCCCTCCTCAGGAATCAGAACAAGGGTCTTCCTGGCCGTTTGCCAGGGGACAGTGTCTCTCATCTCTGAACATATGGATTTGTTCAACTGTCCCTGCCACAAGGCTCAACATTCTGTTCCCATGAGATGACTTTTCTAACCTATAGCAAGGGGAAGAAGAGAGTGGGCGGTATTCTCACTGCGGCCTTATGGCTCCTGTTACATCACGAGTCTCTGCTCTGTGACTTCTGTTAGAGGGTGGAGGAGGCCCGCCTTTCGGGAGCCCAGATAAGAAGGGGAGAGTTGCAGTGGGTGTCAGGAACGTCAATCGTTGGTCATTAAATGGGGAGCCCAGTTCCCTCAAGAGAGGATGAGTGGACACCGGGTCATATCCATGACCTCTCTTTGCTTGGGCAGAGGGGATGGAGGGGACGGGGCGTGCGGGGGAATCTGCTTGAATCTTTGAGATATTTCGTTAGCTCAGGATGCGAAACTCACCATCAAAGGACTGAGAACCAATGTGGAGAAACACCTGATTATGACTTAATATTGAGTTGAAAATAATACGGCTTCATTGAAAATCCCTTCTACCTGAGGCCTGTCTCTGGGGATCTCTATTAAGTTATAAAAAGAGCTGATTATAATTTTAACTTAGAAAAAGAGCCGGCGAAGCGAAGGGCGTCCTTCTTGACCCTTGACCCAACCAGCCCCTCAAGGGGTGTCTGGGAAGATGCTGAGGGAAGGTGGGTCGACCAGGTGACTGAAGTGCTCTGGTCGGGCGCCGCAGGGCAAGAGGTAACCCCAGACACCAGCAATCCCGCCTCACCTGGGCCTCTCCGTCCACAGGTTGGCATTGTGGGGCGGACGGGAGCCGGGAAGTCATCGCTGACCCTGGGCTTGTTTCGCATCAACGAGTCTGCCGAGGGAGAGATCATTATCGACGATATCAACATCGCCAAGATCGGCCTGCATGATCTGCGCTTCAAGATCACCATCATCCCCCAGGTGGGGTCTGGTGGGCCGGGCGTGAGCTGGGGCCCACTGAAGGCGACGTGTGCTATATTATCTGCACAAATGGAAATTTGTCCCTGCTTTATCATTTTCATTATTATTATTGAAATTACGCTATATTTCTTCTCCACCGAATCTCCTCTTAGCATATAAATGACGATGGGATTGAAAAAGGTACCACTCCTTCATCCTGCCACCCAGCAGGCAGGTTCCTGAGCAGCTAACAGGACCCAGGAAGACACTGGCTTCCCTGCCGGCCGTCAGTGTGGATGAACATCTAACCCTCCCAAGAGCTAGGCGAGAAATAGGAATTTTCTAGACTGATTCCTGTATGTGGTGATTCATAATATGTTGCCCTTGAGTGTTGTTTTCCCTAAAATTTCTTGAAGATTCTCTTTTGGAGGCAGGGGATGGGGAGGAATCCACAGCACTTCACAATTAGGAATTACCCATGCTGTGTCTCCCTTCCAGAATGTTCCCAACGCGTTTGCATATCGAAGGCTCTGGGAAGTCTTGTGAAAAAGATAACTATTTTATTTCACTTAGCCCAGGGTTTTCCAGATTTATCTTTTTCCTTATTAACATCTCCAGAAATAGTGATTCTGAGGACCTCTGGAACGCCATCTTGGACAATTCTGGCAAGAACTTGTTGCATCCCACCTCACTCTCCCATCCGTGTCCAACGTGACATGAGCCTCACAGGCCGTCTGCTGTCTTCTTTCTGAACAGGACCCCGTTCTGTTTTCGGGTTCCCTCCGCATGAACCTGGACCCGTTCAACAAGTACTCGGACGAAGAGGTCTGGACATCCCTGGAGCTGGCTCACCTGAAGGACTTCGTGTCTGGCCTTCCCGATAAGCTGAACCACGAGTGTGCGGAGGGCGGGGAGAACCTGAGGTAGGCAGGGGGGTGACGCCCCGGCGAGGTCTCCTGGGCTCCACCTCGCTCAGGGTGTTTGAAGATTCTATCCTTTTGCGTCTGTGTCAGGCCTGGGTTTGTCTCTCAACCCCTGGGAGCCTCAGTTTCAGGATCTGTAAAATGGGTTTCAATCCAGGATGGCCAGTATGTTTTCTTGCTTACACCAGGTCCGTTCAATGGAGGGTGGTTGTCACTTAAACCATTGAAAGGCTCCTCTACCCGTTGGTAGATAGCACAGCCCTGAGCCCTCTGAGTTGCCACCCACTGTCACAGCTGCCTTGGCCCTTCTCCCAGGATCCCAGCATCCGCCTATGATCCAGCAACCAGAGTGTTAATGCCTGGCTTAGCAGGGGTCCTCCAGGTCCTGCTGCAGTGTCAGTCAGTGCCTGGTTCAGTTATCCGTTGCCATGGTGACCAACCACAGAACCTCAGGTGTGTTCACCAGTAGCAGTGACTGCTCACGGGGGGGGTGGTCAGTCAGGTGGCTGGGCTGATCTTGGCTGGGCTCACTCATGTAGCTGGGCCTCTGCTGGCTGTTGGCTGATCTAGCTGGCTTCCACTGGGGCAGTTAGGGTCTGTTCCATGTGTCCCTCATCCTCCTGCAGAGCAGCCCAGGTATGTTGTCACGGCGATGGCAGAGGTACAAGAATGAGCAAACCCCAGTGTGTGTGCCCATGTCAGACCTCTGCCAGCCATGTGTTTACCAGCATCCCATTGGCCAAAGAAGGGCATGTGGCTGAGTCCAGAGTCCCCGTGAGGGCCCTACAGAAGGCATGATATGGGCCCATTTTTCCTCTCTGTCACACCACCCATGCTGATCTGGTCAGATATTTTGAGTGTCATCTCTGAGCTCTGTGTTGAGAATGATTCTGAGCCTGTGTCTAGCCCAGGAGGAAGAGCGTTCTGATCGATTAGTGATCTGCCATAGGCACGGACGTGGGGAGTGGAAGTGCTTCCCTGGTCTGAGCAACACCAAGTGTCTCTTCTTCCTTCTGCTGGCTCAGGCCTGGGCTCAGGGTCAGGGGTGGTTTTGACACTGTCTCCTGGTCTTTTTCTGCCGGTCCAGCGTCGGGCAGCGCCAGCTCGTGTGCCTGGCCCGGGCCCTGCTGAGGAAGACAAAGATCCTTGTGTTGGATGAGGCCACGGCGGCCGTGGACCTGGAAACCGACGACCTCATTCAGTCCACCATCCGGACGCAGTTTGACGACTGTACCGTCCTCACCATCGCTCACCGGCTCAACACCATCATGGACTACACGAGGTGATGCCCGTAGCATGAAGACCTCTAGGCCTTGGGGGTTCACCTCATTCACTGACTCATTCATTCATTCATTCAACATGGTCCTTATACATAGTGCCAGCCCCAGATGGTGGAACCTCTCTTTATCCTGGGTAGTACTAGGTATTTCTGACGTCACTCAGTCATTTATTCAATCAGCACATACGTGCGGAGTGCCTGGCACATTTCTGGCCCTGTTCCAGGCACTAGGGACTCAGCAGGGAGCTGTCAGACAAGGAGCCTGCCTAACTTGGAGATTAGTTGGGGGCTGGGTGCAGAGACAGACAATAAACACGGCAACAAATAAAAGCGAATTGTGCGGGAAAGGACATAGAAGATGATAGCGAGTACGGGGGTAGCATCACGGGACTTTGACTAGAAATGGGGATTGAGGAAGGGCAGCCGGTTGGAAGGCTACTGCACCAGTCCTAGCAGAAGCTGCTAGGTACCTGACCCAAAGCAAGAACCGGCCCAGGTGGGCTCTTGAGGGTACTAGGTGCCAACCCCTGCCCTACCCCTCATGTCTGCATCCCCTCCCTTGCAGGGTGATTGTCCTGGACAAAGGTGAAATCCGGGAGTGCGGCTCCCCCTCCGACCTCCTGCAGCAGAAAGGTCTCTTCTACAGCATGGCCAAAGATTCCGGCTTGGTGTGAGCCCCGGAGCTGGTGCATCGGGTCAGAACTGCAGGGCCGACAGGCCGGCATCCAGGGATGAGTCAGCATCCTTGGGAAACCAAACCTCCCGTAGAGTGAAACCAAAAACAACCCCCGAAAAACCAAAACGCACACAGAGCAGCCACCCTCTGGCCCCCTGCCTGGAATTGGCCGGGAAGAAACAAGAGAGACGTGGAGACGCAGGCCACCCAAAACACGCACCCCCACCTCTAACCCCACCAGGCGTGCACACGTCCTCACAGCCCTGGGAGCGCACGCTGTGCTCCTGCGGCTCTGGGCGGAGGAGGCACCCAGGCTGCTGGAGAAATTGGTTGCGTAAAATGTGCTGGTGACCGAATCCAGCTGCCTCAGATCCCTCCCGCCGGCGTCTGTAGATTCCAAGTCTCCAAGAAGCTCCCCGGCCCTGGCAGCTGTCCCCGCCCCCTGAGGTCCCTGTCTGGCTCTACCCAGATGCTGCGTTTCCTGAGGGCTACAGTTCGGAGGTGAGGGGCCTGGTGAAGAGCTTTCTCACCCCCGGGCTGTGTCCCGAGGGCCACGGACGCTCCTCTCACCAACCATCTGGTCTTCGAGGTGCTCAGATGCTGGGGACCAACGTCCCAGCACTGCCTCCAGCGGGACCTGCTCCACAGGCCAGAGGCAGCCTCGTCTTCTTGTTGGCAGGCCCTGGCTGGACTCGCAGGTGATCCGCAAGTCTACCTGGCGTCTCCTAATGCCCACTTCCCAACTTGGTTGCTCACCCCCTCACCCACTCCAGTCTTCTTGCTCTCCTTCCTGCCTCTTCTTACCCATCGTGAGAATGGGTTTACTTCTCTAGGTACCTGAAAGAGGGGGTTATGATGGTTATGAAGCTTTCGATGCTGAGAGCACTGGGTACCTCCCAGGGTGACCAGCTGGTCCAGAAAGAGCCCCGCTGAGTCTTCTCCTCCTCGGTTTTAGATTTCAGTTTCTCACCCTTGGCATTGGGTTAGCTGTCAAGGGTGGCAGCCTGGAGAACTTGACATTTCGTTACTGAGTCTCTTCCAGGACAAGAAAAGAACCTGTGCGTGAATATCGGTGATTTCTTTTTCTTTGTTTAAAAAGTACTGCTCCAGGGAGAAAAAGGGTCTCCAAGTTTAATTTCATGAGAGGAAGCGTTGGGCCGAGGAGCAGCGTTCCCAGAGAATAGCCGAGTTGGCCAGAGTCTGACAGTCAGTCCATGTGTTCCTGGAAGACGACAGAGACGTGGAGTCCTTCAAGGCCTGTCCGTTAGGTCTCTCGTTTGGAGAACAAAGTGAGACCCAAAAAGAAGAGGTCACTGCTGTCCCAAGATTCGTACTTGCTGTGACTTACGTTGCTGACTTCAAACCCAGAGAAGCATCTTTCTTCTTTTAGGTGGAAATACATATTTATTTTTTGTAAGTTATACCATTCTCTCACGTTAGATAAACCAAGTTTTTCTTGGGGATCTTTTTGTAAAGACTTACACTGGAAACGTGAACATTTGCAAATAATTTGCAGTAAAAAAAATATATATTTTATTTCTTTCTAAAAGGCTGTTCCATTTTCTTTGGGGCATTAGCTCAGGTTTCAGCCTTCTCCAGGAGAGTCGGGATGGGGCATCCTTTAGTCTGCTTCTGTTTTTTCCCTTTGGCAAATGTGTTGTCTCTAGTCGGAGCTGTTGTCGGAAATGGGGAGCCTAGGGGTTAGGAATCGGGTGGGGTTTAGTGGGGAGTCAGCATGGCCTGGGTGTTGGGGGTCAGACAGACCTGGGCTTTAGTCCTGCCCTTGTCATTTCCTGGCTCTGTGACCTGGGCAGGTCACTTAGTTTCCATGGCTCAGTTGCCTTGTCTGTAAAATGGGGCTGATCATACCTGGGGTTGTTGTGAAGATAAGCAGTGATGTGTGTGTGGTACATTTGGCCCAGGTCAGGTTTTAGGACAAAAGTCACATGTGGCCAGAATTACCCTTGAAAATCCTTTGTATTAGTCAGGATAGGCTAAGCTGCAGTAACAAATGAGCCAGAAACTCTTGGGAAATGAACACGTGGGTATATTTCTCAGTCATACATTTCTTGATGAGGGTCAGTCACCTCCCCGGGGTCACCATGTTCCATACAGCAATTGAGAGATCCAGACTGTTCTGATCTTGGGACATTACCTCTCAAGAGCTGGCTTCCAGGGCACCATAGTGGGGGAAGCGAGAATGGACGACTCACACCCAGTCTTAAGTGTCTCAAACAACAAGTGACACAGTCAATTCTGCTCACAGCCCGTTGGCCGGAATTAGTCACGTAGCCCCAACCAAACCACAGAGGAAGCTGGGAAACGTAGGGGATTTGAGGGGAAATGAGGAAGAGGGTCTCTCTCCCTGGTGTAAGTGGTGTGGTTTCTGAGTTTTGCGTAGTGGAGTAGTGAGAATGAGGTGTTGGCTTTCTGAGTTTGAATTGGTGAGTCTGGATAGCGAGGAATGCCGTATTGGGGGGATGCGCCATTTCTGTGGCACCCCAAAACCACTTACCAAGCACACGTGCCGACGGAGCAGCCTGGCACTGACAGTTTCCCTCCAGTGCTGCTGTCCCCCGGTTGAAGTCGTTGCCTTGTATTAGGGATTGTGAAGTGTGAAGGTGTCAGTAAGAAACTGGGGCGGTTACTACCATTAGAATAAGGAGTATGCGGACGGGCCCCAGGGCAAGTCGATTTTAGACGTGGGACATGTTACTGTCGCAGAGGCTGACCCTAAGTGTGCAAGTCCCAGGTCGGACCGTGGCGTGTGCCTGTGGGTGTGCATTGTGGGACAGCTGGGTGCTCAGGAGACATCCTGGGCTGGGGTGAAGGTCAGTCTCTTTAGGAAGAGGAGGCAGGGCCAGCATTCCCCTTGAAGAGGGTGGAGCCAGAAGTGCCAGGTGGGGTTGCTGCACACCTGCTCCTCTGGGTAAGTGAAGGAGGGAGGGAGGGAGGAAGCTTTGTTGTGTACGTGCTACGTGTCAGGCCCGGGGCTCTGCGCTTTGCATAGCTCTCCTTGTGGGAACGGATCCCCAGGGCCAGAGAGGAGTGGGGAACTCGGCCTGATGCCCAGCATTGAGCTGCTGGTTCGTTCTTCGTTCTCACCTCCTGTATCGGGTCCTACAGCAAATTCGGTTGACTTCCTCCAAACATCAGACCACTTTTTGTTCCCTCCCCTTGCTGCCATGCTGGTCCCAGCCACATCGTCTCTCCCTTGTGTCCCTACAACAGCCAACTCAGTGGGCTCCCTGTCTCTGCCCCTGGCCACCCCCACCCAGCCTGTTCTCAGCCCAGCAGCCACAGTGATCCTGTAAAAACACGTGCATCACAACCCTCCTGTGGTCCCCATCTCGGGGAAGCAGCCAGCCGGGCCTCAAAGCCCTGCACAGCCTGGCTTCCTGCAACCTGTCCCCAGCTCCCTGCTCTGGCCACCGCTCAGGCCTCTCCAGCCACACTCACCTCTGCTGTGCTTCCAACGTGCCAGGCGCAGTCCCGCCTCAGGGTCTCCGCTCTTCCCCCAGATGTCAGTGTGGCTTGCTCCCTCCTCTCTCTGACAATGGCAGCTCCATGAGAGCAGAGGTTTAATCTGTTCATTCCTTGCTGAATGCGCACCATGGGCACATGGCTCGCACTCAGTGATTGCATTCTTTGACCCAGGACTGAGTCCTCTGTGCTGGACCCTGGGCCAACTGTGAAGTCACTGGGGCCTCTAGAACTCGCCTTTTAGGAGCCGCAGTTTGTTCATTGGTACAACTGGGATCATTGTATCCACCTGGCCAGGTGGTTGTGAGGATGGAAACAGATCAGGGTAAAGTATCTAGCACTCGTCCTTGGCCCTTAGAATACCTTCATACATAGTGATGCCATTCACCCAGCCATCCAACCATCTGTCCGTCTATTTATCCATCCATCCACCTACCCACCCCCTCACTCCATCCATCCATCCATCCACCCATCCATCCATGCATTTATCCGTCCATGTCCATTCATCCATCTATCCATATCCATCCATCCACCCACCCATCCATCCATCCATATCCACCCACCCATCCATCCATATCCACCCACCCATCCATCCATCCATATCCATTCATCCATCCATTCATCCATCTATCCATATCCATCCTCCCTCCCACCCACCCATCCATCCATCCATCCATTTGTCCATCC